CAAAATACACCTTTAGCCGTAGTGGGCCTGACTCACCAACGTCCTAACTCAACTTGCATCTAACTTAGGAACTTTAGACTACATGTCTAAGATGATGACATTTTAAAATTTTTTTCAAAACCTTAGCCATCACAAAATTGATATAAAAATAGATATTTTAACTTTCAATACTTTAACTGAGCCTGGATACAAAGTATACAAATTTTTTTCCCTATAATCACTAACACTTAATTACACAACATCTTATGTGACATTGCTGTCTTTTTCTTCTAATTTGCGCAAGTGGCACAGAGCCACGGCAACGAGACCTACTCTGTATCCCCTTCAAGGACATAGCTAGCGGGAAGGTTAAGGAGTTTAACTACCTAAGGCTAAGGGTTTAACTATCCTTCCTCCCTAAAATTATTATCAGTTATCAAAATTTTAATCCATTCTAGAAATAGTTTAAATAATCGGTTTAAATAGATCACTATTGTCTATCAGAACACATAAATTATTTCCTTAAAAATTATTTTATAACCATAACACATTATACAACAAAAAAATTATGAAAAAAATATTGTTGCAAGAGTATTCGCATTCAATTTTTAAACCAGTAAGGCGCGTAAACGAGCTGCATTGTTTTAATTTATTAAAAGCAACAGTTTTCAAATCGACTTAGAAAAGGTTTAAACAGCGCTGTTATCTTTTTTATGCAGTCAAATTTGGAGTTTTCCCGTTAAAAAATCGAATCAAATCCTAAAAGATTATTCTCTATAAGTATTCCCGCTTTTCGGATCAAAAATTTTAATCCTGTTTTTCGAGAAAGCTACCAGCACAGAGCCGCTTTTTGAAAATCGGTTTAGAAAAAATATTAAGCAAACATACATTTCTGCGCTCGATCGATATAACACGAGGCTGCGGCACCATGACGTTTATAATTCTGACCCATTAATACAAAATTAGCGGCAGTGTTTGTTAAGAAATAATTAACTAAATTAATTTTTTTTCTCGTAGATAAAATTTCTGATATACATGGTTATGAACAGATATCGACATGTTTTCGTAACGTAAAAAATGAAACCTGTTTTATCTTTCCAGAAGACTTTTTAAAATTTTCCGTTTTGATCAAGCATCAGAATAGTAAATTGCTAATTCGATAATAACGTATTTACGTGAACTCGGGCTAGACTGTGAAACTACGGTCGGTCAAGGATACGATGTAGCTTCAGCGATTAAAGGCTCTTTCAAAGTCGTGTAGGTATCGAAAAGAAAATCCGCACAAGCATTATATGTTAACTAGATTGTTCGCAAATTTCGAATTTAACATTTTATTACTGATATAAAGTACAGAGTATCAGAAAGTACATTAGTTCTGCTAAAAAAAATCATCAACTTTGTCAAAAATTCCTCAAAAAGATGTCTCTGCTACGAGAAAAATTGTCTTGTTTAGTGCCAACGTGAATTTCGAATACACTTACATTAACGCTACATACAAAATGGGTAGAGGACCATAAAGGTCTTTTAAAATTTAAAGAGATTTTCTAGGCCATCATTGTAACTTTAGAAGAATTGAGTGATGATATAAATGCAGAAACTTCATCTGAAGCATCAACTCTCGTTAGAGCGGTTATGAATGGAGAATTTTTAGTGTTTCATTCTGTTTTATCACATAAGTTGATATACTTTGCCGTTATATAAACATTTACATTCATCTTTTTATGATTCAAGACCAACAAATTATCACGTTGAAAATATTGTCAAATATTTTTTCGTATTGTGAGAAAAAATGGAATGGTAATGGTGAATTTTCAAAAAAATTCAAAATTACAAAAGTTGTAGTCACAGAACTGGATAATGAAATAAAAATTCCCCGTCGAATGCCTGTTCTCCATCACCGTTGCAACATACTCATAAACGCATCCGAAAAATGTAAAATATTTTAGATCTACGATGGCTGTACCATACATCGGCGACTTTATGGAAAAATCGAGTTAGATTCACGGACAGTCAGAAACTTTATCAATATTGATATCGATGTTTATACTTCCATAACGATTCCATACCGATGTGTGGAAAATGTATGGGTTGAAGCGAAGAATGGAATCTTCCATCAATCTTATAATTTTTCAATTTAAGCTAATGAAAAGAAAATTTGCCGCGAGTACATTTAATTTTTAGTCTATACAATTCTATCTTAGCTAAAAGGCCGAGAAAGCCAACACTCATACAGACATTTGTTGGTAATTCAATGCAGTTTCCAAATGTGTAACCCGAATTTTCCTACGATGACTGGTTCCAAATCTCATTTTCGAGCCTATTTCATAGCTTCCTCTATGAGTAAGCCAAAATAACTCTTGCCTCAAAAGTGAGGGAAACAATTTTTTATTCGATGTTGTAATGAAAAATTCTATTTCAGCGCATCATAGATAATTGTTTAATTCAAGTAAACCCAAAAAAATGTTGCGGTCTTGATCCATAGCTACCTGTACAGTTCGCTGTGCACACAATATGCTCGATTATGCTCTGTATACACACTGCGGGCCAAGTTGCTATTTCTGTCAACGATGGAAATGATTGTGCGACGATACGCCGCCATGACTAGATGTGCGTATGTGTGCGGATCATTAGGACCCGCAAGGAGCATATTTTCGGATCGATCTCGGAGAGACGGCATTATACACAAAACAAATAATCGACGCCAGCCAACGAAACCAAGTGTAGTTTTTAACGATCCGATCGCGATACGCGACGGCGATACGTGTGCTGAGCCGCTGATTAAATTTCTCCGCTTTTATACGCGCTGCCGTTGCTGCTGAAATGCAATAATAGGCGTGCGTACGTTGCGCGATGTACGTGGCTCGCCTGTGTGGGTGTATCATCATCATCATCATCATCATCATCATCATCATCGGTATTCGTGCCCCTCGCGCTTTTTAGTGCTGATGCTTGCTGCCCCGCTGCTACCACCACCGCCGCTAATACTCGACTACGCGTGCATGCATGATGCGTGTGTATATATCTTTGCAAACGATGCGCAAATATTTGCACGCACGTCCAGTCCAGATTTTCCTCGGCTCGGCTCGTGTACACGCGCGAGAGAGCTTTCGAATTAGCCGCAGCGGCGGGTTTAGGCGCTCGAACTTACCCCCCGCGCGCGCGCATAACATTGGTGATCCGCAGATATCCGCGCTACGCGCACAATTTATATATTTTCTTTTGTCCATTGTTATTCGCTTCGTTATGCGCGGTGAAAGTTTATTTAGCAAATTCGTTCGAGTGGCCGATTTTTCAAAATTAATTCTTAATGCACCGATGGAATTTGAGTTGAATGTTGGTTGGTGGCACTGAAAACTATACGTGTATTTTGAATTTTTCTGCCGTTGACTATTTACTGATTTATTTAATAAATCTATTTGTGGAGCTTTCGGCTTGATATATTTAATTGATAACTTACACTTGCCGCTCGTATATACAAAAGTAATGCTTACATTTATCAGGATTCACGAGACAATTTTCTTTTTAATCATCGAAATTAGCCCTCAATTATTTTACCTTAATCAGGATATATGTCCACGACAATACTAGAATTAGAGTAAAAATAAAAACTTTCGATTATGTCTATCGAGATTTCTACTAAAATTTTTTTTAGTTGACACCATGATAACTCATTTGAAAATGAGTTAACAACATTCATCGTATTGAATTTTCCAAAAGTAGGTTCGACATTTTCCTTTCATTCCCGTACAGTGTAGAATTGCATAGCGATTTCAGCTAGTTCAGAAAAAAGCCAGCTCAATAGATTATCTCGTGGGTGGACGATCAGAGGCGACTCGGATGACAATTTTTTGCGTACACGTGCGAGAGAAAAAAAGTAAACACGTCGCAAAGAGATGGAAATATTCAACATGGTAAATATGTCAATCGATAACTCCGCCAACTCGAGCGTAGTGTCAAACTGCAAATAAAAACGCCTCATGGCTCTCGCTCGGCCGCGCGGATATCCGTATATATTATGGCGAGTAATGAGCTACGGATTACGGGGCTGTTCGAGCATAAATTTTGTATATACCGGCGTCCAGAATACACAAAAAAAACATCGCAATTAACGAGATGGAAATTTACGGTGAATTTATCGTTTGACGTTTTCGAGTGTATACTGTATATAATAAAATCGCATCAATCTGTAATAACGATTTTTTACTGCTGCGTACGACTACGTAAGGTTCCACATGCATTTTTAATTCGTTGCGAAAATTTTTAATAAAAGTTTAAAAATATAACGCTCTCCGAATAATCCACTGAAAGATTCGAGCATTTTACAAACGATGGCTGGCTTACGATTATCAAAATAAAAGAAAAAAGAAAAATACTACGCTATTGCGACTGTGCATTAGTCATGTGAATTGACGATTTAATATCGCGTGACTATTCATAACCCGTTAATTGTGATATTTTTTGTGGTTTCCGATGCGAGATTCGATCTCGAACCGATTCGTCACTTACTTTTAAGATAGGATATAATCTACCGGTACACAACGACCTTTTGTTGCCAAAATTTTTATTTTTCAGACCTGAACAAGTCAAGTCAGATTTTTTTTGCGAAATTCTCGATCTCACCAAGTGTCAAGTTATACATTTTAATTGTATCCTCGTGCCAAATTACGCAAGAAAAAATGGCACTTTTCAGGCGAAGAATGAAATTTTATTAAAAGTTAATTGATTTGAACTTGAACATGAGCTTTTACTCAAACATTCGAACGTTACAAAGTATTATGCATAAAAAGCTGGCGTCCTCTCTTGTTTTCATTCAGCTGGGCACATTTTCATTTCATTACTACTGGCGCCCCGCCACAATTGCAATAATAGCCAATATGCGACGGCTGTTTTCAACGCAGAAGCGTTGACGAGCTGATATCCGACTGTCGAACGCAAATCTTAATAGCCCGAGCCGCTTTTATAAGGAATCGCGCGAACGAATACATATCACTGCGGTGGGTACAAGCGAACAGACCTGGTGATTCGCCTCGCTATACCGCAGCCGATTTGCGAATTGCCGTGAAATGATTCTTCACTTTGACGTTCGAGCAGTCGCCAAGAGGTTTTTGCAGTGTCCACTATATAAGCAGCGCGTTACCGAGCCACTGCCGACTGCACTGCAAATCCAGCATGTGTACGAGGGCAAATCTATCATTGTAGAGGTACAAACGCGCGTGTGTGTGTGAGTGTGTACTGTGTGGCGTGTGCACCATTCACGAATTGCGGTTTGGTGAATACTTAACTCAGTTAGCTGGAATCGCGTAAGTTTGGCGCACATATCCGCCTGCCATTCTGGCCTACATTTGCGCTTTTAATATTTTTCCGACTTATTAGTTGTGCCTATCTCTCGATAATTATAAACCAAAGTCTATCTAACAGGACTTGGATTTTGCGTTATTTTTTTATCTCCTTCATCAAAATAATTGAAGCAATTGACTCAGTGACTTTGCATTGAAAACGCATGGTCAAAATAACAATTCAGCGAATCTCACCTCGCGACGTTGAAGGGTTAATGAACTCCTCGGTTTATGTCCCAATGACAGAATGAAAATCCAAAGTTGAACCTCGTAATATATTAATGGTAAGCTTTAATTTATTTCGCACTATATAGGCACATTATTTTCGTCAAGTACACGAGTGTCTTTTTGTTATCACTATCTACTGCGGATATTTGACCTGATTTTGATTAAGCTGCTGATTAATTTTAATTTAAAACGAGCATTTCTCTTTGTATCTGATTGTGATGCATTATTTAAAACTAAGTATAAATAAAGTGTACTTTTATTTATTTTGAAAGTCTAAAATCTCATTAATTTTATGCATATTAATACATTTTTTTGCAATAAATGTAAGAACCAAAAGAGGTCTTTAAAGCGACTAATCATTTACAATGCATCTATAAAATTTATTTTTTCAAACATAATCTTTTTTTCAGATTTGAGCTATTTTGAGATACTTGAATTTGAAGATCTAAAGAATATAATTCTTTTAGAGTTGAAGAACCAAAATTAGCATAAAAATGCCTACTACATTGAGTAAATTTATAATTGATGCTACATGCAAACAATATGCACATCCATGGTCCGATTCATGTGTTAGTACAACAGCTGGCTTGGGACTTACTGCACTACAGGACTGTCTAAGGATCTACTCAACTTTATACATCGTACATATTTTTTTTGTGTTAAGTCATATCAATTGTTCTAAATATCAATACTTCATCACATATGTATTTTTAGATTGCTCTTTTGACCAAAAGAAGAATTCCAACCCTATCAGACATAAAAAGAACAATCTTGAGTATTTTGCAATCAACAGCTTTTCTATCTTGGAGTGCTTTTGCTTATTCCATGTTCATTTGTCTTTTTAGGTAAAATTCATTAAAATATTATGTATAGAACTTATAATTCAGATTAATATGTGTATTAATTTAAAATAAATTTCAGGAAACTTTTGGGGAATTTCAATGTACTAACAGTATCTTTTGTCCCATCATTTTTCTCTAGTCTCACTGCTATTATATTAGAGAGACCATCTAGACGTACGCTGTTATGTTTATATGTTTCTAATATTGTAAGTATTTTGACTATTCAATCATGAATTAGTACTGAAATATCAAATATTTTAGGCCACTGAAACATTATTTAGAATGGCAGTTTCTAGAGGATATGTTTCTGTTATACCTAGAGGTGAAGTCTATATATTTGCTGCAGGTATGGCAACATTATTGTATTTTTTCAGAAATCGAACCGATAATCAAGATTCCATTTTTAAAATCATAAAGTATGTTGATATTAGTAAAAAGTTTGATTTAGTTTGATATATCTTGAACTACTTATGAGTTGAAATGATTACAATTTGTAGATTGGCACTTGGTCCTAATGAAGAAAAAGGGTATTTACAACAAAGTTTTCCTAAACCCCCAGACTCTGCTAAATTTTCTAGAGCACATGACAATATCAGAAAAAATATATCACATTCAAGCAGTAGACAAAATATGAGGAAGTTTAATTTGGTGTGGCAAGCGTTAAAAGTTTATAAAACTCTAATTGATAAAATAAAAAGTTTTGGAGGAAAACATGCAACATGTCCTCACACAAATAGTTGCATACATTACATTTTGTCTGTGAGTATAGAATACTATTTTACATTATTTCAAGTACATATGAATCATGTATATTTTATTCGAATAATTTATACAGGGAGGTTTGAAAATGTTCAGTACTGGCTTATGTGTTCAATTGGGCTTGAAACTTATATTCCAAATGAAAACAATCATAAGAAAACCACAGCAGTTGGGAAAAATTCTTTTCAAAAAAGAAAATTTAAATCTTGCTTGTTTTCTTGGAGGATTTGCAAGTTTGTATAAAGTAAGCAAATTTCATCAAAATGTACCAAATGGTCATATGTATCATTTTTATACATCAATTCAATATTTTTTAGTTGGTTTCTTGTTCTTTAAGAAGAGGTTGTAGTAAAGACTCACCTGAGTATGCTGTAATTGCTGGATTGATAGCAAGTACCTCTTTTGCCATGTACCCTGATAATACTATTGCTCTATATGTATTTTGGAAAGCTCTTCAAGTGAGATTTCATTGAAATTTTAAAATTATATTCACCATAAATTTTTTTTTATAAATTATTGTTTTCAGCTTCTATGGAATAGTGGTGTGGAGAGTGGAAAATTACCTGAAGTTAAATGGTTTGTTATATTATTGTATTGCTTTAGTACAGCAGTTTTATTTCATGCAGCAATAGTGGAACCACAAAATTTGAGAACTTCATATTGGAAATTTTTGTACAATCTTTCTGGCGGAAGGTAAAAATTACTCTCATTGTAATAGTCAATATTATTGATCAAAATAATTTTTTTCAGAATTGCTGTTATGTCTCGAATACCTATTGATGGATTTGGTTTAGAGACAAGCAAACAATTGAAATTAATCCTAGAAAAAACAAAAACCCACGACAAACATGTTTTTCTTTTTTAGTAAGCTAAAAGTTGTTAATATTTTATAACACCAAAGACATTTATAAATATGTCAACTGATCAAGTATATTAAAGCACGACGGAAATTGAACATAAAATTATGATACATATTTGACTATGTTCAATTTTATATAATGTGTTTATAATTGAAATAGTTATGTTGTATGAAATTAATAATGATTACAATCAAGGTGCCTTTATGATGTGATAGTTCATTAATTTTTTTGTATTATGGCTTTAATGTATTTGTTGCGTATGAAGCAACAAAAATTCCTTGTTATTATCTCTGTTACTATATGATGATATTTTTTAATAAGGTTTTATTTTGTAATATTGTTTGTTTATTTTGTACGTCAAGCAATACGGTTTGTGATAAAATTGTAACATTCTTTTAGTATAAGGGATAATGGGGATTTAAAAGATATAAAAAATGGAGGATGGTTTATTAAATGATCAAATATATGAATCATTTATTTTAAAAATTATTGTGTATTTGACATTTAAATACAAATTTTATATGACTTGTTTATTTACAAATAAATTATATTTTTAATAGAATTTAAATGATATTTATTATTCTATTTATTCTGTTGTTTCAGCACATTTTGGCGTTTTTTTCTTCTTCTTTTTTCTTCAAGTTCTTCCCACTGAATTTTAGTATGTAATCTAATACCATTAGAATCTAAAATACGTGGCAAATTTACACTCCTTGCAACTGCATGTCGTACCTTTGATGGGGATACTATCAGTGATGACAGAGTCTGAGGGGTATTCATTTGCCACGGAAGAATGCCTATTGGGCAATTACTCCAATCATGATTTTCTACAAAATTGAGAAAATTGAGTTATAATTTATAAATTTATAAAATAATAATTATTCGGAATTTCAATTTTTAACGATACTCTACCTGAATCATCGGCAATTTTCCATTTAGTATTGCGAACTTCGTTGTCTGCGAACGTTTCGATTTCGTTTAAATTTTTTTCCAATGATTTCAATTTTTCTGTTTGGATGTTCATTTCTGTATTTTCTGTTAAGGATATTTCGTTTGTATCCTCATGAGTATCATCAGAAGCATCAATTACCATATTTACATCTGTTTGTGGATTTACTCCTAATAGGTTCAGTAATTTTGCTTTCTTAATTGGATCATTTTTTACCACATCTGATAATTCTACTATTTCTACTATGTAATTCTTTACTACTTCTTTTGAATTGTTTGTTACTAGTTGTTGGAAATATGAACGATCATTTAAACAGCTGGGAAAATCGCTAAAAATATTCAGGTCTGGTACTTCTTTTAAATCTGGATAAGATAGATCAATTTCTTCTTTTACAAGTTTTATCAAATTTTTGGGTAATATTTCAACTTTGTTGTGATTAAACTTTTGCTCCAGAGATTGATAAATTTGTTTTGAAACGTTCAGCTTTAAAAAAGATCTGAGCAATGTTTTCACCCACAAAGAAGCCAAAAGTATTTTGCGATTATCATTTTCTTTGTTTACAAATTCTATCATTTGAATACAAAGTGAAATCAAAATTTTTTTATCTTGTAATAATCTCAAAATATCTTTCCAAAATTCGATCAAAGTTACTGGTAAATGATTTTTTTGATCAATTGTGTCAGTAGTTGCTTCAAAAATTTTCAAAAATTCTGGTGCTGCCAAGAAAGCTTCACTATTCAAAATTAAATCTATAATAACTTTTCCTGTTGTAGAAAAAGAACTAGTTTTACTCAAAATTTTTGAAATTCCATCAAAAAGACAATTTGATACAATTGACAATTTTAAATCATCATTTTTTTCATGTAATGTTATTCCACTATTGAGAGCTGCATTAGATAAATTTAGTTTTTTCCATATCAAATTCAGATTATCTCTGAAAAGTTATAAAGAAAAAATTAGTTATTTTAGTCGAAAAATTGTGCTTGAAATTATTTCATTTAGTCTTACTTTATACTCTGATCTGGTATGTCAGAAATGATTTGATGATCAGTCTTGATGTATAAGTTGATGGCAACCCAAAGTTCAAAAAGTTTATTTAAATTTCCTTCTTCTTCTGAAATAATTTTCTCAATATCATCTAGCTCATGTACTTGTAAATGTCTAGCTTCGGCTGCCCAATATTCTTCCTAAAAATAATTCTTTAAAGTAAGCACAAAATGCAAAATACAAAATACATAAATTATTATAATAACTTACGTGAACCCAAGCAAGAAGTTTATTAGAAACGATCCTCATAACATCAATAGAAGGTAATTCAGAACCATGAGCTGTGTCATGTCTCAAATTAACAATCCAATCAGGAATATTAAAATTCTTTGCAATATCAAATAAAGAAGTTTGCTTATCATGATGAACTATTGGCATGTGATTTAGAAATTTCATTATGGCCATAGAATATATACTTTGTAAATCTTTTTCGTAAGTCAATGGTTTTTGGCCACTGTATATTTGTGGAGTCCATTCTTGATCCCTCAGACTTGCTTGCAAAAGACCTAGTGTACATTCTACACCAATAGGTAAGATTGACATTCTGCAGAAGATGTAATAAAAATTGTTCAATAATTAAAATGATAAAAAAGATATAATTAAATAAATACTAACCTTGCTTTCCAAACTAGAAGCATTTCGTATGCCTCTTTCTGGCAACTGGAATCGCCAGAATAGATGTTTTTGTAGACTTGCAGCCATTCTTCTCTGAAAAAAATATACCGTTTGATAAATAAATATTTTCTTAATTGAAAATGAAGATATGATGCACAAACGTTTAGATCAATAACTCAGTTAAGTACAACTTTACAAAAAATTAGACTTATTTGAAAAAAAATTGACAGTACATAGTTTTAAACACAAATGTAGTAATAATTCTAGTTCATGATTTGATGATTGAGATAATGATCATTATTATCTCGAGTTGTCAATGTACACAAAGTATTTATTTATGTACTTACACAGAAAACCACGGCACGTGGATTAAATTGTCGCGTTTCTCCACTAACGACATGGTTGTAAATGTATATACTTTCAAATTGACACTTGGAGTTCGACACCGGCTTTCTGCTCGTGAATTTTGAGTCCTACCGCGTGCGCTGCCCTGTGCGGTTGCGTTTATAGCCTAACTCAATCTCCAACAGAACATGAAGTCACTTGCGCAACCGCACGGCGCACAGGGCAGCGCACGCGGCAGAACTCAAAATTCACGAGCAGAAAGCGGACTTTATTGGCCTTTTTCACAGTCGTCACTATTGGTCACTTTACGATTTTCCTGGAGGCAAAACAAACTAGGTCTCTCATTTACTTAATCCGCAACACCTTGCATATTTTACCTCCAGACAAATCGTAAAGTGACCAATAGTTACGACTGTGAAAAAGCCCTATTCAAATTTTTGTTTGAGGATGAAAATTTCAGTCGGCAATAAAATTGAGTGCGAGGATCATATTAATTTCCTCTGTAAAGTGTTTCAATTTTTCAACGTGAATTTTAAAAGTAATTTTAATATTAAGCAAAGAAGAGAACATGACTATTCCCTTCAAAAAGCATAACTTTTGTAAAGTCACATCTACTCGATGCTCAACTTGCATTCGTAAATAAATTTTTGAAAATGGAGAAGTCTCACCTAGTGTCAATTCACTGGCAAATAGCTTTCAAGTTCTGCTCTAGCCATTCGTGTGAATGGCATTATGTCTGCAGCATTTTACGCACAATATATCACGAGCGCGAACATTACGAACATCGCGCATTTTTGGTGACAATTTAACGCGTTGATAAAATTATTTATTCATTTATTACGATATTAAATTATAGTCTTTTGGAAAAATTTGGAGCACTAATTTTATTTATTTTTTTTTTATTTAAATACGATTTTGAATTTATATTTTGATACAATCTTCATTAATTTAAATTAATAAAAGAAACTGTTCTTAAAATTTACAGGAATTGATCCAATATGAAAAAGTTTAAATTTTAATATATATTTTTATTAAGATCCAAATTATCTCGAGAAAAAACCATACTTATGTTGTTTTTACTAACACAAATCTCCTTAGCAAGTGAAATGTTTTTTCGTACCCATGAAAAATTGAACTCCGATTTGAAATTTCTACTTACGTGGCCTCACCTGTCTGCAGCTTGCGCAACATCATTAGTCAATCGAAACCAAACTCATAAACAGATTCAAAAACAGCCATAAGCCGGGCCACGACAGTTGACAATACACAAAATATTGCGCGCGCAACATCGATAACCACTACTTTTATACACCACTTGTATGTGTGTTGTGGCGTTGCCGAATCACCGTGTACTCAACATAAATTGTTTGACTCATTCGGTTAGTCAGTATTTTTAACAATAACAAATTTTTAAAAATCTCATAAATAAAACTGACTCCTACTAGTGCAAGCGTGGACGTTACTACTCGTTGTGTAAATTTGTTACTACCGAAGAAAAACAAAATTGAAAAGGTGAGCGCCAAAACGAATTTTGATATAGAAACGCAGAAGTTTTCAAAGCTGCTATTGAAAATAACCGTTATAATTCAGCTATTGTAGCCTTATATTTTATGTATTACAGTGTTTAAACCTTTCAATTTTTTAAAGTGTACTTACACGTATTGGTTATTTTGTGCAAATTTTCATTTTTTCGTGACTCAATAATTGTGCTTAGCTTATACTTATACAGGCCTATTCTATTTCTAGACACAATGTCAAGCACATCACAAAAACATAAAAATTTCGTGGCTGAGCCTATGGGAGAAAAGCCTGTTACTGATTTAGCAGGTGTTGGTGAAGTTCTTGGTAAAAGACTTGAGTCAGCCGGTTTTGATAAGGTTGGTATTTTTGTTCAATGTATAGAGTAATTCATCTGCTTAAATTCATACTGCAGAAAAAATTAACAATGTTTTTTTTCTAGGCGTATGTGGTACTTGGTCAATTTTTAGTCTTGAAAAAAGACAGAGAACTTTTTCAGGAATGGATGAAAGATACATGTCAAGCAAACACAAAACAATCTAATGACTGTTTTCAATGTTTATTGGATTGGTGTGATGAATTTTTGTAATGTACCACAAAAGCATGCAATTTATTTAAATGTTTGTCAGTGTACTGTTTTTAGTTTCAATTATATATGAGCATATAATAATGCTGTCGACCTTAGCTCTTACACAGTTAAAAGCTGCCAAAAACCTTTTAAAATTTGAACTTACCTTATTTTATACTCATGACATTTAATTCTTATAAAATGTGCCACTTTTATGATGAGGTTGAGAATTAGTGTAATAGTTACTGTTTCCTAGAATTTCTTGTATTCTTTGCCTTTTCCATAATACATGTATATATAAGAAACTGAGAATGAATATTTTATTAAAAAAAACTATGGATTTTCAATTAACAATTTATTATTATTCATTTCTATATTACATAATATTCTACAAAATTTTTGTCAAACAAATGATCAATCAGAATATATGGTCAAACTTCAACTAGATTGTAAATTATAGATTTATACATTCCTTTGATGTAAAAAACAGAAGTTCACATAAGATGTAAGGATAATTCCAAATTAACAAATCATTAAATTAAGGATAACCACTCCTGCAGTATAAAACTTGATCGATTCATATATTAAAATTTATACATACATCAATTTATGAATTACATTCCTCTCTTGTTCCAAGTAGAATTGTAATTGAAAAAACTGTAAGGTGTTATTACAGTTATTGCAATAAAATGAGGAGTAGAAACAACTGTTTCACTTTCAACATTATCTAAGAACATGTGTATCATATATTATCATAATAATACATGAAAATTGTACAAAATTAGTTCTAAATTTTCTGATACCAAAAAAAAGGTTTATAATATGTTCTTGACAAAATCTTTTTTAGTTCTTTATGCAGCTTTCTCTTGCAGTCTAAAAAATATTTAATTTAAAATAACAATAACTGTACTTTTAGAAAATTATTTAAAAATAATCTTACTTATGCATATCTTCCCTCAAAGACTGTAATGATAGACCTTGCTGCAAGTTTTCTTCAATTGTTTGGAGAACGTTTTGATTTAATCTATGATAAGGAATAATTTTCAATGCTTGACGAACTAATTCATAAGCAATTTCATACTTATTAGAGGCATCTGGAAAATTTTACAATCAAAAATTACAATGTGTGTTGTAATGTATAAAATGAAATTAATCGTGTTTGAATTACCAGAATCTAATAAAAACTTGAACATCATAGCAAAAGATTTTCGCCTGTCAGTTACAGAGAGCATGTTTGATTGCACTATTTTTTCAGCTAAAGCAGGATACTTGTCAAAGGCATCATTTTTCTTTAATGTAATAGCAGCACTCAGAGTAGAAAATCTTGTTGAATTTTGTAATGTTTCATTCCAAATCTGTTCTGCTTCAGGATGTTCAATTGTAAATTTGTGAATCCACAAAGCATTTATTGGCGCATATACATTTTTTTTCACAGCTTTATAAGCAAATTTTTTATCTAGAAAATTAAATTATATCTCATGAGTATCCCACTAAAAATACCAGTAGGTAAGATGCTAAAGTTTATATCTTACATTCTTCTTCTATCTCAGGCTGATCTTTTAATGCATCACAAGCCGTAGATATATGTATTAGTGAATTAATTAGTGTTGTTGGTACATTTGAATCAAGTAAGCTATCCAAATTTTTGACGAAGTCTGCGTACTTTCTATTATCTAAATAAAATTTACCAATAAGTTGACTAAAACTGAAAGTCCTATTATTGGGATTCTGAAAAAAAAAGTTTGTATTGATGTTGATGAATGGTTAAAAAAACGCGATGAAAACAAAAGTTTACCTTCTTCACAGCTTGATTAAACAACCGGACCGTTTGTGCAATGTTTGAAAAATCATTAGCTTCTGCTAATTTTGTTAAGACATGTGATACTGTAGTGTGAAAAGTTGAATTAATTTCACTCACTCCAGATAATAACTTGTGTAAGTAATTTAATGCTTCATTCATATGATCCTCAGCTGCTAATGCTTCAACTAAATGTAATGTGTACCTTACTTTAGCCTCTCGATTCATTCTGAAAAATAATCATTTATTAATTTCTTCCAAGCTTTGATAGCAAATAATTGTGAGAAAAGTTTAGTATTTTTATAAAGTAAATCATCATTTTTCATTATAGTACACATTTTGTTTGATTTCACTTACGTTGACAAAATAGATTTAGCATTTTCAAAATCTCGTTCAATAAGATGCTGAGTAAATTTTTTTGCTTTGTCATCAACATTTTCATCATGTGGTGAGACAATATTGAATGGAGGATTTTGATCGTGAGATCTCAGTAATTGATCTAAAGTTTTGAGAAATTCGGGTGACGGTTGTACATTGTCTTCCTGCATTTGGGTCCACAACGCCAAACCTCTTTGCCAATCGCCTTTTTTTTCTAATTAAAGAATAATAAATTGATAATAATGTATTTATTGTAATTCTCAATATTAAAGATTGTACTAACCATAAGTTTGGAGTAATTTACAGTAAATAGGATCAATATCTAAGTAAATACCCCAAAGCAATTGAATAAAATTTTCAAGTTTCTCAACTTCATTGCGGATGGCAAATCGGTCTACTATGTTCATAATTTTTTCACGACGCAGACGTAGTCCTGGGGTCTATAAATATTGTAAACGAAAAATATTTATTAATCAGTATATAACTGTCAAGAGGACAAATAAATTATCAAGCAATTATAATTACCTCTAATATTTTTCTAGCTTGCCGAGGCTTATTACTTTCAAAGAATGCTACAGATAAATCCAATAGCGAGTTTACTTCACCGTAAATTTTGGTGCAATAATCAACTATTTGTTGCAGACGTTGGGCGTCTTCTTTTTCGATTAATGCCATCATAATAACGTTACGAAGAGGAGTCATTTGATATGTATCACAAGCCCATTTGAATTTTTCAAGTGCACCATCCATGTCACCGCTTAAAAAATAAATAAATTATATTATATGAGAAGAAAAAAATTGTGCGATGAAAAACTGTTAGATTATTTACTGTTCCAAGTGCGATTTAACAATTGCTTGAAGATGCACTATGCTCGGCTTTTTTATAAAACCATTTTCCACCAGTTTGTCAAACACCGTTTTTGTGAGCTGAGGACAACATTTGAGTACGTTACCGAGTAATTTTTCTGATTTGAGACTTCGATCAACTTCAGGATCGTTTACAGGTTCATCGAGAATCTTAATAGCATCTGTAAAATAATTATGATTCAATGAAAGTTAATGCTTGCATAAATGAATCAAACCATAAAATTTTTATTTTTGCTTACCCTCTGGGCGTCCTTTTTGAATAAGTGCTTCTGCATAATTTATAAGCTTTGTTCTGTCTAATTTAGCTTCTGGATTAAGAGCTTTGAATCGTCTGAACCATTCATCCGCGTTGTCGACATCGTCAATTTTGGAAAAGTAATCAATTAAAGATGCACAAAAACCATTTGTGTAAGTTGGATTTTGTTGTTCTAATTCCTGAACAAAAATTTTTATTTTCAAAATTTGGTTTACAATTTAGGGTAAAATAGCAATTCATTAAAAAGACATTTACCTTCAAAAGTTTATTTACCGCCTCTATGTTACGCATTTTTGCATATTCTTGGACGAGTAAAAGTTTAAACTCCAAAGATGATTCAGCCTTTTGCTCCAACTTTTCAATGTTTTGATTTTGGTACATTTGAGACTAATAATTATAAGTGTTCAAAAAATTAGAAATGAATTGTTAGTAACAAAATAATTTGACAACAGAAAACTTACGCTTCCTCTGAATTCACCAGCAAATTTATCAACTTGTGCTGGTTTTAAATCTTCTGAAATTAGCTTGTCTAACATATCGCTTACTTCTGGTTTCAATTTGGATCCCATCATCAATTTTATATTATCACAGGATTCTTGTTCAATACTTATTCCTTTCTCTAAAAACTTTTTGATGAGCTGCAATAACAAATAAACACATTTAGTTGAAAATACCGATTTATAATGGTAAATAGCAGTTTACTTCGTCAATAATTTTAGTTCCATGCGGTGGTAGCGTTTTAATCACTGTATATAGAAAGCTGCCTGCAAACTGTTTAGCCGTCAAAAGATCTTCAGCTCCTTCCTCGTTGCTACTGTCATTTTCAGAGTAGTACAATCGTGCATATTGAAGATGAATAATTTCACTTATTGTGGCTACATCTGTTGTATTCTGCATTGCATTGACTAAAGATCTTTTGAGTAATCTGGACCTGTATGTAAGATTTGAACTCGTTGCTAGAATATTAAAGTGTGAATTAAGTTTATTAAAACATATATTTTTTTATCTGTAAATATATTCATCTTAACACTCACTGAATTTAAGAGCATCCACTAGTTTCATAGACGATATAAGGTGGTTTACTATAGCATTAGCAATAATACCAAATGGAACATTATTATCCATTAACATCTTGGCATTTGTCACAGAATCTCCCATCATGTAAGGTAAAACATAGTCTTTAATGGTTAGAACTGATGGTGTCACATCAAAGTCATTTGTCATTGATTTTATTGTAGTCAATATGCCTGAAATGAAAATTTTTCATTATCATGAATACATTATAAATACATTTTTTTGAATAAAACTCAATTGTACCTTTCAAGTTATTAGCATGACCATACGAAACCATTAATGGATAGAAATAATGCTCTCTAACAGGTACATCATTTTCTTTCATAGCTTTCATTAGTGGAAAAGCATATTGATACTTATTTGATTTCAATGATTGTAACAAAGCTTTTTCAAATGCATTTGGATTGTAATTTTCAATTTTCATCAACTTGCAATAATGTGCAACAGTTTTTGGATCCTGAAATACAAAAATTGAAAAATAAAATCTTTTACAGTTATTACTAGATTAAAACAAGATTAACTTACAATGTCACAATTGATTAGCTTTCTAATAAAGAATATTCCATCTCTGTCATTCATTTGATCATCTAATTTTGACATGTTTTTAAGCAAACCATAAGCTATTTCCAACTGATTATTTTCAACTAATTTGTTGGCATAAGTTTTGATATCTTTATTGAAATTAGCTCCTTTTATAAAAAGATTTTTCAACTAAATTAGGTAAGAAAGTAACAGTTTATTAATTTTAAGAAATCAATCATTAATATTTTTACTACAGTTTCACACATACCTCATCTATAAATTGAGAATGTCCACTAACTGCAAGTGTATAAATAACATCTAAAATATCTTTATCAGAAAATAAGATATCTTTTTGATGACATTCTTTCAAAGTTGCTTGAATTGCCTCAACATCTCCTACTGTCGCATGAGCACACAATACTGCTGAGTATGTCCTTGAAGAAGGCTCAATTCCAGCTTGGGTCATGATGTTCACTACTTTTAGAGCATTGGGAACATCACTAAACATAAAATATTTCATTAGAACAATTATTACAATTTTTCAATTGTTGTAATTATAAAACATACCCTGCAATAGTATGTCCTTTGACAAGAGAATTGAAGATGTTTTCATTTATGGGTGTGCCCTCTTGACTCATGTGCTCTAAAATTTTAGTAGCACCAGCAATATCTCCTTTATTGCAATAATATTCTATAAGTCTTTGGAAAGTCACTCGATTTGGCTCAATCCCTTGATTTTTCAATTCTACTAAGAAATCAGCAGGAGAAAAATCTTGTTCGTTTTCAAGATTGACTAGAAGTAATGCATTATAATGAGAAATATCCAATGCGATTTCTGAAAATATAAATAAATTATGATTATGCATTTTATATAATAATGAAATAGCAATCTAACGACTTACTATAATCTTTGATGATTTCCCATATATTTTGGGCAATAGATCTGCGAACTTTCAAGTTTTCAGCCTCTAAAAAGTTTCCGCAACATCTGATTAAATGCAAAGCTTGGGTAGTAGTCAGCGAACCTAGTATAAATCACATGCATGACTTTAGGTACAATTAAAAAAAAAATGTTTAATCAGTTAGTCATTTATATACCAGCTTCTGTAATAGCCCTCATCATTTCATCAAAATCAGATTTACGTAATGCACCATATCTTTTGATTCTAAAATCAGCATCCCTCAGCAATCTATCAACTTGGTACTGAGTATTGGTTGATTGAGTTGATGGTGCTGTTGCTACTTTGGTTACATAATTCCTATGGATAAAAAAATATGAAGCATCAATGGGAAGGTACATCAAAAAGACAGAGCACGAATCATCGAAGTTACGAGTCCCTGTAGGCCTGATTTACCTGTTGTCAAACGTATTGCAAGCGAGGTATTGGGCGATTCTGCTAACATTGACATCGCTTCCAGTGAGGGATGTATGATTGGCGACTCGGGTTAACCTAGCGAGCGTCGAGCCGGCCCGGTTGTAGGCCCGCACGTGACGTAGTGAGCGCAATAAAGTTGCCATGGTCGCTCTCCAAATGCGTTGACGATGCTCTGCAGATCTCGGTGCAGCCGTCGGGTTGAAGCGTCAGTGGCTTATTACTCCACTATAAACGAATAGAAATTGCGGAGTTGCGAATTTTTGTTACTGCAACGGCGTGCTGAGCGGTTCACGATATATGTGGCTTGAGCAGAATTACAGATTACAGCAGACTCCAAAGTTCAATTTTCTTGCGTACGGTGGAACCGTGGACTGTGTGGCCTGTGCGCAGTCGTCACACTTCAGTCTAATCTTGCAAGCTACATATATTTTAGAAAATACACATCTTATCCCAGCGTCTCAAACTTTCAAGCGGTTTAGCCGCATTGATATACTACAGTCAACAATCTACAGCCAATTCGTGTTACAGCTAGAGCAGCGCACAATTGTAAAAAGTTTTCGTGAAAATCCAGTTGTATTCTTTTTATTGACAATTTTTCCAAGTAGGAGTACCCATTCGGTTAAGAGGCGATGCTTTTGCGACAAATATTTATATCTTTTATTTTGATAATAAAAAATTGATGATTGCACTTGAAGCTATGTTTAAATTCTCAAAGAGATTTTGAAAAAAAAAATGATAAACTTCGTAATATTAAAATAAAAAGTGGCCAATGATTGGTATATTCACCATAAGAGTTTTTTTTTCGTGAATTGAGTTGGAGAGGATTTCATTAATAATATTTACAATATGATGCATTAAATTAACATGTCATCATATTGTTTGTGATCATAAATTCATGGATATTATGAGTGAGTGAAGAAAAAAGGTATGAAGTATAGTGATAACATTTTGAGGGATAATAAAATCGCAGTCAGGCAGACTTATGAATCAACGAAGTTTAATGTGAGCTTTTACTTTTGTAATTAACGAAAAATAAGAACAGAGCAGGAATCAAGATTGATAGTAAAGGAAGTTCAAATGATATCAATAAATTTAAGTCTAGGAACAAATAATAAAAATATATCTGTGATCAGATATGAAAGTGATTTGGTGGAATTGAAATATTGGAAAATCGGTAGGTAAATAAATCCACGTTTTTTCGTTAAAATCTTTTTAAACGCACGAAAGCTCTCTTTCCATGACGTTTAATTTGTTCATTATTTGGGATGTAACGGCGGGGGGTATTTTTTTCGACGACGGAATAAAAACAAATATTTTCCTAAAAGATATAAAATTTATTTTCCCATCAAAACCACTGATACACATTATAAGAAAATACTCAACAATATTTTTGTTCGTCGACGCGTAATTGTAAAAGATACGCGTGTAAAATAATTCCCATGCAACAATGAACAATTAGTGGGCCTTTTCCATCCATTCTACGTGTTTTACCACGAGCTTTTCTACAATTAACCTTTCGATCTCCTCTCCATTTTTCAACTCTTCGTCCGTCAGTCTGAGCGTGTTATCGCTATCCTTCGTTACGAAAACTACCTGTTGTCGACGACTCTGTAGAATATTGGCAATGACCAGCTGGAGAAAAAAGCATTATCGGTCTTTAATGATTATATATTTAAATTGAAAAAAAAAGTTTTAAAAACAAATCGTTGGTGTCATTACGCTGTGACTGTAATTTTCCAGGGCTTTTCTGGCTTTGCTTATAAGCACTCTCTCGTCCGTTTCGAGCTTGAACGAAACCACGAAGGATTTTGGTATCCAGAGATTGACCAGCGGCTTTAATACTTTAGGCACTAGTCTCAAGTGAATCGACGGAGCCTCGGTGGATGGTATTTTGTGCTCCGACTGTTTGTCAACATCGATTGGTGTAATCAACTTTATTTTCATCATTCTCCTTCCTACTTACCATTTCATTCGGTGGTATGTAAAAGTCCGACACTGCGGCTGCCAAGTAGACGATGGCCCTGTCCTCGAGGCCGCTTATGGCCTGGCAAACGCTTCGCAGTAGCCACAGATAATCCGAAAGAGTCGTGAAAGTCAACTGAAGCAGTCGCTCTTTTGTTTTTTTGTAATTCTTCAGTATGTTTGCCACTTTGTTTGAGTGCTCCGGTGTAACTGCGTAATTTTTCAAATTAAAACTCGCACCGCAATTCCCTCTATTTCTTTCTCTTTTCTTAACGATAGCATTACTTTTTAAATTTAAATACCTTTCACTGAATCTGTCGAGTCCTCACTCGTCAATTCCAACATGTCTAAAAATTTGTTTCCCATAAAATGACGCGAGAAAGGCTCCAAAGACTTCAACCTATAGGTGCAAGTTTCGTAGCATAAGACTTAAAAAATATTCTCAACGCGAATCTGCCATTTGTGGTAGGACGAGAACCAACCTGTACATGAATATGACTGCATAGTCTTGCTCAAGAAAATATTCTGCAGAAATGGCACCACGATTTCCTGCGCTAAAATTATCGACAAATCGTACCGTGTTGTGCTCGATGGGAACCGTCGTTCCTCCGCTCTAGTTTTGCAAAAACTCACGATTATATTTAATATATTTATTCAAGTGCAATAAGTATCGTTAAATAATCAACTTACAGTAATTACAACAACTTTTTTATTTGTATTCGAGAATCGGTCGATAAAGTTTTTCAGGAGCACTTTGTTCTCTTCGAGATCCGCTGGTTTCGGAGTTTTTGCATAAAATTCTTCCCACGTCGAGGTCATATTTCTTGGGCTTTATAAAAGAAAAAATGAGAAAAAATGATGAGATCTTATTTGTTTGAGAATCGAATCGTATTTTAATTTACTTTTCCTACTTTAAATCGAACAGGCACTAAAATATTCGAATTTTTGGCATACTAGATGATTGGATCCATTTAAGAATGAAAAAAATAAAAAATCACTGAGATAAACCGAAGGAAATTTTAGTAAGATTTACTGATCGATATATTTTTTGCATGTTTGATTAAACGAAAATTAATTAGTTGTCATTCGCACTTTTTTCAGTCTTTATACCAAGCGTATTTCGCGGCACCCCGCACACGTGTGTTTTTAATGGTAAGTTCGTATAACTTGTACTGTGCGCCATATACTTAACCTACAATGCGTACACTAATGATAACTGACGTTTTAAAAGTTACTCAGAATCCGATTGTTTTCGACACAACAAAACACGCGCTTCGCGACTTTTGAAAATTCATTTTTCAAGGTGAAATTCGTTCGAATCCCGAAGAGAGATATTTCTGCGCAAGAACGCATAGTCTCGATTCTCCGCTCCGATTCGAAATCGCCGAAGCCTGTGGGTCTCTTTGCATTACACCAGTCACCTGAGTTTTACGTAATCGGGAGGTGTCCATTAATCGGTCCATTAAAAAATATAACTTACAATTTTGTCTAACGTGAATAAAATCTTCCTAGTCAAGTTTGGCGCGTGTAAATCGGAGAATTTTGCTTTGGTCACGGCTGCAGCTCAGCAAAATCTGGTTTTTCTCGCCAATGTCTGTTGCGATGATGTATCAATCGCAGAATCACAGTATTATAAGCCGTATACGCGTCTCGCTTACGAAAACCGATTGACGTCACGCTGGAGATTCACGCGGCACTCGGACAAAATTACGGATCTTGAAACATAATTTGTCGAAGGCTCAAAACTCTCGGACAACTTAGCGGTTCTTAAAATGATCAAATTTTATAAGTAAATTATCTGTCCTCGTGAAAGAGTCTTTACCCCGATTATTTTTTTCGTAATGTCCTTTTTTCATAGTAGTTTACTGCACTATCTTATCGATCTTATCTTATAATTAGTTTGTGGTTCATTCAATGAATGTTTCAACAAATTAGAATTGCTTTCAAGTTAAATTATATACATTATATGTCATTTAATATTAATGACTTAATTGATTTAAAGGAGCTCGAAAAGTGAAATTTTTATTTAATTTTTCCTCCGAATGAAAATATTACACCTCAAAGAAGATATCAATCACTTATCATGTTGATAACTTTACTCAAATTATATGTTGCCAACACTGTACGAATTGTATTGTACCATTTGCTCCTCAATCCAATCTCGATACGTCCAAACCCTTGTGTATACATCCGGGAATCCCATTGCACAGGTCATGATTACGAATGACACGATGCCCACCTGTACGTCGTCGGAAACCAAAGGACTGCCAGAGTCACCCTGAAAAAATTTAACGTTAATATAATTGTCGATGCGGCAATAAAAAAAGGAATATTTTATCGTACATTGCAGTTTCCCTGGCCTCGTTTTGTGAAGGTGCAAATATTTCCCTTGCCAAGGAAAGGTATTTTCCACCAGCAAGAACTTGTAGAAAGAAGGCAGGTCGTCATGTATTGCAAATTGTTTGGGACTTCTCCGTTTGCCTATAAAATTAATTATAAAATATACAATGGCAGGATGTAATAAATAATTTTTCAAAACTTACCCTGAGTCTCCCCCAGCCAGAAATAACTGCAGGATAGTTATTTTCATCTATGTCACTATCCGGTAAACCAATCGGTTTGACTTTATCGCTCAATTTGATTGTTTCGTTCACCAAAATAAGACCGACATCATTCTTAACTCCTAGTTGCATACTGAACTTTGGATGAGCAATGAGTTTTACTGATTGATAAGCTTGGCCACCAGAATCAAGTTGATTCGATCCAGCTACCACCAAAATTTCGTCATCTTTCAAACTTTATATAAATGAAATAAAAATAAGCGTTATTTTTATAATTTCACCGGAAAACTATATAGGTCTATAATATTTTTTATAAATAACAATGAAGTCTCTTTTACTCTTTTATGCAGTGAGCAGCAGTGAGAATCCAACGATTCGCAATGATGGATCCACCACATCTGTGCTTCAGATCTTTCCTTAGCGAGACCATGTAAGGAAAAGCACCGTCCGGGGCTTCTTTGCCATCGACGATCCGGGTGTGCTCATCGCCAGAGTCACAACTAGCTTTGCTTATTGAATTGCGACGAGGAACACCATTCAATGCTATTCGTCATTATTACGTTTATGTAGGTTTAAATTTATTCATTTTTTAAATAAAATATACAATAAAACTCGCTTTTTACCTAGAGCATGTTTTTCCTCGATAAATAAACATGCAATAAGCAGTAATAGTATCGAAACGTCTCTCATTGTGTAAAGTTCACTGCTCAAGTAATCGGAAACAATGTTGAACTTCAATATTTATTGACTGAGTGATGATATTAGGACGGCTTAATTCGTATAAATATAGTGAAAAAGATATTGGCAAAGTAAAAAGATCGATGTGTCAAAATAATCAGTTCTTAATCTTAATCCATTCTTAAAAAGTCTCGATCAATAATAATAATGCAATAATGAATGAATAATATCTTAGCTTCATGAAATTGTTTCGAATTACTCATCAAAAAGATCAATTCTATTTGGTGAAGTCAAACTTCTGTGGACGTGAGGGGGGCTTCTTATACTTCACAGTACTCTTGTATTTTTAGTTTGTTGTGCATGAATATTATTTATGTCCCTCAATCAAACAATCTGAATACCTCAAAACATATATTACTAATTTTAATAAGTATCATCAAATAAATCAGGGGTAACCAAAAATTTAAGTAATTTCTATTCTTTAAATTATATATCTTACCAGTCGCATCGTAATTTTTTGTTCACCAATAATGTATTAGTAAGGCTTTGAAAATGACTAATAAAACTTCATTAGCATGAATTTTATAAACAATATTATAATTTTTATCTCCTTTGAACCTTTTAAAAACATGAGTCAATTTACAGCAACGTGATTTCTATGTACATACACTAATTGAACGGAAGTATTAAAATATATCTTTACATGCAAACGACGATAATTTTTGTTAACAGAACACGTGAAAAGATTCATTTTACATAATTATTTCAATTCATTTTATTAAATTCATTTAGATAAATTAATTAAATTTTTTATTGCTTTAATATGACGTCAAAAGTCAATGGGTCAAAAGTCAAGTCCAATTAAAATGTTTTTAATTTTCTATGGAATTAAAAGGTATCTTGAGAAACTTGATTTATATAGTTTTTTAATATAGTACATAAAAAAATGTTTCAATTTTTTTACGATCCATTGTTGTCTACTATTGTTCCTTTAACAAACACCAAAAAATCTCGACGGGCACAATAATTGCACTCAAAAAATGAGATTGTAATAAGCATCAAAACGTCCTGGAAATAAACTAGTGAAATAAAAATTGATTTTTTTACATTTTGGACCTTCGACGTCTCCTTAAAGTTTTAAATTCGCAAATACATTTGCAATGTTATAAGTACTGCAAATTTAGAACTAATCAATTGGAATAATTATAAAATCAATAATATTCTGGAAATGTGTATTTTATAATGTAAAGTATGCGATTTTAATCTTGGGCAAACTTACAATTATTCAATTTTCATTTATTTTACTGACTATACTAAAAAATACAAAAGTAGACTCATTCATCATTTCGAAAAGCTATTCATTTAAACTAACTATATTTATAATATTCAAGATTTTTGCAGCTTTATCTCCTCAATCGCAAAAAATTGGTTGAGCCTTCAACAATAAATCAGTCGTATTTTTGTATAAATGCATATTATGTTTTAGAATTTTTTCCATATATTTAATCACTATCAACGTTAATGTAAACGTAATTTAGTCATTAATTTCTTTTCTCAGAAACTATTTCGATTTTTAAAATTCTTTACGTTATTATCCTCTTCAAATTAGTTTTGGATGTTGATGAGTCATTTTGCAATTGAACAAAAAAAAATATAAAAATTCCTGAATCTCTTGTATTTTTCTTTCTTTCAACTTTGTTCAATTCGTACAGATGTCGTCACTCATTTTCATAGTAACAATTTCGTTTTAATTTCTATCTTAAATCTGTTTTTAAATAATAATTTGAGATAAATTATTCCTAAAATATTGGTCAATTATTTCGTAGTTTAGAAAATAATTTAATTATATCATTATCGTTTTTAAGAAAAAATGGCGAAAGAAACTTTTAATTTTGTTTTTTTATGCTGAAAAAATAATTTTGATTTAAACGTGTAGGATGTCACGAAAAAAAACTATGTATTGATCATTGTCCAAGACGATATTTTTTTGTAGAATAATGTTTTAAAAACTTTTCTTTTAAATTTTCCTTATTTTTTAAGTTAATATATTTTCCTTTTCTCCTAAAATAAATCACATTTATTATTTACGACGACAAAGGACAACAACATGTTAATTAGATATAAAAACTAAACTCTTTATTCGTCTCTAATTAAAATACGAAATGTATAGTCATCGTTGAAGTGAAATCTTGTTACTTATGCACATTCAGGACTCGATACTTGTATAGAAATTTTCACAGAGTAACTATAAGTTAATTATTTTTTACATTTTAATTAGACCTATGGCACTTTGGAATATAATGAAGTTGATTTTATAATGAAGGCAAAAAATAAAATCATAAAGATGTTAAACTTGAGATCGTCATAGTCATTAACTTACGCACGAAGCGCTTTTAGAAAAATCGACACACGTGAGTGTGATGCGAAATGATAAAATGTATTATAATAACGTGTATGTAGATACATGTAAACGTTTCGTGTTCTATTTACATAGAAAAATGTCATTATTTAGCGATCCATGTGTCCTAAATTATAATCAAGCACTTGTCTCCAGATAATCGAGGCTGACTGCTTTTACAAGTACATGCCATTGACGAGATAGTCGGCGTCGTGAGAGAATTCACCGCCCCGTCCGCGACCTCGGCGCTTGACGACCCGCAGTCTGCAGGCGATCAGCACGGCCATGAAGGCCGTCACGGTGAGGCCCAGCGCCAGCGAGATGACCGCTCCCTTCGGCCGCGACATCTCCATCTCGTCGAGCTTGGCCCCGTGACGCCTGATGTGCTCGGCCATGACCAGGCTTTTGCGCTCCTGATCGTGGGCGCCCGCCATGGTGCGCAGTTCCGCCTCGTGAGCTTAAAAGTCAATTACGAATTTACCTCGATAATTCGCCGGACTTATCCGCATTAGCGCACGGCTATTAGTGGCATCTACATACCTTTGTGAATGTCCGTCTTGGTCGCTTTCTCAGATAACAGTTTGTTGACCTCGCTGTTTTTCTTCGGCGCATTGTTCATATCCGCGGCAGAAGTCTTTGTTACTGTGAAAAAAAAGATTTGCTTAGTAAACCAGAACAATTTCCTCTTTTTAATGTTGAAAACACGTCGAAAAATCAATCGTTAAAGATGAGGATAATTCAGAAAGTGCGTAAATGTTGTACTAATCTAACGACTTTATAAGTCCCAATCTATCTGAATTCGTAGTCTATTATAAAAAAAAAATCAAATTTTATTTCCAAATACAATAATGTCAGTGTACTTTAAGAATTTTTTAACTAATTCACGGAAAGTAGTGTTTAGAAATCGGCATCTTAGCTGCATACTCACCATTTTGTGTTTCTAAACGGGTCAATTTATTTTCACTGGTATTTTGGCCTTTCAATGTATTGTCATCTTTATTCTCAGCAGACTGAAACATAATATACAATACTAGTTTCACTTTTTTCTGAATAAATTGTGCGATTTCACATATATATTGTGATCTGGATATCGATTTCTCATTCGATCGTTTCAATGCACGCCTTAACCTTATCAAATAAGCGACGTTGTGGCCATACATTCGTTTTATGTATATTTTTTTTTCAAGTAAAAATTAAAACATGTACACCGCATCGTTGGGCGATACCGGAGAATTAAAATGGCTACACCACGCCTTCGAGTGGGTGCTGACGGACGCAAAATCGGTATGGCGCAAAAAGGTCAGTTTCTCGCCGAGGTTCGCCCACTCGATGGCCAACATCGAGGGTTACTGCCGAATAAAGCTCTGCCCGCAAAGGAAGCCCCAATTCATGAACATCAGCTTGATACTGACGCTGGAGGGTAACCGGCAGGCCCAGCAAGTCTTGTTTTCCATTCTGAACGAGAAGAACGAGAAGGTGAACGTGTACGAGGCGGAGAAGATACCCAGCTACGAGCTGACCAAGTGGCAAGTGAAAAAGTTCATGAGCAAATTCGTGATGAAGTGTCGCGACAACGAGAAGCTCTTCGAGCCGAAGAAGAAGCTGCGGATACTGTGCGAGATGCTGCTGAGCGACAGCGTGAACGAGTCCGAGCCGACGAGCTTGGAGTCGCGGACGAGCGGCGCCTGGAAGGGAGGCGGCGACGGGGGCGGCGGAGGGGGCCTGCAGCTCTGCGGCGTCGCTCAGATCAGCCGCTTTCGGCGCGAGGACCAGCTGCACCAGCTGCTGTTCAGCGAGCGCTTCAGCGACGTCAAGTTCCTCGTGGACGGCTGCGAGATTCACGCGCACAAGAACATACTGGCGGCCGCGAGCCCCGTGTTCGCCGCCATGTTCAGCTGCGACATGCAGGAGAACGTGACGAACCGGGTGATCATCCAGGACATCGGCTCGGAGGTGTTCCGCGAGCTCGTGCGCTTCGTTTACACGGGCAGGATCGAGCGACTCGACAGGCACGCCAAGGAGCTGCTCGGCGCCGCCGACAAGTACGCCCTGACGCGCCTCAAGGACATCTGCGAGAGGCACTTGTGCAGCAGCATCGACTCGGACAACGCCGTCGAGTATCTCGGACTGGCCGATCTCTACGGCGTGCCGAGCCTGAAGGAGAGCTGCCTCTATCACATTAGCTGCCACGCGCACGAGATCGCCAACAAGCCCGACGTCTTCAATTCCATCGCCGATCTGACCAAGAACCTCGTGATCGAGGTGCTGCGCAATTTCGTCAAGAGCCCCAAGGAAGATAAATTCCAGTCCAAGTCGATGATATTTGACCCGATGCTTCTAGGGGCGGTCTTATTCATAATAATGCTATATCTCTCGTACAAGTACTACTTTTAAAAAAACACTTGCACAAGAACAGCTACAAGATGTGAAACTTCTTTATGATTTTTCGCAAGTAAAAGTAAAATAAAATTGAAATATAAGCAAATTAATGAATTCAATTAAAATTAAATTTATTTATGCGAAAGATATGAAAAATAAGAACCTTTTAATAACACCAGATACTAAAAAATACTCGATGTTTATTATGAGCTTTTTTCGATTTTTCAGGTCTCAAAATGGCTCAGAGATTGTTGTGATGAAGAAGTAAGCCTTCATAACATTTGATTAAGGGATATGGTGCACGAAAAAATTCGTAGCTGTTTTCTTCAATAATCCGATGGACTTTTTCACGCATACTCTTCAATTTTTTAAATGATTTTTAGTTGTTTTGGGATATTGTTACACGAAATCGCTATCGCTAGAGATAATACGATAAAGAATGACTTGCGACAGTCCGTGTGAACTTTTCTTGTTGTTCACGCTGCGGTGTCGTAACTTGTACCGATAAACAATGCCCTAAGATCCATAGAGTGTAAATATTGCACTTAAAAACTTTTTTGTGCGATTGAGCTATGTTTTTGCGGTCAGACCAAGCAATTCTTACAAACATGCATGCAGCGCCAGCGAGCGAATGAGTGAACAAGGGGGAAAACTACAGGGGTACCTGAAGGTACATAGATATCACAAAGATATGATCAAAAAAACTATATTTTCGATTATCGCTCGCGTTCGTTTTTCGTGTGCTTACTTCTCAAACTCAATGCGCATAAAGAAGTTTCACTTCAATAAAAATACCTTACAAGTTTTGACTTTGTCCGAGTATAATCGGGAATTCAAATTGAATTAGAGTCGTAGGATAGAAAAATTGCTTACATTGCAGGGCTCGGGTGTCGACGACGTGGCCGGCAACTGCTGCTGTTGATGCGGCTTTGCTTCTTGGGAAGTTTGATGTTCCAAGGCTACTTGTTGCAGCCTTGGCCCAGTTGTCGCTGGAGGAGCTATCGCGCCTCCTTGATTAACGTCCTGCCAGTTTCCTTGAGGACGATTCATCACCCCGGGATAATAAGGGGCGTATATCCTGTTTGGATCTTGATTGTAAATGCCACTGGAAATGATCAACATCGATTTTTAATCAAGCGATTGAAGTTTTCAATGCTTGTCGATGAAACGATGATTTACCTCGGTGATTCTAATTCATCAAGACGCGTTTCTGGATCTTTGTGGTTGAATATGTGAGGCCGTTGCTCTTCTGTAAGATGGACGAACAGTTTTATCGGATTATTCGTCGATATTTCATTATAGGAAAAAAAAGTATCGATGACAAACGTGAGGTAATTTTAGTAACCGAATAAAAAGAAACAAAAATGCGGACCATATTCCAACGAAACATAATAAACAAGGACGTACGTTGAAAACCGGAAGGCGGATAATCATGCATCTCCCCATCGTTAGGCTCGTAAGGTTCGTTACCGTTGATGATTTTACGCCCGATGGCCGCCGATTGATTTGGATCGTAATAGGCGGGTCCACCGTAAGCGGCTCCGTTCCAAGGATAGCTCATTTGTTTGTAGTGCGGGAGCATTTGCTGCTGCTGCTGCTGTTGCGACTGCATGGGATCCGCAACAACTGGACGCAAATTATTGTTGTAATTGACGTCGGGCCGATTGGCGTTGACAGGGGACATTTGCCAGGCTTCGAGGGCCGCCTTGGCATTGGCGTGGTTCGCTGGATAGGCCATTGGGTATTGCTACAAACAATCACAAATATTATTGGATTGAATGGAATAGATTCTTTGTGGGTTTTAACGCACCTGCCCATGCTGTTGCTGTTGTTGTTGTTGCTGCTGCTGCTGCTGTTGTTGCATCATCTGCTGATACCTAATCATATCGGGCAGCAGAGGCGGCAGTGGAGCGTCGTAGGGTTTCGGCGTGGCGACTCGCTGCTGCTGCTGGGCCGGGAGCAGAGTCGTGCGATCGGCCGGACAGCCGAGCTCGGCGGCCTCGTCCGAGGCGTCGGGACACTGGGGTATGCCGTCGCAGACGTTGTAAATGGCTATGCAGTCGTCGTTGGAGCGGCACTCGAACTGATTTCTGTTGCAGCTCGGCGCTGTCAAAGAGATATACATTCATTCTCAAATGGTCAAAGTTGAGAAAGCGGATCGTCTCACTTTTGAGCGGTGCGAGGCTCGTCGTGGACGTCGACGTCGTCCTCGGGGTCGTGGCAAGCGTGGCCGAGGGCGTGACCGGTGGCTCGAGCGGTGCGTAGCCACCACCGTACTGCCTCGGAGGACTCTCGAGTTTTCTGAAACGAGCGAATTAGAAACGGAGAATTTTGGCGGCTGCGGTCGAAAAAAATGCAGCTGCGAATGAAAAACAAGGGTACCTCAAGGACTTGAGCTCGTGCTCCTGCTGAGTGTGCCTGATCTGCTCCTCGAGCTGGGCGTCGCTCTGCAAGTTGCTGTTGGTCAGGACGGCGCTGCTGTAGTTGGCGTGGCCGGTGAACTTGCACTTGAAATCGTGCGGTGGTCCGCAATGGAACAGGTAGCAGCTTCCCGGTCTCTGCAAGCGCGTAAACACGCGTGAGTATTCGACGCACGTGGAACGTAATCGCCGATCGCGCCCTATACCATATACCGAAGCGCAGATTGTGAAATATTTCGATTTATCAAATTTATCGATCTCGGACGACCGACCGAGGGAGGGATATAGCGTGTACGTACAGAATGTAGCGCAGCTGCCAACGCGCCGTCAACGTGTAACGTAATAACACGATTCACCCACAAAGACGCGTTAGGTATAGAGATGCGAAGCCCGAACGAAATAAAATTGCGCGTAACGGTATGATTCACCTTCTCCTCGAAGATGAAGACGTCGCAGTGCTCGGTCTCGCAGCACCAGCGCATGCACTCGAAGCGCGACTGCACGTCGAACTCGGTGAGGTACTTGGCGCCCATGTCTCGCGAGTCCTGCGTCCTGATGATCTTGTCGCGGTGCACGACGAACGCCTCGACGCAGGCCTGCAGCTCCTTGCTGTTCGCACTGGCACCACCGTTACCGCCGCCACTGGAGCCGATGCCGCTGTCCATGTCCAAGTTGATCTCTTGGGCCGACGCGAGCCCAGCTAGCAGCAGCAGCAGCTGAACGAGGACAAAGAGTAGCCTGCTCGCCTCGAGACTCATGCTGGACGCGCTTGGCGAGCAGCAGCACTGCGACTGCGATCGTGTCGGATTAAAGCTCGCCGAGCTTGACCATGGCCCGTCGCGGGCTCGATCCTATGTACTACTACTGCTGAGTGCACGCACGAGATCAGCGCGCTATATAATATATTTGGCTTAATTCAGCAGCAGCCCCCGATGGCGATTCGCGACTGGCGACCCGCTGGCCTGGACGCGCAAGCGCCCCCTCGTCTACACGATGACACTTGCCTGTATGTGAGTCGCGCGCCACTTTCACTACTCTATCAGCGCGGCCTGTGTATATAGCACTCTTTGCGCGCGACGCCTACGTTATTGATCGCCGTACAGCAAGCTCGAGCTTCGCGCTGTATTATATTTTTCGAGCTTCGCCAGCGATATGTATATGCGCCGCTTTCAACCTATATATACGTACATCCTTCTTTGTATTCGATCGACAAATTATTTCATCGTCGGCTGGAATTTTCATTAAATATTTTCATAGCCCTCGCTTCTCCGACTGCGTCGTTTATTCTCCTTTTTTTCAATTTCTCTCCTCACGTCGCTCTTGTCTTCCAGTATGATCGAAACGTATAGCTTTCGAAAACCCGAGGCTACAAGTATGCTATCGATAAAATAGAAATCCTACCCAATGGTTTGCAAATTACATTTCCATTCCATAATCCAATTAATATTACATCGAAGCTCGATGCTCTTAAAAAATGCATAAAATTCAAATCAACTTATCGGCCAATACTGATTCGACAATTTTTCGACATAATTTTTAAATAATCGTTTTCAAGTTTCTTCGTACCATTAAATATTTAAACATTTAAATTTTCCAATAGCCTTGATATGTAGAAAAATTAATGAAACAGGTCACAGATTGAACGATGCTCTAATTTTTAATATGTTTTAATGAAAAAAAAGTTGGAATCTATTCGAACGTCTCCGTTACTTAACGTATCTGAATTTTGGTCAGATAAGCCAACAACAGCTGTGGCTACATATTTCAATCGTCCGCGTGGAATTTATCAATTGTCACTTTGACAGCCGCAATGATCTCGGTTGCGCAGGCAGAGCGAAAAATTATAATATGCAGTGATCTCAGTGTCGAACGCATTGCAAGCTCCCAGAGTAGTGCAGATTTTTCCGAGTGGAGAGGCTTTTTTCTGTCGCAACAGCGAGTGACAGCGCTAAGGTTTTCATTTCTGTTGTCAAATTGATATCAACGAAGCCTCGAGTGTCGAACGCGTAAAATCGAATAAAATAAGCTCTCGCGCTCATTTCCGCGCTCATTTCCGCGCTCGATGGGCAGCGGCAATACCTTTGCCCAGTATATGTGCGTCTGCAATCGCTATCTTACCATCCGGCACTATTTTACGGCACGCGCAGCCTAAGACAGTGCATTCTTTACTGAGGGAGAGCTAAGGTACCATAGGTATATATATTAGGTCTGCGCAAGAAGCGTCGGTGGCGCGGACTCGAGATTGAAGCTCAATACGACTCGGCGCTGATCCGTATCAGCACGTCACTTTATTGCGTTTGGGATCATCGGGTCGGGACGTCGGGACGTCGGGACGTCGATCGTTTAAATGTCCCGTAGCGCGACTACATTACGCTGTAAGATATAATGTGTCACCGTAGGTATACAGGATAATTTATATACGCGATGCGAGTCGCACGTCGCTGGCAACTTGCTTACATGACTATATTGAGATATGTATGCCTGTATAGGTGTACAGACGACATCGCGATGTAATGGTGTTGTATAGCAGTCCATATGAGAGAAAGCAAAACTGCAGAGAAGCGTAACTGTAAGCGACGACGAGCCGCTGTACTTATAACGATACATATAGGCAAGTGCGATGAGTTGACGAGCAACGATCTACTAAAACCTTCCTCCCCGCCACTTGGTCGAACCATATACTCGAGTCGCTGATCGCTCTCTCTCTCTCTCTCTCGTGCGAACTGCTGCTGCTGCCTATTCGCGAGACTGTCTCTCCAACTTCCAAGTTGCTGCTGCTCTCGCGTACGCAGCCGTACCGTTATTGTACACGCTATAATACGAAACCAGCAAAACCAGAGCTCAAACTCTCTCGCTCTGTCGTGTATAGGAACACATCTGCTGCTGATTGCTAAAAAAAAGTCATCATCTCTCGCTAGAGAGCGGATGATATGCATACGACTGTTACACTTGCAGTACCTGTACTTCTGACTCCGCGTATACTTTTCTCACGTCTCGCAGTGTGTGTTCGCCGTTGTGATTCGACATATTAACAGTGTGCTACGTATTCTACAGAAAATAATAATTATTTGGACGTTTTTTCGTCGTGATTTGTGAGTAATAATTCATATCGACGACAAGAGATTCGACGATTGATAACGACACGTATACTCGTAATAATACGCATACACACATACACGCATAAGCAGCTATCAAATTCGACGACGACATGTGCTGATGATGAGCTCAAGAATTCGTCGATTTCTCTCTATGCACTGACGGCTGTAAGTTTTCATTTTTATTTACTAACTATATCCATCTTCTTCCAAACTTCCATGCTTATTTTTCGTATTTTCTCGGCTATGTGTGAGAGCAGCTCCGCAACACGTATAGAGTACACAACTTTGATCTGCGACTGTGTTCAACACATCTGCCTCGCAGTTGTCATCTCGACACGATCATTAATGAATTAAAGTTTGGCCAAACCCTTTGAATTTTGAGTCATTTCTTTCTCAAATTCAAGCCTGAATTGCTGTATCATAATTTTGCAAACTTTTTGCATTTTTACTTAGAGATCTAACATCACCTTATCTTTAAATCAATTTATGTCACTCTCCATTTTGCCATACTATATATTCTTAATCTATTACATTTTGGTTCAGTTTTTAATCAACTATGACATCAGTAACATTGCAATCAGTAAAAATATGACACATTATCTTTGATGAAAAAGAGGTTTCATTAAATTTTAATAAAGCTCACTCGAGTTTTTTTTACTTTATAATATTTAAGTCAAAATTGAGATGAGATACATTTGCTTGTTTATTTTTATAATTAATTAGTACAAATATTTACATTGAAATAGTTAATAACTTTATAAACTGATGCTTATTTAGTGTAGGTTATGCAATTATATTTTCAGATTGTGAAATAGCTGTTTTTAAAAAATCATCAATTAAACAGAATAATTAATAATTAAAGCTGCAATTTTGAAATACTTTCTTCAATCATTCATAAAAAATTGATTCTAATTAACTAATTAAAATGTTTTTTTCTGTAGATGGTGTTATTGGATAGAACGTGGAAGTTGAGTAAATACTAACAAAACAGCATGTACATAAGCTTGGCTGTTAACAACTATAGCGTGGAATGAATGAAGAAGAACTTTTGAAGCGGTCTGCTGCAGAACGGGATAGAATATTCAGCTGCTATGACCGAGGTAGAGAAGGAGCAGAGATCGACCCTTGGGAAGATCCTGCCTATGAAGTGTACCATACCACAGACAGATATGGATTCATACAGTAAGAATATTAATTTAATTAATTAATTATTTTTTATAACATTTGTATAATCACAATGCTAAAATGATATTTTAGCGATAAACGGCTACCACAGAAAATGGACCAGAATGAAATTAAAACTCAATTTGTTGAGATGGAGAGATTAAAGAAATGGGATAAAATGACAAAAAATTGGGGAACAGTTGCTACAACAGAAAAATTAAGACGTAGAATTTATAAAGGTATACCAGATAGATATCGAGGTCAAGTCTGGGTACTTTTATTAGGTATTCATAAATTAAAAAGTGAAAATATTGGTAAATATGAAGAAATGTTACGTCTTGCCCGTCAGTGGTCTACGGAAATTAGGCAAATTGATGCAGATGTGGCTAGACAATACAGAGATCACATTAACTATAGGTAATTTAAAATTCAACTAATATTAACTTTAACAAATCTTCACAATAAATCAATATATTATTTTCTAATAATTCTTTTTAGGGAGAGGTATAGTCTTAAACAAAGGTCCATGTTTTATGTTTTGGCTGCGTACAGTATGTATAATATGGAAGTTGGGTACTGTCAAGGGATGTCTGTTTTGGCTGGATTACTTTTATTATATATGGATGAAGAGGAGGCATTTTGGGGTTTATCTGTTCTTCTTACTGACAAAAAGTACAGTATGCACGGTATGTTTATCATTTGAATCTATTTAATTTTTTTATTACAACTAGTAAAATGACTTCTTACCATTAATTTATAGGATTTTATGTCGATGGATTTCCGAAATTGAATCGATATATGGAGCACCATGACAAAATAATGCAAAGGTTCCTGCCAAAACTGAAGAAAAGATTGGACAAATGTGGCTGTGATTCTATACTTTATGCACTTAAATGGTTTTTTGTTGTATTCCAGGAAAGAGTGAGTATTGCCCAATTTTGAAAATTAAATTTTATCAACAGTTGTATAAAGTTACATCATTACTATGATTTAATAAAATAGACTCCAGTTAGCCTTGGATTGAGAATTTGGGATATATTTTTGTTGGACGGAGATCGGGTACTACCTGCAATAGCTTATACTATAATGAAGCTTCACAAACGCCAGTTACTGACAATGGATAGTCTCGATGAATTTTGTAATTACTTGCAAATCAAACTAGAAAAGGATTTCGGATACGACGACGACCACGTTATTTCTGCAGTTGAAAGAAGCATGGAAGAACTGAAACGCGCAAAGCTGGAGTATCCTGGTCCGCCATTGCCTCACGAGCTTCCAAAGCAACCGATCGGTACCTTCAAAGAGCCCACGTTTACTAGCAAAGTACAAACATAATCAGTTATTTGTCAAATGACAACAAATAACTTGACTGTTAAAATAATTGCTCAATCGTTATCAGGTCGGCAGAAGAGCAGACGAGTTTAGCGAAGCGCAGCAGGTAATGCGCGAGTCGCTGATTCAGCGCCGACAGACGGCTCTTATCGAAGACGAGGGTAGCGAGGAGCACGAGGACAGTGCGACGCCTACCGAGCTCTCGGCAGCCAGTAATCGTCGCATGCTCGGAGCCAACAATTGCGTGGGCGTCAATAGCCACGGTGGTGAGTGCGAGCAATCCAGCGATGATACATTATCTCCATCTAACACGACTGACACTGATAGCAATACTACCTCTATTACCAATACTAGTACAAGCATTATTACTTCTACCGCTAATGTTAAAGCCGATATCATTAACGAAAATCACAAAGACATGCCGCGTGACAATAACGTTAACGTCATCTTAATTCATAATACTCGCCTTTGAAGAGAAGTGTGTTAATTTTACGTTATTTATGCAGAATCATTGCTTTTAAATTTTAGTGCTCAAATGTCCCAAATTGAATCAATGTCTTACTCAAACAGAAATTATCAAAAAGTTTTTTTTATATTGTTAACAATTTTGGTTTTAAGGGAACACTGCTGTGGTTAAACAACAAACTCTTATCATACGTAACTTTATGTCGTAGTTAAAGCATGTATGCCAGGACACAGATTATATGTGGTAGTAACACCGAGCATGAGAAACATACTTTTTTCTTATAAAATTTCGTAAGAATAAAAAACCATATTTTAGTGATCATACTCAAAAATGTGAATCTATGTAGAAACACAAAAGTATAGATGCTTTGAAATTGGTACCCTTCCGATTTTGTGGACGAATTAGTTTTATCGCGAGGTCTCGTGTTAAGCTGGTAGAAGTAAAATACAATAATGTAAGCAAAGAAGTACCTAAATATACTAGATATTAAAAATACTTATATTTTTTAAAGATTTCGAACTCGAAAAAGATACGAGGAACTTACAATGTAAAAAGCTGTCTAACAGTAAGGAAATGTTCGTCAGTAACGATATACGTAAATTAATTTGAACGCTTACTTTATTATGTAAAAAGATAATATTAGTGCCTTTCGAGCATAAATTAAATTAGAATCGTAACATAAATATGTGTTGAAAATCAGTCAAAAATAATTGCATTTATTTAGTTGTTTATTTAGAAAACGTTGTGATTTTTAAAAAAGATCAAATTTTTTCGTTAGTTTTTTAGTTTGAGCGTTAAAAAGTGTTTTAAAGTTTGCTAGTATCATCTATCAAGTTTTACTTGTAGAGTGAGTGTTTTTTTGTAACTAATTTGTATATTTTTTATGTTTTACTAAATGATTATATAATGATGCAATAAATTACTCCAGAAAAATAGACGATCAATGTTTTCAAGCAATCCTCACTTTTTTTAAAAATGCATTTTTTCCCTTTCACTCAGTTTGTTTCTACGTGTACAATAATACATTCAACTTGCGAGAGTTATAATCATGTTTTGTATATCGAAATTATAAATCAAATTCATTTATTACAGTAATCGCTCATGACATACTCAACATTTTTGTCCCCAAACACAAACCATTAACAAAGTAGCAATTAGAAAACATTGAATAATAAATTAAAAAATGAGCATTAAATAAGCATAGAAGAAAAGGCCCTTAGTGTGTGTGATCTCTGCGCAGGGAGCAAGTTTTTGTTCGAAGCAGGCGACGGCGGGAGCAGCTTATCACCTCAGGGCTCGCGGCGCTCGCTGGCCGACACGTCCGTGACATCGACGGCCGACCTGTCGGTCTTTAGCTCGGCGACCCGTAGCCAGCCCCTCGACAATAGTCTGGACACGCAGTCGAACGCCAGCGTGGCCAGTTCGTCCGGCAGCGCTGGTCTGCAGACGCCCAGGGCTGGCTCGCATCAGCCCAGCCCGGACGTCGTGCGCATTTACGTGCCCTACGGTGGTGGTCCGGGCTACAAAGATGACTTGCCGAGGACCTTACCCAGGTCCCTGGACACCAACAAGATCCGCATCAAGGTCCAGGATCCAGATCAGACGCCAGTCGTTGAGAATCTCAAGCCCTTCGCGCTCGACAGTCCCGAGTACGAATTGGACATCAAGTAGATCGGTGAACATGAGTCATTTTGATCTTCAATTCGAAGCGATTATTGTTAATTAGTGTGTTGAAATGCTCATTGCGCCTCGATGTTCAATGCGAATTGTATAGCAGGCTGCGCTTTGACGCTGCTTCTGAGATTTAATACTTTAATTATACGAGTGAAACACGACTTTCTTAATGTATTTTATCATTTCTGCTGTATACTGGAATGAATGATTAAATTTTTTTGTCTGCATTTATGATTGATTTTATTTAATAAAGTACAGCCAATTTCAAAACAAATATATGATTAGTATAATTTACAATATAATCATCTTTATTGTTATATCCATACTATTAGGAACATACACGTGTAGCCAATGTATTCCATCCAAAGCATTATTATTATAAAACTATTGTAGCAGTTTTTTCATGTATTTATAATTTTTGGAATTAGTGATTGTGAAAGGAATTTCGCCATAAAAAATTTAGACTTAAAAAAATTTAAAAGACTAGTGACACTTTTTACTTATTTATTATGCTGCTAACTCCTAAATAATTTTGAAGATTTCAGTTTCATGAATTCTTTGTAAGCAGTATTTTATTTGCAAGATTTTGCTCTCAAGTCATGATTATTTTATTGTTAAAAAGACACTCAAATAAATGATAAAAATATCTAAGAAGAATATGATGAATAAAAAAAATAAATCAGAAAAAAATTGTTAAAAAAAGTTAAGATTTTACAGATAATTATTGATTTCAAAGTATTGGTGCAAATTCCAAATTGAAATTAAAATTTGGGCATTGCCATTTAATGATGGAAGGAATATAATTCGTAGACATATGCAGATTCAATTAATTCACAAAGGACTGTAAATTACTGGTATTTAATTTTATTGTTGCTATTGTTTAAATCATTGAAAGGAAAATTATAGATTGAATGTAAATAATATTTGAATAATCAGATAAAAATAAAAATTTGTACATTCAAAGTACAAACCAATTCTTAGTTTGTTGAACATGCAATATCTCTATAGGATTAGTGATGTAAAATTTGATGAAACAAACTATTTTTATAAAATGATTCAATTGAAGTATTTGAAAAATTAAAAAATGTGAAAATAATTGTCAATAAAGTGATAAGAAAATGAATTAGAATTTAAATCTTGTGATCGTTCGAAAACATAATGTTAAATCGGCGCTATCAATCGTACGTGAATTGTAGTTATCATCAACATGAGATCATTTTTATGAGCAAATATTTAATATTTTAATTTAAGAAAGTTTTAACCAATCGTCCAATGCTGTTCAACAGACATGGGTAAATATTAAGACGCACATGCATTTAATTATTCCAAATAATTAATCACGTTGCATATTGATAACTTTTAGTAAATAATACGCATATTTGAATTAAAATTTCAGTTCCATTCGAATTATCGTAATCATAAAACTATTTAATACAAAGATAGATCATAAGTTAACAGACTATTTTTTGTACTCGAGAACTAAAGTAATTTTTTACTTAAATCTATCGTATATAGTTTAAATAACGAAGTCTTAGCCTATTAAGTGATTTTTTTTATGTATGAAATTAATTATCCGCAAGTATTTATTAAATTTTTGTACAAGCAGGTGTACGCAAGCAAGTTTGACATATCATTTCAGAGAATGAATGTGTAAGATGATTTGCTTTTATATATATGAGAGGTTTTGAGGGCCACATTTGAAAAAAAAATCATATCCACTTGGAAAGTCACAAATAATTATATTTTTAATGCGACGCCAAAGTTCTGAAAATGTTATATTCAATCATATACACGTAAAAAATCACCGATCACCGTTAAATATTTTTTCTAATCATTTACAAATCACTCTATTGTCCAGTACTTATGAAAGAAAGATCGCAACGAAATATCGAATCGATAAAATTAAAAAAGAAATAAAAAGTTAACCCTCTAAAGCAATGCCCATGTCTGTTATATATTACGATAAAGTAAACAAATTATTAAGACAACACTCGATATTAAATGAAAACTATATTTTTTGCAATGCCGATCACAAGCGTAATTCGCGGGGCCTACTAGAATTCTTTGCCTTTCACAGCCGCATTATATATGACGAGTACACTTATGCGTATTACCGAAAAGTCGCGGAGCAACAGAAAAATTTGTGAAAATAAAATAGTGAAAAATAATCGTACTACGATATTTTCTCTCTATGAGCTATTAAAGATGCACTTCAGTTTTAATGAATAAATATAGAATGTAAAAACTTACATTGCACGATAAAAACTTTGTTGTATAAAATCGCCCGCAACGATGAAAATACAACGCCAAAAGAGAAAAAATTTGCATCGCAGCGAGATGGAAGTTTTATCAAATGCACGTATAAAAGAATAAACGAAAAAAGCTCGAAAAAGTTGAATCTTTATCAAGTGGAATTGTTCTTACTTTAAAAATTGTGAAGTTAGCGCACGATGCCTAAGGAAAGTGCGTTCTTACGATTAATTGATAAATGTACAGATTAATCTTTTCTCCGCAAACAATATAGTACGTAACACGGAAAAAAATGAAAATCATATTGATTCACAAATCGACTATGTATAATAGTACGATATTCGTATGTATTTATATGTGTGTACGCATAAACTACACGATAAAAAACATTTAAACAATATGTACTATAATCATTACAAGATGTTCATGTTAGCTTATACGTAAATGAGTAATGCCAGCTTAGCTACATATGAACAGCGTATGCACACGAGCTGGTGCGACGTATTTGTAAATATATTACTTGAGCGTCGCGTGATTAAACAAACTGCATTATATAATGTATTTATAAATAATGTACTTTTGTGAATATTTCAATTTCATCGTTACCCATAGTCAAGAGTCTTCAACTGAGACGTAATATATCTGTATCTATAATTAATATTAATGCTCTCGACCGTTGGAGACCCTCGGCGTTTGTGGATGAAGAAAAAAATTATACGTATTTTAAAAAAGTAAGAAAGAAACCCGTGTCTGTAGTAGATCAAAAGAGAATATATTATATACATATTAAATTATTGAAGTAATATGATACTCGTATATTATAAAAGGTTAGCCGATAGTAGTAACAAATGAGTCTCAAAGTGATAGATGAATGGGGATGAAAAATAAAGGATCAAAAAGTTTTCAAAGTCACGAATTTTCTATTCATTTACACATGCGAGCGTATGTTGCACTGATTTTTCTTTTGCCTAGCTTGTATTACGTGTGCCAATTCACTATTTTATTATTTTCAATGTTTACATTGTTTTCGTACTTTAGCATTTGAGAAATCAATTTCTTTTTTATTACGATAAATTAATTTCTCTGTAACATACACAACGAAATGTTTGAAAATTGATCCAAACAAAATTGAGGAGTGCACGTCGCGCTCCGAATTACTAGTATGTGGCAGACGAACTGCGATATATTTGTACGGATACAAGTATATTTTCGTTTGTTATGATAGTTTAATCATTATGCACTCGTAAACAATGCAATAAAGCAGTAAAGATTTGTATTTTCTGAGAAAGAAATTATTCATTTACTAAATTTCTTTTGGTATAGCATTGACACAAAATGAAATGCTCGTTATCCGTGTAGTGCTAAGCTCGTTGATATTTGCAATAATGTATTTGAAAATGTTGTAAAATTTATCAACAAATTATTGCAAGAAAAAAAGAATTGAAAGTACTTTATGTACTTGAATATTGAAATGCATTTTTGCTTTAGTTTTTATTTTTTTTAAGAATTCAAATATTCAACAATATAAAGCATATGAAACAGAGTACGATTTTGAATTTATGTGGGTCAACTTTTAAAAAAGTTTCTTGTACAATCCACATGTTATTCCTATTTCTGCAAGCACCAGAATCTTGATTGTAAATTACTTTCTTTCTCGTATCAGATTTATATAGTCAAAATAGCTAGTACTACAATTGAATATTGTTTCAATTAAAAAAAGTTACATATTATACAATTTTGTTGGATTTATTATTATTCTTATAAATATTTTTTGGTATTGTATTACTTACGTACAATTTCATACAAGATTATAGTTTATAAAAATTGTGGATTATTTTGATCCAAAAAATAAATAAAAAGTGTAATAAAAATATAAAAATATGAGCCTATCTTATTTACCCCAATAATTGTACAAACTGTTGAAACTTTTTCAAATATTTATAATATTTTTATTGTCCAAAGTCAATAGATTACTCAACTGTAGGATAACGTCAACGAGACCACATGTCTCAATGTGATAGTACATAAAAAGCTCTAAAGCAAAGCTCTGAAGCATTAAAAATTTTAAGTTTGTACAACAAAACAGCATTTCAGTAGTGCCAATTAACATTTTTAGCTACCGTAACACAAAGCTAATTTGACACCACATAAAATGTGTATTTGCTAAACAATTCATCGAGGAACATTTTTTTGCCCGCTAAATGCTAAGTTTATAGCATTTTGCGCTCTTGAAGGGTACCCCTTCCTATGCTGCTGCAAGCTCCGCGCGTTTACCGAGCAAAAATTTCGCAGAGATCGTAAAACGTAAATAATACCCGCGACATGTTTATAATAGCTCTCGATGTATTATATGCCAATACGCAGATGACACATACACACACGGCCAGTTAGCGAGAATTTCCCTTAATTATTTCGAAACAATGATCGTACGAAAAACACCTGGGGTAAGAAAAGACGGAAGGTCGGATGGAGGGAGGGGCATTGCGTTGGGGTGCGCGGCTGTTTTTATCGCAATTTTTTTCCCGACGAAGGTAATGTTTTATTTGTTGATTTTTTGTTGTTACGCTCTACCGAAAGCTACTCGCATGGAATCTTTTCCCGAGTGTCAATTTTGTAGGATACAAAAAATAATAATAATATTTGTTACAAAAGGTTTCAATTTGAAATTTTGGTTGATGGAACAGTCTGAGTAAAAATCAAAATTGTCCTGCATAAAAAGCTCTACAGGTGTGCTGGTAGACAGTACAAAGTCCTTGGGAGAATTCTGCTTTTTACATCGTTTGACACGTGTCATTATTTGTGCATCGTAGCTGCATCTGCATTCCTGTAAAATATTTCGAAGGTTTCCTCTCTTTCAGTTCCAAGTTGCTAACTATATTGTAACATTCCAATGGGCATTCAATTGTCATCGTTGAAATGTTCAGCCGACAATCCGCAGCTTTCGATGTTTTTACACGAGCAAGGTTGCACGAGATGAAAATTCACTCGACCCATCAAGAGCAACACGTGTTTATGCATTACAAATGATCAGTAAGAGGCATCAACTAGTGGCCGTTGCTGCCGACAATAGAAATTATTTAAGTACGTCATTTGCCAGATGACCTCAGTTAGATTTCTCTATTCGAGTTAAATAAAATAAAATTGGGAAGAAATAGAAATTGTTATAACTGCTTTGTTAACTAATAGAAGAAAGACGATATGTAATTGTTTCATCTATTGTTTTAGATGTTGTTTCTGGTTTTCAGCTTGCTCACGCTTCTGCTATATTATGCGCTCTTGCAGTTTATGTTAATTTGAATTTTTTTAAATTATTATTTAAATGCTGAAACTACTATTAATTTCAATAAATTTTTCTTTTCTATTATAGAATTTATTAATTATTTTTCACATATCTTTTATTCTTATCAAAATGCTACGAAATGTGAACCATTGTACATATTTTTTGTCGTGTCTGTAGTTCCCTTTTTAATACCGCGAAAAGGACAAAGGTCTGGTCTTTGTAATTTGCATGAATAAGCGGTTTGGAGTATATCTATAGCAAAGAAGAAGCAATAGGTTTCAATGAAATTCGATCGGCAGAAATGTCTCGTCGGATAATGATTAATAAATTGGTAATATAGTTGCGCATCGCTAATTCCAAATTCATCGCCGTCTCTCTAATAAAAAGCTCGCATCGAAAATGCCGTTCATGTATTATAATTCCATCGAAATGTGTGCATATCATGAGAGCAGTGAATCGTAATTAGCTGCTCAATCCATCGATACGTCTATTACACGAGGCACAAAGGCGCTTTGATAGAGGCTTCTGCGAGGCTCTCTCTCTCTTTCCTCTTGGGCTGTTATTGATTGTGCGGGTGTGTATATATACGTGCGGCTAAAACGTGACACGCGCGCACAATACCTACGTTCACAATAATATAACTGTATATAGAAGCGAAGCACGGAGGAGGCGAGAGAGAACTTGAAGCGCGGCATAAAGTTTGGAGTTGCGCGCGCCGCGATCGTGATCGCGCACGAGTACAGGCGAAAGCTGAAAGCTCTCTCTCTCTCGCTCGCAAGTCGGACGCGAGCAGTCAGTGCCGAGCTCTCGCGCTCGCTCGACGTCTCGTTACGTTATCGTACACCCACCAGTCCTGCGATACATATTTACGCGTGCGACGATACGTTCGTATCCGAGTCCTTCGCGAGTCTCTTTTGATCACGGGCCAGCGGGCCGATAAGCGGGCCCGAAAGAGCAGCGGCACACTGCGGCCGAGTCTTCATGAGGGCCTTCGTTCAGCGCCGCAAGGAGCGAGGATGACGTCGACTTGCACGAAGACGAGCCGAGTGAGAATGCGACTCGCCATCGCCGTCTGCTTGCTCGGCTCCTTGATCATTGGCGCGCAGGCCGATCTCGAGTTTTACAACCCAAGACCTGGTGAGTCTCGAGTCGAGCTTTTCTTCTTCCCCCTACGAGTGTTACCCCCCCAAAATTACTGATTCAGCTGCCGAACGGCTAATCCAACTGTTGGGGATGCCAGGCGGTCTATGTATAAGTGGCTTAAAGCGGCGGCGGCGAGAGGAGGGGCTGAATTTCACGCGAGGGTGGCCGTGCGTGACGTAAATTCGCGACATACACATGCCAATTGTCTGTATACAAGTGTACGTGTACGTAAATTCGGCGCACGCGACGAGGCTTCGTCTGCGACGCGTCGTGCTTCAAGAACGTAGACTTGCTTGCTTAGACTACGAGGAATATAACAACTACCCGTATGTTGGCTCGCAGACGTCGCATGGAATGTCGAATAAACTCGCTGCTCGTTCGTGGCCAGCGAATAAAAAATAAGAATCAAGTACGCGTTTGCGGACGAACTTGTGGGGGAAGCACGGAGGTGTGCACGCAACGATATCATCGATACTGCAAGCGCATCGATTAGTCCCGATCAAAGCTCGTCGTGATCCGATGAAACATGTGCCACTGCGCGTGATGCTCGCGATAAATATATAGGGCATGCACAGCATCGAAACGGCGACGTACGCATTCATTGAAGAGCTCGTAGTCGATCAGTTCTCGGCGTTTCTCGCCAATTGCGCCCAATTAAAGCCTACGTTCGCGGATCCAGTGCAGCCTATAAAGGCACGCGCTGTCGTCTCGAGCCGATGCTGCAGCGCTACGACAACGTATAGATATGCAGTGGCACATTACACGCAACAGCTGTATTATTCTTCTCTCGGCGCAATACACGATGGTCCGTCATATGGTCCGCCGCGGCTGTTGCGATATCATTATTGCGATTCGCTCGGGGCTGTTGTAACAACTGATTGTTTCTCTTCCAATTCATCCGCACATTCGTGCTCGATGCTCGTTGTATATCATGTTGTATCATCGGAAGCGAAATACGAAGAGCCGAAAGTATGTGTCGCTTTCGCACGCATATCCTTGACTCGTCCGGAATTTATCAGCGCGGCGGGATTTATCGCGCGCCTCCCGACCCAATATGTCGGCGCGTATCGCCTATACTCCCTCTTTTTCTCGTCGATTCGCCGAGTTATTAAAAGATAACCAATTTAATGATTTTTTTACTTCGCTGAAAACTGATTATCGAATTTTACGCCGCTTAGGATGGGGAACATTTTTTTATTTCATTTTATTTTTATGCTAAAGATTCGAATGAAGATGTCACAATTATTGCGACTAATTTTTCTATCAAAATAAATGCATCATTCATCGTAAAACATCGTTACGAAAACAATTGAGAGAATCGTGGAGAAAAAATAAACTTTTTATACGCTATCAGCCTCTAGAAATCACGACGCGACGCCGGCATATTGGTCATATATTGCCACTGTTGATATGTGCGCCGCAGCTTCTCCAAATGTCAATCGTGCCCAACGACACGGCATTCACGAGCACAGCTGCGTCGGCATTTTTATCGTCTTTTTTCTTCTCCCTTTTCTCTGGGTACCGTCTCGTCTGCATATATATATGGGTCAGATTCAGAATTTTTCAAATAAAGCTGCGGGCGAGGTTCACGGATTTTCCTGAAATTTTGGCATGTTATAGTACATGATAAAAAAGTGCCAAAACCAAAATTTTGGACCCCCCTCCCCCCTCCTACCCCCCTCCTCGCCTATAGACGTCCATTTTCTATCTATATTTTTTCTGAAGGCCTGAAGCTATTAAAAAATCTGAAAAAATTCATGAAGGTACTTTTTAACAATCCAAACAATCTGGAATTGTTTCAGATTTTTTGAGTGCTTCAGGCCTTCAGAAAAAATCATTGAAAATTTAAATTATTTTATTTTCGGTGAAATGGTTCGATGTACCAGACCGGAGTATTTTTTTCTGAATTCTGACGTCAAAAAACGATTCCTTGAATTTTTTCAGAATTTTTCATTCATGTCCATTCAGCCTAGAGCTGAAAAACCGCTTTTTTTCACGAAAATAATTTTTTTAAGGCGCTACAGAGTCTCAAAAAATCTGGAAAAATTTTTTTCTCATTTTGTTCATCAAAATACATAATCTCAAATTTTTTCAGATTTTTTAATTGAAGGCGATAGCGTCTGGAGCCGAAAAACGTTATTTTTAACAAAAAAGGTTCCTGGAACCCGATGGTTCCGGTAAAAAAATTTGAAAAAATTTTTTTTGAATTCCTTGTCAAATTTTAATAAATTTTGACCGTCGCAAAATTTCGATTGGAGCTTCCTAGCTCATTCTAGAGCATAACAAAGATTAATGCGAAATTCTGAAGACATCTGAAAAAAATTTAAATATGATGAATGTCTTCAGAATTTCGCTCTAATCTTTGTTATGCTCTAGAATGAGCTAGGAAGCTCCAATCGAAATTTTGCGACGGTCAAAATTTATTAAAATTTGACAAGGAATTCAAAAAAAATTTTTTCAAATTTTTTTACCGGAACCATCGGGTTCCAGGAACCTTTTTTGTTAAAAATAACGTTTTTCGGCTCCAGACGCTATCGCCTTCAATTAAAAAATCTGAAAAAATTTGAGATTATGTATTTTGATGAACAAAATGAGAAAAAAATTTTTCCAGATTTTTTGAGGCTCCGTAGCGCCTTAAAAAAATTATTTTCGTGAAAAAAAGCGGTTTTTCAGCTCTAGGCTGAATGGACATGAATGAAAAATTCTGAAAAAATTCAAGGAATCGTTTTTTGACGTCAGAATTCAGAAAAAAATACTCCGGTCTGGTACATCGAACCATTTCACCGAAAATAAAATAATTTAAATTTTCAATGATTTTTTCTGAAGGCCTGAAGCACTCGAAAAATCTGAAAAAATTCAAGATTGTTTGGATTGTTGAAAAGTACCTTCATGAATTTTTTCAGATTTTTTAATAGCTTCAGGCCTTCAGAAAAAATATAGATAGAAAATGGACGTCTATAGGGGAGGAGGGGGGTAGGAGGGGGGAGGGGGTCCAAAATTTTGGTTTTGGCACTTTTTTATCATGTACTATAACATGCCAAAATTTCAGGAAAATCCGTGAACCTCGCCCGCAGCTTTATTTGAAAAATTCTGAATCTGACCCATATATATATGCCGTAACTCTACAACTCTCGCGTACGTCTCTGCGGCGCATGTTGCACTTTTATATTTGCCTTGATTGCTTTTACAGAGAACCAACTCGTACGGAGCTTTTCAAAGGGCACGCGAGATAACGAATTTTTGCACTCAAGCAAAATTCCAAGCTTACAACACCGAATCCTATTAGCTTGCTAACGATTGCTGCGCGTTGCAGCTACGACTAACGAAAGAATGTTGAAATTACGAAATTTTATTGGATTTTCTCGCGTAAAGGACGATTTTTTTTGCAGTCGTTGTCACGGTTGTTCGGTAACAATAGTACTTTGAGTAAATTCGTTTCACATGTCGTGCGTCAAACTATGGATTTTTCTCTCTGACGCGTGTCTTTGAAAGTGGGTTTTCAATAAAATGTTATTCAATATGGACGTTTGATCTCAATGAAATGGAATTTTTCTCTCCGATAAGTTGTTTTTTTTCAAAATATATCAACAATATGAATCAAATATATTAATTCTATTTGACAATCAACGTTTAAAAAAAATTCGTTGATAAAAAATATCATATTACACCGACTGAAATTTGTAACGTACCCGATGTATTTTTGCCAAAAGCCGAGCCGAAAGTCGGCGGGAGCAGCAGCAGCCTCGAACAGCTCGTTCGTTATCTCGAATCACGGCGTCAGCAGCGCAGCCATCTGTCCCATGCTCCGCTCCAAATCGACGAGGACGACAACGACGACGACGACGACCCCGAAGGTGGCGAGCTCAGCGAGGAGAACACCGACGACGGCGACGAAGACGACGAAGAGCAGCAGCAGCAGCTCCGACGCCGACAGCAGCACCTGCTGAGCCTGGCGCTGCAGAAGCAGCGGGGACTCTTCAGGGACGATCTGCCGGAGAGGCCGAGCATCATCGACGCGCTCCAGAGGGAGGCCCAGCGCGACCCCCTCGAGTACGTGCGCGAGCTCGACAGGCAGAGGCTGCTGCCCTACTTGGAGTACGAGCCCGCTCCGAGGGTCAAGCCTTATCCTCTCAAGGACGAGATGAGGGTAGGCTCTCAGAATTGCTCGATCGCTCGACCGTCGTGATTCAAACGCTGCGAATACTCGTGCTCTTTGTTCGCAGGCGCGCTTGATGCCGTCGCAACTGGGAAGCGATCCTCGCCTCGACTATCCCGAGCCCCAACAGCAGCAGCAGCAGCAACACGAAGTGGCCAAACATCCCTCCTTGGAGTCCGTCCTGGCGCGTAAGCTCGAACTGATGGCCGCCATTGCAGCCGCGGCACGCATGCATCAGCTCCGGGAGCGGCTTCAGCAGCAGCAGGACGAGCAGCAGCAGGCCAGACGTCGTCAGCCCGAGTTCACTTTCTCCTTCGGCAAAGTCGCCACTGGGACGGATGACGACACGCCCAGGCCCTTCGCAGTGGCTCCCAACGATCCCCGATACTACGAGGAGGAGCCTCCACTCGTTGATCAACGTGAGACTGATCGACTTTTTTCCAATTATGACTTGTCTGCATTTGGCCCTAAAACATCTTTTGTTTCGATTGCAGATACGGACGAGGAAACGTTGAAAATGTCGCGATTCGATACTCCGGCCGAGCAACATCAGTTGCAGCAGCAACAGCAAAAGCAAAAGCAAACTATAGCTTCGGAAATGCAAGACGAGAATTCGGATTTGCAAGGGCCGCGGCAGAGCATAAGTGTTACGAATAAAGCGATAATCGAAGCGACCACATCACGGAAAATATGGAAGAGCGCGAGAGACGAAAACGAAGCCGATTGGCTACCGGAAGTCAATGTGGGACCGGTCACGAGCTCGTTCGCCTTTGGCATGCTGCCGGAGCCGCAGAGGCGTGCCGAGCACGATCCTCTCGTCGTTTCGCTCGACAAGGACGGGAGCAACCGAGATCTATACTTCATTGGTAATTTGACAGACAGAGTTATTTCCTTATTTTCATTTGACTTTCGATCGATGCTATGAAATGAAACATTTTTTCCAGTCTTGGTTGCGGGTTGCAGTGCTGCGGCGATGTTCGCCCTCGTCCTGATCAGCTTGACTTGGTGCAGGTACGCGCTTGACTTTTTTTCTTTTAAATCCGATTAAATCGAATACTCGATGTAATTGCGACTCGTTCTATTGGTGTGTAACACAGGCTGAGACGAGATTCAAAGGCTGCCGCCGACGTGGATTACCCGGCTTACGGCGTCACGGGACCGAACAAAGTAGTCTCGCCCTCGGGAGATCAGAGACTCGCTCAGTCCGCCCAGATGTTCCATTTCCAGCATCAGAAGCAGCAGATCATCGCTATGGAAAAGTAAGAAGCTCGTCGATTTCCGATGATCTAATCGATATCTAATCGACTTGGATTTTTCTCTTTCAAGATCGAGCAATCAGGAAGCGGGCTCGGTTTCGGAGCCGGAGAGCGACGAGGAGAATGACGAGGGTGACTACACGGTCTACGAATGTCCGGGTTTGGCACCGGTAAAATCGGCAATATCCGCAAAAATTTCGAGGATGAAGCTTAATCAGTGCATTTTGTTATATCGATGTTCTTTCTTTTCTACTTTGCAGACCGGAGAGATGGAAGTTAAGAATCCGCTCTTTCACGACGACTCCGTCACGTCGCAGAAGTCAAAACCTCGTCCCAATGGCAAAGACGCTTAATTAACGATTGATTGCTATAACACACACGAGCCACATACAGACACACACCTCAAGTACCTGTAGCTAGACTAATTGCCGAGTACAATAAAAAACAAATCAACAAACCATATATGCATACGACGAACTTAAGTCAACGCAAGAGACGCCAGTCCAACTATATAATCTACTTCAAGAAAAAAATCGTCCTTAAATATTAATTGAATGTTGTGATGGGATGTTGACAGCGTGTATCTTTCTTTCTTTCTTTTTCTTTGCTACTCGTCTATTTATTGTGCACTGTGGCCGTATCTTAATTGTTCGTGTTAGTCTGCGAGCTGATGCAGTTCGTATAATGTCCCGCAATCAGAAAAAAAAACCAGTGCAGTATATACTTACATATAGAGAGCAGATACACGAGTACTAATTGTCGTCGTATAGCTAACAAAAAAAATTATGTGTTATTGTGTCAGTGTCATGCATGCGTATATCTTACTCGAATTTTGTTCAAAATTCATATCTTTACCAAATCATACGCTGGCGAAGCTTTACAAATTCTAAAGACTATAAAATCGTCGCCCCGAGCGATATATTTAATTCGATAAACGATCGATGCTCCAAATTTTACCTTATGTACCTCTTCCAAAAAATATGGGCTTTCGTATGAATTAGGGTCTTAGATAGAACCTTGCATTGGCGTCCATTATACATGTCTATGGCTAGCTAAAGCTGGAGACACCGACTCATAGCTTATTACTGTGCATTATTGAATTTAAAAATCACGTTGAGCTATAATTTAATGCAGACATTTCTTCGCCAAATACTTTCTATTGGACATGTATTTGTGAAAACAATCAAGCAGCATTCTACGATCATATTATTTCTTCAAATTAAAATTATTGCTCGAAACTGTAAAAAATGATATCATGAATTCGCGAGGGACATTCTATTAACAGTAAAATATGTGTGGATCTTTTAATTAGCGTTAATTTTTTTCTAATGTGTATTGGTAATTTTTCTATTTACATCGAAGGATAAAAAGCAACAGAGCAGTCCATGAAAGTGCCAAAATATGGCATGCTGCCTTACACTCAAGTTTATTTTTTTACCATTCATATCGATCAATTAAAGGCATCAAATAATTGTTTAATGTTTTGACTAAGGATTTTTTCATTGAAATAAAAGGTCTAAAAATTATTGATGAATAATGTCAGAAATGAATCCAACCGATCAGCGCTGGACGCTCATGATAGAAGAATATTGTTGCATTGTAAGATTTGATGGATTAGAGGAATGGACAAAGTTTAAATGAATTGATGCAATTGCTTCGAAGATAGAAAAACTTAATTACGCAATATCTTCATTTAATCCAGTTGATTGACATTGCCATTTTACGGAATTATTTATTTTCAAAAAATTTTATTTATTGAAAAATAATCTATAAAGGCTATTGAAAAAGGAAATTAAATAAAAAATGTTTATGAAAGTAAGGTTTATAAAAGGAAAAGATAGAGGCAAAAAAAAACAATTTGAAAGCTCTTTTACATTTTTATGTTTCGAATGACTGAGAAATATATCTATTTGAGAAAAGTGTTTATTTTTCAAAATGTATACAGCTTTGATGCTTGTAGTCAAGGGAACCTAACACTGTACAATAGAGAGAATAAGTGAGAAGATATATAAGGCAAACCAGGTTCTAGTAAACTAAATAAATTTTGCAAGTGTATTTATTGTGGACCATGTTTTTTACACAAACTATGAAGTAATTGTATATGCGCACTTTATTATTTTAAACATACTACACTATATGTCTGATGAAATATGAATAACTTGAGTCAAACAAAAACTTTAGAAAAAACATTCATGATTATCTATACATCTGCTGTAGATATCTTTTAGATGAAGTTATTGATAAATTTGAAGGAATTTTTTGACTGATTAATTAAATTTCGATTTATTCATATTATCATGATTATTTGAAAAATAAAAAATAAATTAATATTCGATTGACTCGATAACTTTCCGATATCATACATATGTAGAAAAAAATATCAATGTACAATATCCTAAATAAAGTAAAAAAACGAGAGGAACTATAACTGTTGGCTGGTCATCCAGGTAATAAAGATTTTCATTCTATTGAGAAATGGGTTTGAAATAATTATTTGATACCATGCTCATACTATACCATTTAATTTAAGGCTTATTCAATAAACTATGAATTTTGAGTTTTTCACTCGTTTAGTGTTGAATAAACAACTACAAGTTTGTTTTTCAATTATATCAACATTTTATTTAGAATAGAAGTTTGACCTCATTTTACATATGGTAGTTGCTTTTTACGTTTTAAACTAACTTTAAAATTCATAAAAGAATTTTATCTTTTATAATGATGAATAATAAAAACGAATAAACAAAGTATAATGAATAGGTACAAGTGTAACAAGAACTTAAACCTATAAACGTAATTATTTGTATGAAAGGCAGTCACTCAATAAACATAGAAAATAAAATTTAGAATATATTTATATATCGATCTTATAGATTATTTCATCACTTATTTACATGAATAAAAATTCAAAGAAGAAGGAAAATCAACAGTTAAGAAATATCACTCGTTTCTAACGAGATAAAAACTTGTCGTAAACGTCAACAACTTGCAATGTATTTGTAATATCATTAGTAATAATTCACATCTGTAACAGAAATTATACACTCATCCATCTATTACGGTTAAATGCATTGATTTTTAAAGTCAGGCACAATCTACAGGTGCCAAGAAAAATTTATAAAACAACACACTTAGGGCAGTGCACAATCAATTAATTTTGTTGTAGTTATAGTTTCTTCTAATCAATTTTCTTGAAGAATCGATTTGATTTATCGACTACTGGTCTTCCATTAATTATGACTTGCGGTCCAGTGTAATACCGGAAAAATAAACTACTACCTCTTTTCAATTGATTACTGCGAGACAGATGTTTCCAACAGTCTGTCCAATCAGCATAAACTGGCATCATTGGCAGTTCACCTGCCGTTAATCTTGAAATGTAAAAGTAATTTTTTTAAAAAAATTTTCTTAACACTAGTAGTTCATTATTACAAATATGAAAAAATTATTTTCGTACCCGCATTTGTTTACCGCCATACATTGTGAAACCACTAAGAACGGATAGGTAAATGTAGATGCCAAAAACTACAAAAAGTGGTGTCACATTAGTGTTTATGTAAGTATATTGGTATTTTTTTATTTATTGTACTTACTGTCACTGTAGCATTCATAAAACCTCGTAATTCTCTGTCATGAATGAAATATTTATTGAGCACATACGTTGAAGTGTTGACTATAACTAGAGTAGTAAAACTAGCGACAAGTTTGGGAACTAGACCAGCAAAAAATCCTGAGATGCCATTTTCTTTGTAAATTTCTCCAAAAGATCCAATTATTGAGCTAAAAATGTTTCATCATGATTATATTGATTCAAATGTTTCAAAAATTTTATCATGTAATACTTACTCATATTTTGTTTCACCACCTACAAACTGTGCCATCATTCTTACAGTTACCACTTCCAATGGATGACTGCAAACAATTGCAACAGTTCTTCCTATTAATGTTCTAAAAAAGTCTTGTACATACTTCTTGTCCCTGTGAAAAACATAATTTTTTTAATACAAAATGAATAAAGGTCCTTCTCCAAATAAAGATTAATTACCTTTTATGATCTTCTAACTCATCGATAGGTACACTGTCATCTGGTTCGTCTTCAAACTCTACTGAACTGACTGCCTTATCATAAGCTATGGCATAAATAGCATTAGCACATAGCCTAGGAGCCAAACCACGATAGCAACCAGTTAATCCATCAACACTTTTGATGTAGCTCACTTGAACAGACAATTAATAAAATTAATTTTTTTGGTTTACATAAATTACATAATATAGTGATCACACAAAAATTTAGTAAAACATATATAAACTAAATATTTTTAGTTTACAAAAAAATTAAAACTTCATTACAACTTTGAGAGAAAATTTTAATACAATATAATAAATAGTATTATATTAATGCTCAAATAATTCCCCTGCCCCACAGGTCTTCGGGTCTGGGCGAATGCGGGACAGTAGGGAGGGGGGTAGTTAAATCTCCCTGCGCACGGGCTCCTAGCCCCCTGCAGGCCCTTCTAAGAAAGTGTAAGGAGAGAGAAAAAAAAAAATAAATGTGCATCTAATAGAATCTTACAGGAATGATCAAAACCTGAATTAAACGCACGTTTTATTGAAAATTAAGTAATTTTTTAGTTATAAATGATCTATGAATTTTGAAATTCTGAATTCAGCATTACGTTTAAATTAATATTCAATCAATAAAACCACTGTACTTACCGTACTGAAAAATATTTGGTAGGCCAAGCACAGGTTTACCGAAAATTGAAGTAGTTTGTCTAGGGTCAATTGGTTCATATCCAATCTGATGCATATAAAAAATAATTAGTTATTTTCTTACACCGGACGAGCAATCGGCAAAACTGATGCATACATTTTTTGACATTTAATCATGAAGACTTACTTGAATTAAAGTTTTGGCATAATCTAGGGGATGAGTGACAACATTTAACACTATGCGAAAACCAATTTTCGACCACACAGGCTGGTCGTCCTTCTCCATGATGATGTCTTTGACGTAGGCCAAGTGATTGGTCGCAATCGAATAATCGTCAATGTTGACGAAGCTTCGCATAGACCAATTGTCGCGAGAACTCAGGATCTCAAGCAAGCTCAACGCACGTACCCTTAGTCGTGGATAAGTAAATAGAGGATCATAAAGTTTAGGGGTAAGGAAGATCGTAAGTGTACTTGGTTATGATTGCACATAGGCAGAAAATGTTTCTAACCAATAAGCGTGCTTGAGAAGAAGCGAGATATTCGAATAACCGCAGTAACTGTATGACCCACATTTGCGGGATGTCGGTCAAACTTACACAGCGACCCGGAAAGCAGGAAAAGCTCTGCTTTGGAAAGATTGCAATTTACATTTTCCAAGCAAAATCATTGTTCATTGAAATGAACAAAAAGCACTATGATTAAAATTTTACGAACCGCAATTTTTTAAAAGTTAAATTTAAAAAAACCGCGCAAGAGCCAGAACAGCATCAGAACACTGTTTTTATTTGTTGAGCATTTGTTGTATAATTAAATAAATTGATTTAAAAACGAAAATAAGACTTTTCTTTTCGATAAAAATGTTTACTTCAAGTTGACAAAGTTTAAACAACCGTTACGAACGTGCGAAACCTTGCTTACTTATAAGTTTGGTCCAGAAAATTAAAAAAGTATTGAATTGAAACAAAACTGCTTTTTTTGTATTTTATTATTTTCGTCAATGAAACGTTTTCTGCAATCCATTACGATTTTGTAACTTTGTCGAGCGTACACGTTAAACTTTTTAAAAAAAAGTTTCGAGATTAAACCACGTGCTTCAGTGCTTTTATTGTAATGTACGATTTATATCGTAAATTTGATTTTGATTAATCTTAAAAAAAAGGATGATTGCTTGATTCGTAGACATCTTTTACGTCGAATGATTGAGTGCGTATCAATGTAAAAATCAAAATTATTCTAACTATTATTTTTTTAAATTCATTTATTTGGATGATGTAAAAAATTTGCAATATTTAATAACATCTGACGTAAAACAAGAGATACAAATAATTCTTATTGTCACGAGGTTTTAAGGGACCGTACGATGTGTAATATGCACCGAGCTTTCGTAGTCCGAGCTTACGGGTATTACCTATATGCAGGTACAAATGGAGATCGTGTTTATGCGTGTCAAGGATCTCTAGTCTTATTCGTCAAAACCATGCACTACCTAACGTATAATACGTAATTCACGGCAAAATAGTAAATTGCTACGGACCGCGTTTACAGAAATGTGTGCGCTCTCTCGAGATTTTCGCACAGCTGCAATTATTCATTAACGACTGGAAAAAAATATAACGTGTTGAAATGTGGTCGGATACTCGATGGTTTAGCCTACGCGCGACATTCGATATTTTTCCACCTTTTTACCTTGCTTTTTCTTCTTCTCTCGCTGAGAGAGCACATTAAAGAAATGACGCGTCGCGTATGTATAATGGGTTTACCCCTCATACCAAATGCCGATAAAGATGCTTCACATACAAAAGAAATTTCGACTACTCAAAGAATGAAATTGATGAAAAAGATTGAATATAAAAGGGGATGAGGTTTCAGGACAAGAAATAATTAACAAATACTTTAATGCAACAAAATTTTTTTACCTGCTACCAAATTTTAATCACTTAATTCATATTATCATAATCATTTGTCATAAATAAATTGTTTGTAATTTATTATATTAACAATAAATGAGTACGTTTTTCGTTTTTGGCACTGCTACAATATCGGTGAAGCTACGCTTGTGTGTATAGATTTATTTTTATTACATATATCGTGAATGGCATAAAAACTTTTTTTTGCATTTAAAAAATGTTTTTTTAAATAATTTCGGACGTCTTAGTGTTGGCGTAATTTAAGCTTCAAAAGCAATGTCAATAATGCGCAGTATTTATATTTATTATTATGCAGTGAAAAATTATAAGGCACAATATTTATTAATGTGAAGTCACATGACGAGCCCAAAGTTGCTTCCTAATTTTCATTCATTCACAATTAACATCCACATACTAGATGCTTTAGAAAATATTACATGCATTAAATTGCTGTGTAGTACAACTTTTTCTAATTTCACTTACAATGCACTGAATATTAAATATCCTTATACTTTTAGATAGAAAGCTAAAAACTGTACCATTGAATTTCACTTATAACGAGAATCTAATTTCGAAACCATCGGAAACTTACGTTATTTAAGATTATTATGAAATTCGTTGGTATATGTACTTGATGGTATTTTTGAATGTAGAAAATTGGTGCGATGGTGTCGTATAAATTCTTACGATACATTGACGCCCGTTTTATTATGTAAGAGTCAAGTAATGTCCTGTAAACGCCAAGAGGAACACTTTATAAAAATTGGTAAAATTTCAGAATTATGAAAATGTTCAACAGCCCCAACAATTTTGAAATTTACCGAGTAGCGATCACAAAGTACTTTATAAAAGTCTGATATTCGTAAATAATTGACTTGACGTGGTTTGAAATAATTGCAAAAAAGAGCTGAGAAATAAAATTTGATGATTACAACTATTATTACGAAGAAAATCAACGTACAATGATTCGTTGCTTTATCAATTTCAAAATATACAAACCATAAATATGAATTGAACTGCTATAAAGAGAATTGTACATTTTTTACAACCATGTATACACTAATTATCTATAGAATTTAAGTACAAAAAAAATTTATCCTATTTTGTGATAGCATGATTACCAAGTAGTATACATGCCCTATTTTTTATGCTCTAAGTTATAAGCCACAGCTTATAAACTCTTTCACAATAAAACGTATAAACTGGAACGCCTTTTTTACAAAATTAACTTTACTTCTTCATATTAGACAACATGCTTTTTTGTTTTACTTTTTCAAGTTCATTTTTCAAATTTTTAATATTGTAATTTAAATTTCTATAAGATTATACAGCAGATAATATAAGCTAAAATATTCCAATATTGCTAATATTTACACACGCCTTTGAATTATTTATTATTAGATATTAAAGGAACAAATTATTCAATATTGATATTAAAATCGAGAGAACAAAATGTAGATTTTTCTGACTCTTTGACATGCATAATTTAAAACTATAAGATCAGGAATTTTATTTCATAAAATATACCTCATTCTTTAACGCATCCGTGTTTCATTGATTCGGCACGGACAGCCAATATTGCTAATAACAAATAATAGTAGTATCAATAATAATTATTTGTAGAATAAAATATAAATGGGTGCAAGATGCATTGATTTGATGATTATTATCTAATTAAAATATATGATTCAATGCGACATTTGTTTTTAAATGAAATCTTGCAATCATTAGCTGATGTTAAATCATAATACTTTGATTTATCTGGTCATTATTATCGTTCGGAAAAGAGTCTACACACTCTTCTTCTTCACTCGTCTATAAATCTATTTTTATAATTAAATTTAACAATTAACATAAATTAATACGACACGTTTAATCCATGGACATTTGAGCAAATCCAATCAAAGCTTTGTCATCTGGGATTTCATTTACGGCATGTCCTGAGCTCTGAAAAAGAATGAATACAAATTTAGTTCTGTTTAGAAATTTTTACAATTTCTTAAGAAAAAGGTTCTTTTACTGTACCAGAGAAAATGTAACAGTGCGAAGTTGTTCCGTATTGTCAATCAATTTTTGTAAGTTTGCTGCTATTACTACCATGTCTTTTCCATCCACCAAACCAGCACTGACTAATTCTGAAGCAATTCCTTCAGCAGAGTCTTCCCCAATCATATAATCGAATCGTATGTCATTTAGTTCTCGCTTTTGGTTCCTTTGAAACGTATTTATTTAATGTACTCTGGTTGTATAAATAATAATAAAAAATTTAATTTTATAGAAAAAAAATTACTAACCTTAACCTGAGAACAAAATTTAAATTAGGTTTTGTATCAGTATCTTTAACAGGCTGTTGCTGTTGTTGTGGCAGCTGCTGTTGCTGTGATTGTTGAGGTTGCTGCGTTTGTTGTGGCTGCTGTTGCTGCTGCTGTGGTTGCTGCTGTGGTTGTTGCTGCTGTTGCGTATTCTTAGTGGCTTGTACGTTATTTGATCGAGCGCATTCGTCATTTTCGTGAACGTCGTCATCGCTACCACTGTTATCTCTTTCGATGCGATTGATTGGCAGATCTTTATCTTTGCCATCTTCGTTATCACTTACACCTCCACTTTCTTCTTCTGATGACCATACCCATTCACCTGCCACGGTCCGATGAAGACGACCGGAAGTACCAGGTTGACGCTTTGATGCCTGAGAAAATAAACTTATTAGTTATATTTTACTCTTCTGTGCTCGGCATAAAATTTATTTCATACCTTTTGCACCCTAGTTTCTAGACTAGGTCCAGTTGCCACCAAAGTTTGCTGAAGGAATTTTTTATCTTTTGCCTTCTTAAAAAACGGGTGTTTTAACAATTCTGTAGCTGTAGGTCTGCATTCATAGTGAAATGATTTTCAATTATTTGTCATGTTTTATAATATTGATATAATTTAAGAAAAAATTATACCTTTTTGTAGGATCTTTTTGCAAACAATCAACTATCATTTTACGAAATGTTTTTCCGTAAGCTTTGTACTGATCTTTATCATCAGCAGCTGTGTCAAGGGTTGGTGGATCATTTTGCAAAGTAAGCATCAGAACTTTCATAGGTGGGAATTTGTGGTAAGGAGCTGTACCACTTGCCATTTCTATTGCAGTTATACCCAAAGACCAAATATCTGCTTTGAAATCATAACCATGATCCTGTAGTTAAAAATTAATATTCAGCAACTAATTCATAATAAATAGAATACATTTATAGTAAAAAAGATTGATAAACATTCATTTATGATGAGCTCATAAAAAGAAAAATTAATCAATTTTTTTAAGTGATAATTGTTTCATGCTTTGCCACATACACATCGGGCTAATTTTTATAATTTAATAAAAAATGAGTATATTGCAAAGCAAACCATAATCTATAATTGCAATTTACATGCTTATCAAAACATTCAAAGAAATATTCCAATTAAAAAGCCTGTCATGAGAGGCCCATTAACATAAGGATAAATATAAAATGCAGTATTAAAAGCAAGGCTTATTAACTAACAATCACTAATTCTAAATCAATTAAAAATTCATAGCAAATAATAGAAAAAGTTTCAGATTTCTAAAAGTATAATGCAAATTTACTGATAGCCATAAACCATAACCAAGTGATAAATAGCTGAATAGATAATATTTACTTAATTTTTTGAGCAAAAATAGTAACAAAGTAGTAAAAAAAAATTGAAAAAGTATGAAAAAGGCAAAACTAAAAATCTTAAAAACTCGAAACGACATCAATTGCAGGCTTAGAAATTGGAATGTAACTTTCCTCTCTCACCTGCTCCATTACTTCAGGGGCCATCCAACAAGGTGTACCAACAAAAGTGTGTCGAACTTTTTGACGGCTAAGATCACGACCCGTAGCAAGCCAGGCACTAACACCAAAATCAGCTATTTGCACTGTGCCATCATCACCTAGTAAAATATTTCCTGCTTTTATATCTCTGAAAAATCAATTATTTACATTACCATATGTGAAAATAAATTGAATGAAATAGATAAAACATGATATTTTACCTGTGAATCTGACCATTGCTGTGAAAATATTCTAAGCCTTTGAGTACCTCTCGAAGTACAGTTGCAATAGTTGCTTCATCAAAGACACCATGTTTACAATTATTTGTTCTCATTTTATGCTTAATTATATCTAAAAGAGAACCACCCTCGAGTAATCTTAAAACTAACCATAGTTCATCAACTACAACAAATGAAGTATAATATGTTACAACGTTTTCGTGATTGCATGATGACATGGCCTGAATTTCTTTCTGCAATTAAATAATAATTTTTTAATATTTTTAATTATAAATAAATGTAATTTTCAGTTTAATCTCAAATTTAGCAAACCAGTAATTCGTCCATGCTTGTGTTCCATTTTTCTAAATTTATGCGTTTTATAGCACATTTTTCTTGTCTTGGTATACAATAAGCGGCGTGAACAGTTGCAGTAGCTCCAACACCTTTCAAACAAATATAAAAGAAATTAATTTAAAAGTTCATGTAATTTTTTATTAATATTGCTCTTTTTATAATTAAATTGTATCAACATTTTTTAATTTTATAGAAAATATTAAAATTCTAAAAGTTCTAAATGTAGATTATTAAAGAAATTGGATTTCAAAAATTTATGAGTTATAGTTTCTTAAAAGATAGTAGTTTTTAAATAGCCATAAGAACTGAGTTTTTTATAAGTTTATTTGATGATGAGAAATTTTCCCAAACAATATTTAACCTATAACTATAATATAAAAAATTGCAATTGCAAAAATATCTTCAATTAAAAGTTGTTGACCCTATCATCAGAGAAATGTTATACAAACAAGCATAAAAAGAGAAAAAAGGGTTGTTTAGTTCAAAAAGCTGAATTGTAGATGCTAGATTTCAATATAATTTAAACGTGTCATTCTATTTATAGAAGTAAGTGTTGTAATATAATTTATTAGTATTAATCGTGTGATTTCTCGCACACTATAAATATCTAACCTATTTTTTCATGGCGTTAATAATCGAACGAAATATTATATTCAATTAAAAAGGTAGCTATTCATTAAGAAAAATAGTAGAGAAAAAAAGGTAACATCGAGAATCCATGCGAGTTTGTGACTTTGCGAATCAAAAGCACGACAGCAGCGCAAGCTCGGCGATAAACAGACGAATGACAATAAAACCCGAATTCGCTGGAAAGTCATGTTTTTTGACAGAAGTCAATAAGAATTGAGAAATGGATGACTCGTAAACGAGACATGGCTTAGCTGAGTCCGAGACGAGGACGTAGCTAGTCACTGTGCAAGTCGTCGTCGTCAGAAGTCGTAGCAATCGAAAGTTGAGACGAGCTGAAAGTAGATCAGCCCCTAGCTCGTCGCGATTCACGCCGAGGTTTTGTTTACAACCGAGCTAATTGGGGCTCGATCGACAGGCAAATGTTACAAGCAAAAGCAAGATGAGTCGGAAGGGCCGAGTACGTACCGATGACCTCGCGCAGCTCGTAGTCGTCCTTAGAATTCGGCCAGGTGCCCTGTGGAGGCTGTGTTGCGTTGCTGGCTGACGCCATCTTGTCAGACATGCTACTGAAAAATGAGCGCCGGCACTTGGCAGAAGTTTTGCGGCTACTAGCACCACTGCGGGCGGCAGTGTTGTGTTGCTGCTGGTGTTTGCTGCTACTGCTGCTGCTGCTACTGCTGCGGCTGGTTGTGGTGCTGCCGCTGCTAGTGGCGATGCTCGGACTTTTAATACTTGGCGCGCCGACGATCGCTGCTCTGTTGCTCGTCGAGGAAGAACACACGACGACAGCTGTGGTTGCTGCTGTTGTTGTTGTTGCTGCTGCTGCTGCTGACACTAATGAGGTTGCAGCGCCGCTGCCGCTGTTGTCTACGCTCCTCGCGGTCGAATCGTCGCACTCGCCCCAGCTGCTCAGTGCCGTTGATCTGTCGCTCAAGCTCCGCGCGAGTCGTACAACTGTGCTGCCGACGAAGCCGCCGATGATTTTCTAAGTGTGAAAATACATTCATCGCGTTAGACAATCTCACTCGTAGTCAATTGGAAATTAATACGTCTATTCGTTTCAGCTTTGTTTTGGCTGGCAAAGCTCCCAATTAAGATAACAAATAAGATAACAATAAGAGTTCTTTTTAGAATTTATTTTTGAGTAATTAACGTTAATTAAAAAAATTATTTGTACTATATATTATTTCTTGCTCCCTCCAAAAAACTGAGGTTGATTTATACGATTAAATTGATATCTTCATTGAAATTTTGCTACTGTGCATCTGCGACAACTTGAGTTGAGTAAAATGTCAAAGTCTCTTTAAACATGAATTGAACGCACTCGAATTCGATCATGACAGATGTTATGTACCCATACGTTGGCCAGTAGTACGGACAAAATAATAATGACAAAAAGTAAGAAGAAAAGAAAACAGATTACACACGTGCGCTCACGAGAATTATTAGATAATAGTAGGCCGATTGTGTCGCGATCGGCTCGCGATCGATATAAAAATCATCGCTCTCGTCGTATCTCGAGTTCATTGCGTTATTACACGCGTCGTGTACGGTACGCTTATCTGCTCGTGGAGAATAATAAACAGTCGCAGACGCTACTGTACGAATTGCGTCATTCCTCGCTTTTGGACGCATTATCGACATCATACTCATTTCTATGCCCTACGTATGAATAAGTATTTTAAATTTCGATTCGCGCAACTGCACCTGAGTCATTAAACTGGATGCTTCCTGCGTGAGATAATTCTCAAATTATATACACCGATATCATTGCTGAGACTCTCTGGCTAGTTGCGATTTTAGCGCTACAGTTTATTCTTCGTCACCCTTTCATTAGATCGACACGTGCGACTTATGTAAATATTTCGAAAGAATATTTGATACAAGCAAAATCGCGAGTACATATTTAAGAGAAATTCGTAAGCCACGTTACTTTATTGTTCAAAACTATGATTCGATCGGCTGTTTTACGTAGAAACATTTTTCAAGCATAACTAGCTTCTTTGGAATTTCATTCATACATTTTTCTTCGATTAGTCAAACTTTGTTGTTCTAAACTATTTTTTTATTAAATATTTCATAATCCAAAATTAGTTGATTTCAATGTAATTGGTAATTGAAATGATATTAAATTATGTCAATAATACCTCAACCCGCACCATCTAACTAAAAACTATTCGTTGAGATATATCTTGATAGTTACTCTATTATCGTGTTATTTCTAAAACGCAACTTTATTCGAATTTATTTTTAATGAATCTTTCTATCGGTACTTATAAATTAAAGTTACGATGATCAGCAGCTTAAACCCGAGTAGACTAAATATTTGTCGAGTATTTGTTATTTGTTTGTGGCGTATAATTTCCAACGATGATAAGTGATTATGGTAAGGTAAGACATTGTGTATTTTTAAAAATTTAGCAGAAAACGACTCCGAGTCTCTACGCCATGCAGAAGGCATATAGATGTTTTATCTTGGTGCCCTACTCCGGGAACAGAGTATTAATTAAAACGGATGCTAAATATAGAGGATTTTCGTAACGGGAGTCTCGTTACGGGAGCCCGTATATAGACATCAGTCAAATGTTGAAATACACTTGCCAGTTGACAAAAATGTCAGTGGTCTGGATTTTTCCGCCGCAACAGAATAATTTAACACTCCTGTTATATTGGCGTATCGTATCTCTTTCAATTTTTCTTCGATACGACAAATTTTCTCACCTCCAAATTAAACCTAACATATTTTCGTTCAAAAAGATATTTAATTTTTAAGTGAAAATAAATAAAAAGGCATTACGATAGGAGTTCACACCTGCTGTTGTTGTTGTTGTTGCTGCTGCTGCTGCTCGTTACGCTTCCGTCTCGCTGCTGCAATATTATTATCAGCGGCGATTAAGGTGGCCAACGGCGATTTTGCGATATTTTTGAAGGAAATCTGTTGCGTCTGTGGCTTCTGCTGCAGAGTCGGCTCTATTCTGCCGTTAGTGCAACTAGTCGAGTGATCGGCATCGCCATCGACGACTGGACACTGGGCCGACGTGCAGCAGCGATCCGGCGACGACGACGGCGAAGGCGTAGCTTTGACACTCGCGTTCGAGGACCTTCGTGGCCTGAATACACCCTGCGAGCCCGACGGTAAGATGTCCGGAGAGACTTTCCTGATACAGAACAATCGTACTTTATTGTAATTTGTCCAAGAAAAAACAGTGACATGAATGTATCGTGGAGTGAAGGTGGAAAATAGCACCGATTGATCACGCACATCGTTTCTGCGGCTCACAATGGACAACAACCTCGAAGCTCCGATATTGATTTTTTCGCTTTTTTGTTTAATCGAAAAAAAAAAAAAAAAATTAAACCCTAGTCGTCGTCGTGGGCACACAACGTACGCGTGCGAAATCCACCTCGATCGTCACATCGACAGGCTACGCTCCCAACTATCAGCCAATATTTTTTTTCGCACGATATAACTAAGTGACGTGCGAAAAATTCGATTATCAATGATAAGACTGTATAATACGAATTAGACGTCAGATGATACATGGCCACGCACGCACGCCAAAAAACATGTAAATACAAGCTGTGTGCGAGACCGTTCACTCTGAGGCCGATCGTCCCAACTGCTGAATTGAATAATTTATTGCTCACCGCGTATCGCTTTTTTTATATACGCGGTGATTATCTGCTACCCGGCCAAATATCATCGATTCTCGATCTATGCAGCGATTATGTGTAAGCTTGCAGTTGCATCCCACGCGATTTCTTACAAGCGAATCTATTCAAGTTCAAAATGATTTTTTCAACTAAATTGCATAATTTCCACTTTTTTCCATTAATGCGTTATGAGATACATACTAATCAACTAAAACAAATAAATCGACTTATTTTGATATCAAATGTGAATGCGCACCTTAGTTCGTTAGTTAGATTAACGTAAGATAATGAAGCATCATTAAGACTTGGGACGCGTAATTCGGCAGAAACGTCTTGTTCTATCAGTAAATTCATTTATCAAACTCTCATTATCACGATGAGAAAGTATGTTTCATTATTCGTCAAATGCATGATTGAAACGAAACACGCATACTTTTTAAAAATAATAAGAGATGATGATAATTACAAAGAAGAAACGGAGACGCGTGATCAGTAGATTTGGCCGAATTAAAGGGCAAATCAGTACTGATGAAAATGTTATTCGGGGGCCGAAAAGTAACGCGAGAAGATCGCTGACAGCCGTGCTTATATTGATTTAAATTATTATCGAAAAACGGGCGAAGAATGTGCGTACATATAATGCTGGTTTGGTCTGTATATTGCTGCTGCGTCCGTATTATTGATTTTGACATTAGTCGATGAGATATTATTTATGAACGTCTTCAATGGGATCGAAATGATTTACCTTAAACACTTTTACTGTTGAGCAGTTGGTGCATCTTCAACGATTCGTTAAATTACATATATGAGCAATTCTAAAAAAAAACACATTTTTTGAGGTACAATTGCGACAACATTTTTTTCACTTGAAATGCTTACCGACAAAAATTTTGATAGTGAGAAGACGAATAGTCATGCTTTCTCGTAAATAAGGTTACGTACCTAATTTCTAAGTCACTGAAAAATTATCAAAACTCATCTAAAAATGTAACTGACTACTGTATTCGATAAGAAATGTCTTCAGCTTGTCGATAGTGAAATCAGATTTTCCGATACGTTGCATTTTCATCAAGAAAATCGCCATTAAACATGCCGTGCTAAATATCACGAAAAACTCGGTGTTTCTTTTAAAGAATTACTCATATACGCGTATGATTCGTCCATTTACAAGATTACATTCAAGATAGAAAAACAACAAAAGCGACAATAGGGTGCTAAAGCTAGGATAGAGAATTATATGAAGTGAGGGGAATGACGTAAGGTCATTGACCTCGCCGTAGTCGAGGATTATTGGGCCAAGTCAGAGCAAAAAATCAAGACCCGCAATTTGGAACATATGATATAATGGCAAACGTCAAAATTTTGCACTCATTAATTTTACATTATTCTGTTCTATAGGGCCAATTTTCAAAGTCACACTTGATTCTAATAATTTATCGATTGAAGTAAACAAAAGTCATAAAATTTATAAATGCTGATTGGCGAGGGACAACGAGAAGTTGAGCGGTTCGATACTGAGAACGGTACATGAGTTGAAGAAAATAATAATAATTAAATAATACATATTTTGATCGCGTTCCAAAGTTGGAAAAAAATTCACTGCGGATACTTACAGTTTTAATGATTGGAAGAGCAGTTCGCAGCTTCGCGCTTACACACGCCCGAGTGCCAATCTGTCGATTCCAGAGGCCCGATATATATCGTCGACGAAATAATGTAATATGAAAAAGTTGGACGATCGGACACAGCCGTCCTTGTTTGCCGAGAGTACACGAGCTATATCTCGCTTGTGTACATTGTACACAGCTGCCTGCCTGTATAAATTTATATAAACGCGTGTCGAGGCGCGCGCAGTCCACCCAACCCTCCCCGGGTAGCTGGCAGAAGAGGACGACGACGATTTGACGCGCCTCTCGCACGCGTCCGTCTGATTTCTTTCTGCTTTTTTTTTCCTAGTCCTCTCCCTCGGGCGCGAAATGCTCGCGTATATGTACGCCCGGAGCGGCGACAGCAGAAGCGTCAGTGCCGCCGATCGGAGGAGTTTCGTGTGATATTATAAAAAATTGTATCTCTCGACGCGCATGGCTTGTACATACGTATTTTTTGATAAATACACTCGATGTCGCCGGTATCGGCTGCACTGATCGCTTATCCTGTGCGACTGTATCACACTATCCAAGGAGCGCAGCTATTTTTGCACGTGTCAATTTCGGTATATTAGAACTTAAAAAAAAGTGACAGAAGCCAAGCACCAAAAAAGTGCCCGATATTATAACATATTTGATATCCAGTGAAACAAAAGAGAGCGAGAGATTCGTTGATTGTTCCGGCTGTAACACTGCACAATACGTCCTGGGAGCATGTGGAGAACGCACATTATTTTAGTAAGTTTTTTATGACTCACATTTCATATTGATTTTTCGACTTTGTCCAGACAATTCGATGGAGCGATTCCAAAGAGACGGAGTGATTAAAAAATTGGGTTTTTTTGAGGATCGTTATTTATAACGTTAAATGATTTAAATTTTTTCCTATCGCTTGATTTCAGGTGCGAATAAAATCTTATTGAACGTGTGCATTTATAACTATGAGTATTCAAATAGTATATTTTAACACTCCATGCGTAAAGCAGGGTTTTTCTAACCTTTCAGTGGCACAAAAAGCACGTTTTACGCACGAAAACTTTGTAAAATATAGTATGCAACCCTCACTGCACTACGTACGGGCGAAAACAACTCCTGGATCGAGTCGAGTCATCTTCTTAGCGCACTTGTTGCATAATATACTATTCTTTTCTGAAATTTTAAATCGTAAAAGTACACCTGGTGATTTCAATACATTTTATTAAATGTTGAAAAAAATACTAACTCACTTTAAATTATTTGAAAAAATTGGTCAAACCGCGAATCGTTCAATTATTTACACGAATCTTTGATAATAGACCAACAAAAAAATCAAACAATTTGATGGAGCAAAAAGAAAAGGATAAATAATCCAGCTCTGTTGAAGTTTGTAAAAACGTGCAAGACACAGACGGCGGTAGTGCTATTTTTACATCAAATTACTTAATTGAATAATAATTTTAGCGGATCGAGGCGCCGAGAATCGAGAATTGTTAACGAGCCTTCATCACGACGATCGCGTTGTACAACGACTCCGCAAAGATGTCCATTAAAAAACGTTTATTTCTGTTATTTTTAAGCTCAATCAATTGTTTATTCATTTCCGCGGCGGTGGCGACGACACGTGCCCAATTGTCATGTAGTCGCATAAATTCGAATAGCAGCGCAGAAACCGTAAAGTACAACGCAATATCGAATCAAGCAAAATCAATTATATTATACGTACGTATATAGGAAATTATGCGTCCGCAATATCGCTCTCGCTCTGCGGGAAGAACAATAATCGACTATAATATAGAGAGTCAAGGCACAAGAGGCTGCCTGCGGCAGCAGTAAATTACGACGAAATTCTCAAGGTGCTGGCGAAAAATTGTATACCGATCTAATGTGTGTATAGGCGCGCGCGCGCGCGCGCAGAAAAGCAGCAGCAGCGGCGGCCACGTGCATGCAGCAGTGCGCGAGCTTAATAGCGATGCTGGTCTCTCGCTTATAGAGTCGCGACTCGAGTGCACTGGCGGAGCGCAGCGAGACTAATTATCGGTGCTGTATTAAGTCGCTCGCTCGAGCTTATAACGACTCGCGAGAGTCGTTATCTCGAAAGCCGCCTTTGAACTTGCCTGCTCACGCATAATGGCCATACACGCCTCTACTTGGCTATATATGCGGATGCTCCAAAACTCGTCGTCTGTGTATGCATATAGCGGCGCCGTAAATGCGCCGCGTATTATGTGTGTACCTTGCCGAACGTATATATTGCCTAATAGAAATATGTGCCTATTATCGCAGCCGCACGTCCGTCCATCCGCGTATGTGTTCGAGTGTGTGTGTGTAATGCGCTCGTAAACGCGAGAGCTGCCTCATATGCCGTGTGTGCCATGCCTATACACTTGGTGTATTGGCGCGCGACCTCGGAAGTCGGAAATTAATGCAAGGTCGCATTTACATGTAACGCATAGCGGCATAGATACGAGCCTGTAGCACGCGCGAAAAGCCGAGAGAAGCAGAGATCTGCTATTATTCGCGGATCGATCGATCGTTTCGGCTCTTTCCTCTCGTTGACCCGATAGGCGCTTCTAATCTAAATCGCTCCATCTATTTTTATGGTTTATTCTATCGACGAGTTGACGCACGCGACGCTGCTGCAGCTTGACACATTTTTCTAAGCGACGTTTCATATCAACTTTATGCAGAGTCCAAATTTTTTAAATTAATCATTGAACGCCCATCGCGAACGTGTCTATTAGAAGTTTCACTACCGCACACGTGTTTTTGAATAAGGCAATACAATGGCCGCCACGTAGTGTATCGTGATTTACGATCTTATATTGATTTGGGGGAGTGTCTATTCAATTCTCCATTGTGGCTTTTTCCATCTCATTATGCGAATGACCGATTCTTCCAAAGAAAAGACGTTACACATCAAAAAATCTTACATCCAAATTTTTAACTTCAAAAGTAAATGCAGTTTTTTTTCTTTCTCCAACGACTCCTACGTTGCGCAAAAAAACGAAGATTATTCGTCACAAACGCGATTCCTTGAAACTATCAAATCAATTCCAAATACTTATACGTAATTTAAATGAAAGAAGTCGGATTAAAATGTGCTCGCGATCCTCGCGAGAGCGTGACGTATTTCTTCGCTTTGTATTGTATACTTCGGTCGCGAGTCGCGACTTAAATCACGAAGCATTTAGAGGATAAATGTCCTATTCTTTTGTGAAAAAATTGAATCTGTAATGAGGCAATAATTGCGACGTTTGAGTTCAACAAAACAGTCCAAAACTTCAAAGCCCAGTTCAATACCAAACAAATGCTGATCATTGACTTCTTTTATACATGTTATTATTGCGTTAGGATTGTATCATACTCGATAGTTTTCACGTCCATTTGGCATACTTTAGATACATTCATTTGTGTATTTGCTTAATGTTTTGCACTAAAATTAGAGTTGCATATGTTATATTAAATATTTGAAAACCAAAAAAAAGACGTATAAACAAAGAACAGGTGTTTGCTTCGGCGCGCTAGATTAAATGAGAATTTCGATAACGTAGAGCGCGTACGTCATTCGCGAGTATGAGAAAGAGATATTATAAATATTTTTTTCAACTCATTCATGTAAACAACGGGGTTCGTTTTATTTCCGTAAAAATCGAGCGACGTTGTAAAACACGCGCACTAAATTATTTCTCGCTCAAATGATTTCTAAACAACTTATTGTATAATTACCTGTTTCGCCCGAGTACTCGGGATGTGAAAAATCGGCTGTCTTGGAAGCGCAATTGCTGCTGCTCATCTTCTTTGTTGCTTGGCCGAGCCGTCTGCTGTTGGTATCGTAATGCTTCTTCTGCTGACCTGTAAATTTACAATGCACAGATGTAAGTGTCGTTGCCAATATTGCAGGATCGCTTCTGAAACGAAAATATTATTATAAATAAGTATATCTGTAAAAAAATTGCACACTTTTTTACAAGAAAAATTAATTTAATCTCGTCGCTGATCCGATGCACGCCATTTATCAGCTTAAAGTGACTTAATTAATAGCCTTCTAGCATAAACAAGAATTGAGATAGCATAAAGTATAATACAATTAAAGGGATCGAAGCTTGAACGACCCCATCAACGATCCCTTAGTGAAAAAAACTGATTCGGAAATGACGTAGAAAAGACTGCTTGCTAAATTTAGATAATGTTACGTACACACAGGAGTAAAAGCGGCGTAAGGACAATTTTCGTCACGTTGCGATAAAAATACATTTAATCGTCATGTGTCGTCTGATTAGCAAGTCAAATTTAGCAAAGACGTCATTTGACACGAAAAATGTATAAATGTTATTCGAGAGTTCATTGAATGCATTGGAACTTAATTTGCCCTAATTTTCTTCTGTCCAAGTGCTATAGAAATATGCTAAAGTAAAATGCATGTAGAAGAAATTAAGTTTTATAATATTGTTTCATCATACATGATTGAAAAATAAATGTTATTTAGAGAAACTTCATGGTAAACCTTACAGTTTTTGTTCAATCTAACTAAAATAATCTTTTGAATTGAATTTTTTTTATCAAGGGCTCGGCCCAAATATTAATGATTTTATAAATTATTTGGTTTTGAATCATTAATCAATGCAACCATAAGCTATATTCGAAAAAATGTGAAATTTTTCATCAATTAACACATTTGATTTTTAATCCTGCAACAATTGCATTTTATTTTTACTCTTTACGAATTATTCAAGCTTAATAAAATACATGTGAAATATATTGGAAGAAAATCATTTGTTCGGAAAAGGTATCATAATCTTGATTTTACGATTCAGATGAGTTATTGATACATTATTTTACTTTAAAGTAAGTTAACTTCTGCATAACTCATAACTTTTTATTTTTTTAAAATGTGTTCAATTTTGAAAATCAATTCTCTTATATAATTCACATATTGAGATTCTTTAGAACCGGTGATATTTTATTTTTAATAATTTTTAATTTCGGTAATGTTGCAAAAAAATAATAAAGTTAAAGCTAATTCAATCTATATAATACATATCAATATTAATAAGAAATCAAAAGAAAAAAAAATTTTATGAACATTTGACTAAATCGAATAATGTTTATTTATATAAATGAAATATAATTAATTTCAAATTAATTGAAAATGACTGAAAAATAAATTTAACCGCATCTAGAAAGTACTTATATATTATCACAACATAAAGCAGGTTGACTTCTGGATTACGTAAATATCATGCAATTTATTGTAATTTTCCATACACACTGGTTTTAGATTACGAAGTAAGAGACAACGCAAACGATCAAGCATCGAGGGTTATTACTCATTTCGCATTCGAAGTACGTACTAGTGTCTCGTGAAAATCACTGCGCTCATTGGACCTGTCGCTTAGAATTAATTAGCAATTTTCATTCGGCTAAATTTTCGTTCCAGCCTTTACCTTTTATCGGAAAATGTGTGAGCTTAATTACGAGTGCATTATGCTCTTGACATTTGTGCGCCAGCTTCGTCCCAAGGCTATTGTAATTGATGACTATATGGGCGTTTAAATACAAATTATAAGCGCTAATGTGCTCTCGCTCTCTCTTTGCCTCCGACCTCACTTCCCCCTTTATCACTTGTTTCTATTGAACATGTGTACTTAATTTTTTTTTTTTTTTTTTTANTACCTTATTTTTTTTTTTTTTTTTTTATTGACTGATATCAGTATGAAGAGGAAATAAATTAAAATATCATGAAGGGAGGTTCTAAAAATACATGTTTAACAATTTAAATATTTCATCCTTTCCGATTTTCACTAATTTATAAACGATGATGATTTTTGTATATACTTTAAAACATTTTGATTTTTCGATATTTATTTCAAATATGTTCACTTACAAATGTATCATAGTAAAATATGGCATGTTTGAGGGTATTAATTTTTGCATTGCAATGGTTCATTGTCCAAAACAGATCGTAGCATTATCAATCAATGCAGTAGAAATAAAAACATTCGATATATTAATCGAAAATTTCGATGGAAATAAAGTAGGTCGGGGGCCCAGTCGAGTTAATCCTTCGTAATAATAAAAATGACTCTCGCGTATATAGTACGTAGCACGGCAGAAAAAATTACGGCCTATTAGGTATCTGACTCGGTCCGAGCAAAGCTTAATCTTTGTATTGTGCCCGTAGCTCGCGTTCCTACACACATATCGTACACGATATATCGTAATCTTTCGATTTTGACGCGAGCTTCGGCATTCCTTTGATAAGTATATAGGTACCAAACTTTGACATATTTCGTAACGGACTGGATCGTTAATAAATTTGTCAAAACAGGTAGTAGCGTGAAAACAAAAATAAGGCAAAAACGACTCGATCTGGTATGAGAATTAATGATTCGAGGTTCGACACAATACTACTTGGATATAAGTATATTTGATTTAATTGGGAAAACCAGTATAAGCCACATATATTACACAGTCGCACATATACTGCACTCGTCCAGAGTAATATAAATTGTTGGAGCGTGACCGAGCTTTCAGTACAGTTTATACATTTTAGACCGACAATTAGAGGCAAATCTTTTTTTTTTTTTTAATGTCATTCTCTGGATGGGAGCTTTGATTTACTCCTCGTTCGTCAAGTCTGTACGTCAAGCTGTACGAACGATCGACAATTGTAAAAATATCTTCGGCTCGAGTCGGTCGTTGCGATGGATTAAAATTGTGCAGAACCAACCTGTGCGGCAGCTGAGGATTCGCCGTGAGATTCTCGTCGGTGTAAAAATCGGCAGCCATGATGGTGTTGCGAGTCTTGGTCGCGCCACCACTGGAACCACTGATTTCCCCGCTCCCTTGCGCACTCGCCGCGAATCCTTGCATATATCGAGCTTAAATGTGTACTTGCACTAGAGCGGCTTAACTATCGACATAACTACACTGTCATTCGCACTCTCATATTTTTGGGGCTATTTTACGTATATATAAAAATTTTGCGGCTACGTGATGTATAATCGCTGGCTTATTGCGCTCGTATACGAACGTCCTGTGTATCGAGTCCGTTTGCAACGTCGAGCGGTCAGTAGAAGTAGCAGCAGCAGCAGCAGTAGCAGCGGCGAGCGGAAATGTCGATCCATGATTGCGACCTTGTTGACGTCGTCGTCGTCGTCGTAGTCGTAGTCGTTACAGGCGGCGGCGACGGTGGCTGTGGCTGCGGTGAACTTCTTATTGACCATCTCCCGGCGCACATTATAGATATATTGTACGAGCGGCACAATCACAAGTCGTTTTTTTTTTAAATATTATTATAATCAACTAGTGGGAAGTCGCGGCCAATCGGATCAATTTGTGTTTACATTTTTATAATTTTGCTTCGGACGATCGCGACGAGCATCGCTCTCGATTTTGACACTCGGCGTGGTTTGGCGCGCACTGCGAATCACTCGCGAGCTTTTGGAAAACTCGCGTATATATCTCGACGCGGATGCCGCGTCCCATCCGTTTCGGAAATGGCATATAAGTCGAGTCGCGTCGCACTCCGGGGACGATCGTACGACACGGGGACCATGAATCGCGATCGCCACACAGACAGTATAAAGCTCTCGCAGCTATATGTATATAATGAAAATAGCAGCTATACGCAGCTGCAGGCGGAGTGCGGAGCAGCCACTGCTGGCCGGCCGTTAATTGAATAAACGGTGACGAGCTGCAGCTCTCGAGTTCTGCCGCACGTACATGAGTACTCCAGTCTATATAACGCGCGTCTCGCTGCTGTATAAGCGGCTCTAGCAGCGACTCGTGTACGTCTTATATATACTTGCACCCACACATGCCGATCACGCTGCCGATCATTGTATTGTATTGTCAACTACGTACGCTGCGCCTGCGTGTGTAACTCGCGCACACATTGACGCGTAAATGTCCGAGCTGTTAGCCGAGCTGACAAATGATGCGTAATGACAGATTCTAATAAGTAATTTATGTACTACTATGTGCACCTCGAGCACGTCCAACCGAGGCAACGTAGCGCGAGAGAAAGCAAATTACCGGCCGATATCCATGTTGCGGATCTACTAAATTTATCGCATAAGCATTCAATGAAGCTTTTATACTTTTTATGGATTTCATTTTCAAAAAAATATGCTACATTAATCTGAAGATCCATTTCAATATGCATACGAATAAATTGAACTTTTGTCGCTTGCAGATTGTCGAGCTGCTGCTTTTAAATTGGCTATCGTTCGTGTCGCCAGGCAGGCATCCGACCTGGTTGCAGGAGACCGATCGAAATCAAAGGCTGGACGATTACGCGTCCGCCGCCGCTGCAGCCGAGGACGTCCGCGATTTCGAGCCCTTCAGGCGCAACTTGGCCTTCCATCATCTGAGCGAAGACATCGCCGAGGAGGAGGACAACGACGACAACGACAATTACGATGTCGCTGCGTTCGACGAGCTGGCTCGAGCCGGCCCTGCCCAGAGCCTCGAGCCGACCGAGACATTCAGCAGGAGCGATCGCAGCCTCCTGCCTGTACGTGGCAAAATCGCATATAGCCCTCCGAGGACTCGAATCCTAACTTTTCCCTTAAATCGCAATAATTTTCACGTTGCAGGAGTATCGCGGTTTGTGCGAGTCAGTGACGCGCAAAGTGGACTTGAAGAGCGATCCGAATTACGAGTACCAGCCGTCCCACTATCACGAGGTCTTTTGCAAAAGCTACACCCTGGCGAGCGACGAGCCGCAGAAGCGCGTCTCTGCGCCGTCCAAACAGGTATCCCACTCATCGTCCGCAGCGGATCATGCATCGGCCTTCTTTCGATAACTTGATTTTTTTCTCTCTTTCTGTTGTTGCGCGCCGCAGAAATGCGCCCACCCGAGCTTCCACTGCGTGCAACGAAGCCGGACGCTGTTCATGCTGCGCCGCCGATGGGACGACGCCGAGTGCTGGGAGCCGGCCACCAAAGTCATCGCCAGTGGATGCGAGTGCATGTGGCCCGTCTCGAGCCTCGGTGACATCAAGCTCCACTACTGATTGCGACGTCGCCCGACTCTCATCGGCCACAAATATAACAATGTTACCATATTATATAAAAGCTTTTCTTTCAATTTTACCTCTGTACAAGCCTGTTGAAAATACAATTTTTACATTACCTCTTGTCGCTGCACAGCCACGGTTTGCCAGATTTTCATGATCAATCATCTAATTTCTCGAATATTTATTTATTGCGATCGCTCTCGTGTCAATAAATCTTGCTTGAGTTGTTTTTTTTTTCTAATCTCCATAAGTTACAAAAACCACGGTACGATTTAACTATAATCAAGGAAAGTGAAACAAGCTTCTATTCTAAGCGTGGCTCATTATTGCGATTTTTTTTGTAGCCTTTTCTTGAAAAATTTCCCACGTGAAAAATAGTTGAAATGTTTAAATAATTTTGAATTTTTTCGAAAAAAACAAAAAAGTAGTCAAAGGAAACGCTTATAATTGTCATTACTTGTTTTACAGACAAATATTCTTAATTAAATCGTCTGGAAACTTTATTATTTAGATACTTTGAATAATTTTGAAGTAGTTCCTTAAATGTTTTCCGCAAAATTAACTATTACTATTAACCTTCAAAGCAGCTAAATAAATAGCTCTTATGGCATCGTTTCAAAAGTAATTTATAGTTTCGCTTTTCATAGGGTAACATAATGGTAAACACAAGTGTAATTGTTTTATAAGTCCAATACTTAAAATATCGATTATTTTATTACTACATATATATAATTTTTTATAACAAAATATTTAAAAAATATTTTTTCATTTCAATTCCATGCATTTGCTTTATGTTTCGGTAAAAATTTGAATCCATCAGGAACTTTGCCAAGCAACATTTCTCTGCATACAAAAAAAACAGAATTAGTATATTCAAAAGCACTTAAATTGCACGCGATCAAATAAAAAAACAGCCTTACGAAAGTTTAATCCAGTCGGCACAATTCGAACTCGCCATCATCGTTTCCAAATCGTTTCGCCCTTTGTAATAAGGTGGTCTATTATTCATTTTTTGTGGAGGATTTTCTAAAATTCCCACTGGAATATATCTAAAAATATTTAATTATTATTAGTATTAGTATTAATACTAGTATTATTACTATAATTAAAGCTTTTACATTTTTTCGCGAATGAACTAAACTGTAAAAAGGTAATATTGAATCCAGCTCGATACTTTAATTGACTTAAAATCGTTTACCTATACAAAAAGGATATCCATTCCAGCAAAAATCTCCTCGTCGTCTCAACACCCCGAGTATCAGAACCCCAATGTTCTAGACCATAATTTGTGAATCTTTTCATGATATCAAATCTTTCTGTGGCAGATATGTCAATAGTTCTTTTTTCTTTGATTTCTTGGAATATCCACGGCTTGATTAAGGCACCTCTTGCAATGCTCACCCCTTGCACGGTGGGACATTCGAGGCGACAACGAGCGTAATCATCGTAAGAAAGAATATCGCCAGTTCCGTAAACAGGTATTGGTACAGCAGCCTGAGCACAACGCTCTATGTAATCCCAATCAGCGAGTTTTGTATACCGTTGCTCACGAGATCTACCATGAATCTAAAACATTGAATAATTTAAAATAATACGTCGATTATATTAGTAGAAATCCAAAAATAGTGTCTCACGTTTATCATTGAAGCACCCCATTCTCTGAATTTAGGCATGAGTGTGTGTGCTGTGGGTTTATCCATGTATACGCCAGTTCTAGTTTTTACAGTAAATGGTATGTCTAAAACTTCTGAAGCACTTTTAACAACATGCTCTAAAACATTAAGTCGATTCATCATTCCACAACCAGAACCTTGTTTATAAATAAAATCTATGGGGCATCCTAAATTCAAATCAACAAAGTCCACCTCCATCTCATCATTAAGAAACTGGGAACATCTTGCTATCACACCAGCATTGTTGCCAGCTATTTGCACACCATATAAATCTTCACTAGCATGACGCTTAACCAATGCCCATTCTTCTAGAGCACCTTTTAACAAACGTGGGGACAATGCCATTTCACCACATGTAATGTCAGCTCCAAATTCTTTGCAAATACGACGAAATGGTAAATTTCCTACAGTTGTCAGAGGTGCCAACATCAATTTATCTCTCCAATCAATGGTCTTTTTTTCACTAGAACGAATTTTTATCACATCTGTGTTTAGGATTGGACCAATATCTTGTTCAGATTCCATAGGTACTGATTCTGGTTTCATTTCAATAGGGTTTTCTGCTCTAATTGTATCACACTTTATTTCAGGAACAATATTTTGTTCAGATTTTGCAGGTAATGTTCTTATTTCAATAGATTCTTTCTCTACTACAGAAGCATCACAATTTGTAGATTTATTAGACTTTGTATGCGTTTCCTTCCATTTCTGTTGATAGAAAATTAAAATTAAATTAAAATTAAATAAATATTTTAAATAAATTCTATGATATTATGTTTATACTAACTGGATTATGTTTTTTAATGATTGTTTCAGCTTTGCTAAAATCATATCTGTATTTCCTTAAATTTTCTAGTAAATCTCTATCAATTACATTTTTAGTTGCAGGAGGCAACTTTTTATAAGCTTCATATTTTTCTTTGTCAATGATATTAAACCCATCTGCAGTAATATGTTTGGATCCTACTCTACAAGCTAAGCCTCTTTGACATCTTCCTGTGGTTTCAAAACTTATACATACAGAGCTAATATCAGCAGGTTTTATTTTTAAATACTCAGCTCTGTCATGTATAAAAGTACATTTCTCATTTGTACACTTTTTTTCGGAATTTTCAACTGTTGCTTCAGCTATCCAAGGACATAAATTATGTTCTCGCAAAGCCTTAAAAGGTACACTTCTGTTTTTATTTTGTCCCCTAGGCTTGTCTTTTTTTTGCTTTTTGGCTGGTGGTTCGCTTGACAGGTTTTCTTCATTACTTTTTGTTTCAGATTCAAAAGAATCTTTATCATTCACCTTATTTCCACTTTGTGTCCTCACATTATCTTCCAAAATAAACCTTAAAAAAAATGTTAGTCATTATATTTTCTCCAATAACATTTCACTACTACATATTTAATCAAATTATAATACAAATTTCTTCACAAGTATATAAAATATTTCATGACGAATGTTGAATACAATTAAAAGTATAAAGTGAAATTATTTATGTCAAAATTATGATACATACTCAGGTTTGATAGCACAGACGCCGGTACGTTTGGTACTATCCGGCTTTTCCAAAGTTTGATTTATACAATTATTATCTTCTGTCATTGTAAATATGAGTTGCTACACTGACAGTCACTAGTATATTAAATACTAAGAATTCTAATTCTAATTATCTTTATTGATGAAATCAAATACAACTTATAACACGAGCTATAACTTGTATGGTAATACTTGATGTCTGCTTGTTATAAGAACTCATTGACCATGTGCTCAACGCTTGTCGCTTACTATTTTTTAGGCGCAGTGCGCATGTGACTGATGCTCTGATGAACGCGCGCATTTTTTAAGTGCTATAAGCTGAGTGCATTGTAAATAGATCGGTACTGATATTAAATACCCTCATCGTTGGTATCCTCTCTTAAAAAAGAGATTAGTAGAATTTCGTAGACACCTTCATACTCGAATACAAATTAAGCACATTGATAGTTGACAGTAGTTGTGCAATGAGCGGAAATTTGAAAAATTGATCGTTTAACACTTGTGTTTTGAATTCAAGTTATTTAAATAATCATTTCTTGGACTGAAATATTTTTTTAATCATAACAAAAAGAAAAAAGAATATCTTCTTAAGATTTAAAATTTATTCAATAATTCATCACAAGCGTAATTCAATATATAACACGAAGTATAATTTTTAATCAAACCACAGTGTAAGTAAAATATTATCAAATTTTGAATTACGAGTAATTTTTAATTTCTTGAAGCGTGTTGGATATTGTTTGTGAGTAAATTATGATTGGACTGTTGCAATGATGTTTATATTTGTATTATAAAATAGATAAAAAATAATTCAGGGTCCGAACAAAATGCCGAAATGTCCCTCGAAAGTTAGAATGTATCTCAGATGTTTTAAATTGTTCTGCTAATTCATGAAAACACATATACAATGAAATAATTAAGTTTTTACAATACAATATTAACTTAATGATAGTTTTTTATGCTCAGGGACTGAATAATACTGAGTTAACTCATTTAGAATACAAACGTCGCATTATAAGAAAAGTAACAAACAAGACAAGTAGTCAACACCCCCCAGAATAGAGGAAATGATCAGGAAAAGGATGTGAAGTTCTTTCTGGCACTTATGTATCATGTTTTGAATGTAAATTACATATAAACTGTAAAAACTTGATGGAAGTAAGAAGTTTAGAGGAAAATAAATCTAAAAAGTTTTTTTTTTACAATTAATCTTTTATTTTTTGTTTATAAAAAAATTAACCTTGCTTTTGCGCAAGCTCTTTTTGCTTGGCTTTTTCGAGTTTAGCAATTCTGGCAGCAGACTTGCTGCCGAGCATTCCTCCACCCCAGTGACGACGGATTTCATCGAAGCGATCATTGAAGTTCGTCTTGATAGCCTCAACAATCTTGGTGAAGTTGGCTCTATCACCAGCATCAACCTGAAATTTTAAAATTTTTATATTATAATGACTGTAGAATTTTCATTCTCATTTTTTCAAGTATATTATTTTACTCAGTAAGACTAATCAAATATTCATAGCAATCATAGGATTGGCTGTTTTTTCATCATATTTGAAAATGCATTTTGTCCAAAATATAAAAAACACAAAATATACCTGAGTCAAAGCAACGGCTGTGCATGTCTTCCTCCTGACAAGACGGCCCAAGCGAGCTTTGCCCTTGATAATGCAGTATGGGACACCCATTTTGCGGCACAAAGCTGGCAAGAAGATAACAATCTCAATTGGGTCGACATCATGGGCGATGACAACCAATTGAGCTTTCTTCTGCTCAACTAGGGTAGTGACTGCATTGGCACCACTTCGGATGACGTTGGGTTTCTTGGAAGGAGTATCTTCCTTCTTTTCCACCTTCTTTTCAGCACGTGCCTTCAAGCGCAATTTCTTAGCCAAAGCTGTTTCTGGTCTATACTTTTCCAGCAACTTGAAGAGCTGGGTGGCATTTTGTTTGTCCAACGTTTGGTTGAACTGATTGATTGGTGGTGGCACCTTCAATCTTTTGTAGAGAACTGATTTTTGTCTCTGTATCCTAATGTATTTAGGGAATTTAACAAAACGCGACAGATCACGCTCCGGCTGGATATCCTGCCCTATAAACAAAATAAAATACAATTAATCATATGCTCAGATACATACATGAAAGATAAAAAATAAATTTAAATTATTATAGTTTCAGAAAAAATAGAATATATCACAAACAATCATTGGATTGGCTCTATAATCTTCATCATATACATGTGTATGTAAAGTTAAAAAGGTGAAAATTATCAACTTAATCTCATGGCTCATTTGACAGTAATATGAGGATACTCACCGATACCGAAGTTTCGGGTCCGCTTCTCAAACAAGGGGTTAGTGAGCTTCTTTGGCTCAACTTTTTTGACTGCCAAAGGAGCAGCAGCTACCTTCTTGCCTACCTTCTTCTTCGCCTGCAATATAACAACATATAAATTAATGACCAAAACTTAGTTTGCTCAGATGATAGAAGGGAAACTTTCCGGCGCGCCATGTGCTTGTAATCACATAACGTGCCAAACAATCTTGCCGCAGTTTTCTGATTTTTAAAAGATTGAATGTGAAAAGGGAACTTGTCATTCTGTTTTGAGTTTTTAAACATATGTCTCTTTACGCATTACTACTTTTGAAATATAAAAATTGAGATATTGCATTTGGATGCTTGTTGGAACACGTTGTAGCTTATAGGTTGGAGGTCATAAATACTAATAATTTCGCCAACTGCAGTTCTAATCTTATTTAAATAGTATTTAACAGAGTAAGAATAATCAATAAAAATTATAAAAATTAATTAGCCGGCAATTTATAAATAATATTTGTTAAAAACAAACCTTTTTTTGGACCATCTTGTGACTATCGTGCAATTGCTGCAGAGAGAAAGACTTGCACGCAGCCACGGCACGCAGCTCGAATTAGAGCACACTTACAATAGCGCCAAACGAGCTGCGCACTTTTTCGAAATGACGAAAAAAAATTAATTTCTCCATTAATTTTTGTTTTAGATTTAAAATAATCTGTATTATGCTCCTTATCAAAATATTTTTACTATACTAGCATTGAAGCTACTGCCTTCATTTAAAGTTATAATAATTTTTAATAAAAAAACATATAGTCAAGCATTTTTTCTTATAATTATTTTAAAATTCAATTTTCAATCAAAGTTTAACATATTGGATAAAATTGTTTTTATTTCCTGTCATTTATTATATGATTTACTACAGAGTCAGTAGTATGTAAATACAATAAATATTAGCTTTCCCAATTAAATCAACCACAACTTGTAACATTAGCTAGAAACTTTAAGCACGCGCATTTTTCGAGCATAGCGCTTGTATTGTAAATAGACCTATGCAGATACTAAATACCCTCATCAAATCATTATTATTATATCCTATATATTATTGTATATTCTGATGATAAACTGATGCGATTTCTATTAATTATACTCTTTTGAATATATGGACTATTTAAATATAGTTGTCAATTTCGGTTCTTTACGCTCTTTTATTGCGCGAAATGAGTCTGAAATAGTGGAACTAGGCTCGAAAATATTCGTTGCGGTATTCCACATTAGATACATTCAAGACTTAAAATGAAAATTTGTACTGAATATAAAAATATTTTATTTTAATGATCATAAATATGATAATATAGCAAATCCAATCATCATTAAACTTATTCATTTTTTAAGTATCAAATAATAAGATGTGAACCAGGAAATGGATGAATTTTTGGTAAAATATACAATTTAGTTCATAATTAAAATACATTTTTTAGTTTCAGAAATAGTTATTATCATCAATTAATAATAACTTACTTCGGGTATTATTACATTTGTTGTTACAACAATGGTTTATAGAATAATTTTTTATTTTTAATAAGATCAAAATCTATCTTTAAACAATTTTTTCAAGTTCCCTAGCATAATCAATGGTTAAAGTTGCAAGATCAGCACTTGGTATTGGTTCAACATGTTTCTTTTCATTAAGTGCCTCAAAATGTATAAATCCATCGTTTGCTAATGTCCAATTTTTCTTTGCACAATACTGCATGATTTCTTTAGTATTTAAATTTAGCATTCTAGCTGCATCTTCAATTGAAATTTTATCAAAAGCACTTTCCACACAAGCTCCAATTTCGTCTCTAACTGTGTTCAACAAAATGTCCATGAAAAAATTCTTTGAATAAATTGTTCCTTGGGCGTTTCTAAAAATTTTGTCATAAGAGCCTTCCATTAGCCACTGTTCTAACTGACGTGGAACCAGTATACATGGATCAACTTCAAGTCGGTCTGCTGGTAGCAGCTCAAGTTCTGTATGAAATTCTGCAACTCTATTTTGAGAAAGAAGGAACATAAGATTCAATCCAAGGAGATCATACATATTCTGTGATTCTTTTATGCTATATTTATAATCAAAGTAATAATTTTTAAGCTGTGCCATGTATCGTTCAAATGATGGTATGTCATGATTGGCTACACTCCATTTAGCACCAATTTCAAGGATATCCCCTATATAAAATATCAAAAATTAAAATATATATGTTTTATTAATGCTTTTATATATAAATTAAGAATTACTCACGAGCAAGATATAATTCTCTTTCATGTGCCTTGCCTCCAAGATCACTTGTTGGTAGGAAAGATAATTGTGTTAACAAAATCTATAAAAAAATGAAAATTTAAAACTATATTAAATAATTTTTTAAGATGAATATTCAATCGATTCTATTGATAAATCAATTATGTGCAAGCATGACCGTACAAAATTGACAGTATAATTTGAGGTTACATTCAAAAATTGAACATTGTTAGGAGATAATGATAGTGGACTCTAATGTAATCATTAATACCTTGAGTTCTTTTAACATGTCTCCACATAATTTCAAATTAGGCGATCTCTTATCCCATTCTTTTTTCAAAACATTACATTTCGCTTCTAAATTATCGAGAGCCGCCATGATCGTCGTTGAGATGATGTGTTTACTTGGAGTGTTCTGTCTGATTCATGTATATAGAAACTTTGCGGGCAAAATCCGTACCACTTTCTGACAACTCAATTGGTTGTTCTCAAAACAAATAAGATTTCGATCGCGCGTCTCTAATTATTATGATTTAAAAAAGGATTCTTTATTGAAAATTTTCAAATCATTTAATAATATAGTACAGCCAGTAACTTTATACGTTCCATAGCAATTACTTTTAAAGGTGTACAGATCGATGTTTTTAATTTAAAGCAAGAATGTTTAAAATTTCAATTTAATATAAAAACGTTTATATAACTTTCTACATTACTTTAGCTATTGTTTAATGATATTTTTTTTAAATTTTTAGAAACTCAATTTTTTTACGTACTAAATCTTTACAGTTTCGAACTTTATCACTCGATTCTCGCGTTTATTTAAAATACATTGCACATGCGCAAATTTGTGTCCAGACCTTGACAAGTGGCAAGTCATAAAATCAGTCAGCATTAGCAATCAACATCATAGGCAAAAATCATTGTAATTCGCAATTTTTTAGGCAGGAACAAAATATTAGATATTTGCGATCCATCATAAATAGGTGCTCGAACTGACCAATTGGAATGTTCAATTAATTATATTAACCTAACCGCACAGAAGAAATAGTTTTGATAAGAGTGTGGGCAATTGGCATTACAATAAGCTTTGATGATACTAATGTTTTGATAATTTTTTAACATTCGTCGAGCTCTAATCTTAAATACAAGTCAAAATGAAAGTTAAAGTTAAAATGTTGATGGGAGAAGAACATATCTTCGAAGTAAGTACATGAAAAAATGTCTGCAACTTTTTAAAATTACATCTAACTTTTGTGGTTAATATTTTTAGATACTACCAACAGAAACTATATTGCAAGTAAAAGAAAAAATTCGAGATAAATTAGCAATAGATGTACCACAACAAAGTTTGTTGTTCATGGGGAAAGCTCTGACAGGTAAAATATTAAAATTTATCATTGAATATTGTAATTTTTATTTTCTATAATTAATCATTCAATTTCAGATGAAAATGAAGTTGGTTTTTACCCAGGAATTAAAGATGAAAGTAAACTAATTTTAGTCAAAAAAGCTCCACAGACTAGTACACCTAAAAATGGTCTTCACACATTTAAAACAGAGATTTTAAAAGTATTAAAGAATTATTATACTGAATCTGATGCATTAACAATTGCTAATCAAACAATAAAAGACTTACAAATCAAAGTTGCTCACATGAGCTATGACGATTTAGAAAGATTAGCTACAGCATTATTGCAAGATCAAGAAAACAATGTATGACTTATTATGATTCACCAATTCATAAGATTTTAGTTTCAATTTTTCATAATGATACATTTTTACAAAATTTTGTTCACTTGTGTGTAAAAAATTGTTTATTGTGTACAATAAGTAGAAAATCATGATAATAATTGTAATTTACTCACTAGCAATACAAAAATATTTATTTTTATCTCATTCATGACTTACATTTATTGAATCACAAAAGCGCTTAGCCAAAGCATATTTAATATTTTACAAATAATAAAATAAAAAATTAAAGTTAAATTAAACTTCATGGATCTGCTAAGTCCAACTGCCTGAAATACCTGGCTACTAAACATATAAAAAGATTCAAAGATACCACATCATTGATTTTTGTTGGTTCCTGCGTCAATGAATAGTAATATTATAACTTATTTCCTAAATGAAAATCATTAAAATATATTTTTTTTCTTACCAATTTAGCCCTCATAGATGCACAATACCTTGCTAAAGATCGAAGGCAAGAGCACATGTCAGGGTTTAAAGGCAATTCTAAAGCAGACAATAATGCATACAACCATCTCCCTAATTCTGCTTGAATAAGTTCTTGCTTTTCTAAATAATTAACTAAATATTCTAAAACTTGTTCGATAGATGGCTGATTAATTGATAAAATAATACTGAGCAAAGGTTCTATATAATTTTCATTAGTAGTGGTGCATACTTTGATCCAGCCTTCTTGATCACTTATATCAGGCTGAAAAGTTAACAATTACTTAATATATCTTTTGAAAATTTTACTTTACTGAGAACTTAAAAACTTATGTACCAATTTCACTTTACACGACAGCCTTCTCTTTTTTTTATTTTTTATTTCATCTCTAAATTGTGCTATTTCCATTCTTATTTGAGAAAATTCTGATATTTGGTGATTTTGCCATTCTTGAGTGGGACCCATGCAGTCTGGAGCTTTGATGCACTCTGGCAACTGCAAATGCATAAAACAAGAGTGAAAAAAAGGACTAAATTGGTCAAAATAAATTCATTAACAAGGTACCAACTGGCTTGACATTCAATGTGGGTTTTTTAAAACGCGAGTCATCGATTTTTGCGTATGCAACATCATCACAATTCCTCGCTTCGTATCTGTAAAACAATATATTTAAACAATTTTTAACAATAACCGATGAGATAAAAAAAATCATTTACATGACTCGTTTAATGTATTCTTCTCCAGTTGCGGGTAAGCCTGAAAGGTCCAGCGATTCCTCGTCGAGTTTCCCGGAGTACAAAACTGGCTCTTTAAAGGGATCGTTCATTTTTTTATCGATAAAATGTCAAGATCGCAATATCACATGTAATTCATAAATGAATTTTTAAGCAACCGTTTAGAATCTTGCACAAAATCGAATAACCTATTGATTCTGACTGTCAACAAAAATGTGCTTCTCGCAAATTGCAGACGAAACGAGCAGGGTCATGAACTGAAGTTACTCGCTGGCTGCTGCTGTCCTACTGCGAGGCTCAACTTGACGTTTGCATTGTTGGCACCTGTTATTGGCCATATGATTACGCATATGAATACCGGAATAAGTTATCACAACACAACAAACATTTTGGTTTAAAGCTGTTGGCAATTGGTTTCGTGCAAATTCTGTTTTTTTAGTATAATAATAAAACTGAAATTTATTAATCGTACACAATTTCGATAGAGATCGTTTATCACAAAGAAAGGATCGGATAAATTCATTAATTTATATGAGGTAAAAATGGCTGATGAAGAAAAAGAACAAACTTTAGAAGAACATTTAGCAGAGTGGCGAGCTTCCATAGTGACTTATCCTCCTCATGTTCAAGCTGTCATTGACAAAGTAATTGTTCAACTTGTGCTTTAATTTTGAAATCAAAAGATGATTTATTCAACCAATTGTTTACAGGTTATTCCTAGTAGCGATCCTTTGGATCAACCAGATTTTAATCCAGTTGACTACATAAATACTCTTTTTCCAACCGAGCAGTCTCTAGTTAATATTGATGAAGTTATTAATAAACTGGAAAATGAAAGTAAACAAATTAATAAAGAAATGCGCCAACTGATTGGAGGACAAACTGGTAACACCCAAGATGGAAAAATAGCTCTAGATAACACTCAAAAAGTTATCAAACAATTATTTGGACAAATTAAAGATATTAAACGAATGGCTGAAGAATCAGAAGAAACAGTAAAAGAAATTACAAGAGATATTAAGCAATTGGATTTTGCAAAAAAAAATTTGACTGTTTCTATCACAACTTTAAATCATCTGCATATGCTTGTAGAAGGAGTAGAAACTTTAAAGTAAGCAGTAAAATAATTTTATAAGAAAGTTGATGATGAAAATTATTATAATTTGCAGAGACTTAACAAAAAGAAAACAATACAAAGAAATAGTTCTACCACTTCAAGCTGTAATGGAAGTGATGAAATATTTTCATAATCATATGGATACACCTCAAATAAAAAATGTTTATGATGAAGTGAGAAAATTTTACTGGATATTTCAATATTTTTGGAAGTATGAGTAATGTTACACCTCTAATTTTCAATTTTTAGATAAAAAAAATTCATGTTGAATTAGCTCAACAGATAACAACAGATTTCAAGGAAACATTTACTGGACAGAATGCTAAGAATTTTGCTCATCTAACTGATGCATGTCTTGTGTTATCTGTTCTTGATCCTAAAGTCAAGTAGGTTTCTAACTATTTATAAATATGTAATCGACTATTATTAAAGACTTATCTTTTTCAGGAAAGAGCTTTTACAATGGTTTGTAACTATGCAACTACAAGAATACACACATTTATTTGATGAGAACCAAGAATTTGCTTGGTTAGACAAAATTGATCGCCGCTATGCTTGGATTAAAAAACATTTAATTGATTTTGAAGCAAAATTTGGCAATATATTTCCACAGGATTGGGAAGTATCTGAACGCATAGCTGTACAATTTTGTTTTGTAACAAGAGAAGATTTATCAAAGTTAATGCATAAACGTACTGCTGAAATAGATGTTAAATTACTATTGTATGCCATACAGCGAACAACTAATTTTGAAACATTATTAGCTAAAAGATTTACTGGCATTACTTTAGAAGAAATTAATAAAAAAGAAGGTAAAGCAGATGAAAAAGAATCACAATCTGCAAAAACTGCTGCTGGCAATCCTTTTGAAGAGACCACTGCGAAAAACCAGGTATTTATATTAAAAAAATTTTTGAACATCATCAATTTCACTTTTACTATGGTCTAAATAATTCATTTTTATTTTTTGGTATATTTATTGTTTTTAGTCAACAGAATCAGATATGAAGCAACTTGCCTCACCTTTCACAAATTTAATTGGACGTTGTTTTGAATCATATTTATATATTTACATTGAAAGTCTTGACCGCAATTTAGCCGAACTTTTAGACAAGTTTATTGCTGATTGTAAAACTCGGCCTCCCGGTGCAGGTGGAATACACGAAACTGGTCAACAAGAAGGTCCAAGCAGTGTACTTTCTTCTTGTGCCGATTTATTTGTATTTTATAAAAAATGCATGTTGCAATGTACCCAATTAAGTTCTGGTGCTATAATGTTGAATTTGGCAGAAGTTTTCCAAAAATACCTTAGAGAGTATGCTGTTAAAATTCTCCAAAATAATTTACCAAAGTAAGTGGCTTGAAATGTTTTTTGTACTACGTGAAATCGTTATAATATTCAATGGTTTTTGTTCGAAAGAATCGGAGGTGGTAGTATCGGTACAAGCGTCAGCAATATTACTCGCGATTTTCGAGATTTGTCAACATCTGGGTTCATTCAAAATTTCCAAAGTTTTTTAAAAGAAGGTGAGAGCAGCAAATTTAACAAAGAAGAACAGGCACGCATTTGCTGGTAAGCATAAGTAAATACAAACAATAATTGAATTCAGCAACGTTACAAACGAATTTTTTCCAATTATTGCATGCGAAACGTTATGTGAAATATCGATATTAATAAGTTATTGTATTAAAGTGTAATTATACTATTTCTCGCAATAAATTTCCCATATTATAGCATTTTGACGACAGCCGAGTATTGTCTCGAAACTACACAACAGTTAGAAGAAAAACTTCGATTAAAAACAGATAAAATGTATGCAGATAGGATTAATTTATCTCAAGAACAAGACATATTCCATGGGTATGCAATAACATCTTTGGTTTTAGAAACTCAAATTTGGAACTTATCATTTGATTAAATTTTGCAGTGTAATATCCAACTGTATACAACTGCTTGTTCAAGATTTAGAATTAGCATGTGAACCAGCAATGAACGCAATGATAAAAGTAAGCTTATACAACAATTTTATCCTCTAAAAATTGTATCTTATTCATATGGCTAATTTTCAGTGAAGTTGAGTAGCCAAAAATATTTTTTTTTCTACGCATACGAAAAACTTGTTGTTTCCGATGTTAAAAATGTACCAACGACATCTTGGAGCGCATTGCCACCGAAGCTTCCCGTCTGGCTCACTATAACGAGAGATCGACCATCTCCTCCCGGGAGACCCAAACCGCCGTCAGGCTTCTTTTGTCAAGTTAAGGACTCTGAAAAAGGCTCATAAAAGGTCCCAATTTTTCCAAAAATTTTTTGGAACATTTCTGACATCGGAAAGAACAAGTTTTTCATATTAGCAGAAAAACGTATTTGTGGCCATTCGATTTCACTGAGAATCGGCTATAAATTAACTGTGGTTTTGAATAAAACGATCTCCTATGTTCTAACTAAAAAGCATAATTATTAATCATACTATTTTTTCATCTATCAGATGCAATGGAGCTCGATTGAAACTGTTGGTGATCAAAGCGGCTATGTCAGTACAATATTGTCTCATCTTCGCCAAACCATCCCCGTTATACGAGATCAATTATCATCATGCAGAAAATACTTCACACAATTATGTGTTAAATTTGTTTCGTAAGTTCTTCTCATTTTTTATTGTTTTATGCTTTTTCGACTGACTCTTATGTTTTACAGATCATTTATTCCAAAGCTAACACAGCAGATATTCAAGTGTAAACCCTTGAGCACCGTCGGAACTGAACAGTTGCTTTTAGATGTTCATATGTTAAAAACAGCTCTTTTGGATCTTCCATCAGCAGGATCTTCTGTTCAACGTAAGGCCCCAGCTATGTACACAAAGGTACAATAAAATTTTCATTGTTTTTAATATAATAATAATAAGTAAATTAAAATTTAACTGTTGGAATGATTTTTATTCATTATAAATTCGTTAGGTTGTAATAAAGGGTATGAGCAATGCTGAAATGTTGCTAAAAGTTGTAATGGCTCCGACAGATTCTCCAAGTTGTTTTGCTGATCAGTGTAAAAAGTTGTTACCTGATCTCAAAATTCCAGAATTCCAAAAAATCTTGGATATGAAGGTATATTATAAAGTGAATAATAAAATTTATAGATTAATTTATGAATATACACAATGACAAATTTTAAAATTCAGGGACTAAGAAAAACTGAGCAAACTCAATTAATTGAAGAATTTAAACATCGTATTGCAAGTGAAGCAACAAACGAGACAAACAGTCATCTCCCCCCAGAGAGCCCTGAACATGAAGCTGGACGAATTCAAAAATTAGAAAAACTGATAAAGAAAAGGATGTGAAGTCCTTTTCTATGCTTATTTTTAGTATTTTTGTAAATAAATTATATATTATAATATATAAACTGTAAAAACTTGATAGAAGTAATAAGTTCAAAAAGAAAATAAATCTTAAAAAATTTTGTTTTTACGATAAATCTTTTATTTTTTGTTTATAAAAATTAACCTTGCTTCTGTGCAAGCTCTTTTTGCTTGGCTTTTTCGAGTTTAGCAATTCTGGCGGCAGACTTGCTGCCGAGCATTCCTCCACCCCAGTGACGACGGATTTCATCGAAGCGATCATTGAAGTTCGTCTTGATAGCCTCAACAATCTTGGTGAAGTTGGCTCTATCACCAGCATCAACCTGAAATTTTAAAATTTTTATATTATAATGACTGTAGAATTTTCATTCTCATTTTTTCAAGTATATTATTTTACTCAGTAAGACTAATCAAATATTCATAGCAATCATAGGATTGGCTGTTTTTTCATCATATTTGAAAATGCATTTTGTCCAAAATATAAAAAACACAAAATATACCTGAGTCAAAGCAACGGCTGTGCATGTCTTCCTCCTGACAAGACGGCCCAAGCGAGCTTTGCCCTTGATAATGCAGTATGGGACACCCATTTTGCGGCACAAAGCTGGCAAGAAGATAACAATCTCAATTGGGTCGACATCATGGGCGATGACAACCAATTGAGCTTTCTTCTGCTCAACTAGGGTAGTGACTGCATTGGCACCACTTCGGATGACGTTGGGTTTCTTGGAAGGAGTATCTTCCTTCTTTTCCACCTTCTTTTCAGCACGTGCCTTCAAGCGCAATTTCTTAGCCAAAGCTGTTTCTGGTCTATACTTTTCCAGCAACTTGAAGAGCTGGGTGGCATTTTGTTTGTCCAACGTTTGGTTGAACTGATTGATTGGTGGTGGCACCTTCAATCTTTTGTAGAGAACTGATTTTTGTCTCTGTATCCTAATGTATTTAGGGAATTTAACAAAACGCGACAGATCACGCTCCGGCTGGATATCCTGCCCTATAAACAAAATAAAATACAATTAATCATATGCTCAGATACATACATGAAAGATAAAAAATAAATTTAAATTATTATAGTTTCAGGAAAAATAGAATATATCACAAACAATCATTGGATTGGCTCTATAATCTTCATCATGTACATGTGTATGTAAAGTTAAGAAGGTGAAAATTATCAACTTAATCTCATGGCTCATTTGACAGTAGTATAAGGATACTTACCGATACCGAAGTTTCTAGTCCTCTTTTCAAACAGGGGGTTAGTGAGCTTCTTTGGCTCAACTTTTTTGACTGCCAAAGGAGCAGCAGCTACCTTCTTGCCTACCTTCTTCTTTGCCTGCAATATAACAACATGTAAATTAATGACCAAAACTTAGTTTGTTCAGATGATAGAAGGAAAACTTTTCGACGCGCCATGTGCTTATAATCACATGACGTTCCAAACGATCTTGTCGCAGTTTTCTGATTTTTTAAAGATTGAATGTGAAAAGGAAAATTGTTGTTCTGTTTTAAGTATTTAAACATATATCTCTTTACTCATAACTACTTTTGAAATATGAAAATTGAGATGATGAATACGGATTCTTGGATAGGAACACGTTGTATCTTATAGGTTAAGGAAGTGAATAATAATAATTTCCCGTTTTTCATTATTTAACTCATCACATTAATTCAAAATAGTGTTAGAATGAAAGTTCTTAAATAATAATTTTTAGTAACATACTTTCTTTTGCACCATTTTATCTATTTATTATAGAATGAGTGCCGACGTTGGCAGGCAGTGGGCTAAGAAGCTTTCTTGAGTTGAGAATCTATAAAGATCTCACGAACGGCGGCTCTCTCTATAACTAAATTCCACGGACGGCCACTTTCAGCGCCACATAATCAGTGGGCTTTTTCAAATTCACGTAAATTGTGGATTGAAAAAATTGAAAAAATGTATATTAAACTTTATTGAATTGTACCGTGGTGATAATTGACTGACAGAATAAATTCAAACGCATAAAAAAAATCTAAGAAATATATTTTTGAAATTTTTTTTACAATATTGAATGAGACTTTTACAAACAGTCGAAAACGTAGTTCGTGCGTATATTTTTGTTTTAAAACTTTAACACCTTTTAAAATCTTAATATATATTTTAAAAATTACAAATATTTATAATTAATTCTGTTATATAAATTAAAATATTCATTTTCACAATTAGCATTTGCTATTCATTCAAAGAGAAGTTTTCAAAAAAGTCAGGTTTTCTTGAGATGGTTGAATGAGATACGCAATGTGTTTACCACAGGGCTCAAACTTTTGAGGGGGTTACTCTTCAAGTTCTCCCTGATCGACCCTCAAAATTTACAGCCCAGGTCAAGAAACTAATTTCCAATTAGATTTGCGAAAGGTGAACAAGAAATTGCTGTTCTGAAGAAATATGTTTTGGGATTAATAAAAAACTATTGATTAGAAAGTTGAAGTAATCACCTTTCGAGTATTAAAAATATACATGCAAACAAGCTTTATAAAGAAACATTTAGCAATTTGAGGCCGTAAACTAGTATCTATAACCGACACAATATTTGCGCACAGCAATGCGCATCATATACACTAATAAAAAAAAACCTGTACGACGCAGGCGACAGGATGCTTAGCTGCTATTTGTATGAAATCGTGGCTTGAGGTTGTGATCGCTGTTGTCAGCATCAGCATAATCATAACAACTGCAGCAATGTCGCGTGTATGGGTGTGTCGTTGCGGAAAAAATTGAATTTGTTTACTTGCAAATTTACTAAAATTTAATTGGATCTATCTTTCGAATATCTGACAATTGAAATATAACAGAGGCGAGGACATCATCCTTGCACTTTGAGGCTATCATCATGAATCAATCAACACTGACGTTTTTTGTTGGATTATCTTTTATTTTGAGTATGTTAATGTTAATTTCAATATATCGGTATTAAATAAAAATACCATTAATTTTTTAAATTGTATTTTTTATCAAGAGTCGTTTATTGCAGAACTTCTGTACTATGTATAAAAGAATACAGTACTTGAAATAAAATAATGATTAAAACTGTATGAAAAAAAAACCTCTTATTTTCAGTTGGTTTGAGCAAGCAAGATCAGAATGCATGTCAAATTCCTCTTATCATACGAGGAGCATGGTTCTCATGGGAGAATGGACAAAATACACTCACAGAAATTGATGCAAATTCTATTTCCAAGAGAGGCAGATGTGTTGATATGAAAGAAGAATTTCATGTCAATTATACTTTTGTCTTAAAACAAGAGGAATGTTATCACTGTGTTAAGTTACTTGTACGAACTATAAATGTTTTAGAAAAACTTGAAAGTAAGTTACAATATAATCTCATCAAAATTAAAAACGTTGGTAATGTTTAATTTTATATTTCAACTATAGCTAGTTGCGTTAATCTTGCACCACATGAAGAGCCAACAGTGGCTAGTGTTTGCAAAGGTTTGAGAGCTGATCAGCAGTTGATTACCCTCTTCTCAGAAAATTATGTTCCAGTCAATTGCAGATCTTCCCTTGAAGGGGTTTGGCAATTTGCTTACCAGGTATATTATCAGTTCAATCACATGACTCACTATTATATTTGTTGTGAATAAATAAATTTTTCTTTAGAATCGATTCAGATTTACTGGAGAATGTAATCATCCTGATGCGCAAATTCGATCTTGCCAAACTCCCGGAACACAATTTTTCATAACAAATCAAAAATTTAACATAACTTACAAAAAATGTTCTGGACTTAAGGAAACATTTGATGGAGGTATACAAAATAATTTATTTTTAATTAGTTGCACATTGCAGTTTAACTTAATAATGATGTTTTTTTTTTAAGTTGTTGAATACAGCTGTTTAGGTGATTGGTTTGTTGACAAAAATCACTTCTTTGCTGTAGCCAATACAAAAGAATCTCGAAAGGATGAAAAATACAGATGTTTCTTGAAAAATCGCGATGATGATTTATACATTGGTGTATCCAATACTGCTGAATGTAATACACTTAAAACAGTAGAAAAAAGCCCTGAACGTTTACGCATAACACCTGTAAAAGCTGAAGTGGTAGAGCCAGGTTGTAGACTACCACAAAATATGTCTGGAAATTGGATAAATACAGCCAATATTGATGCTGATGTTTTTATTAATGAGACACACATAATAGAAACTTGGTATCCTGATGTAGGCAGATATAGAAAGACTATTTATACCTGTCGGGAACAAAGAGATTCCAGATTTATGATGGCTAGATTAACTGTGGATGGATGGTGAGGAAAATCATTAAAAATATATAATACCCTAATTGTAATACATTTTCTTAATTTTTTACAGTCAAAAAGATTATGTTTGTTTTGACTTTGTACCTCAGCACCATAATATTATCAGATACAGGAAAGGCTTAGCTGTGATAAAAGACGATTTTCATACTGTTTGTTCATGGGTCCAATTTAAAAATACTGTAGAATGGAAATATGACTTATTCTTAGGTTTGTACAAATCAAAGTGATTTAAAAATTTACAATTTAGATTTTCATAACACTAGATTTCATTTTTTCAGCCAAAGATCCTGTACCTGTTAGATGTCCTGTTGCTGGAAAATTTATGTTCAAGCAAAAAGGGGATGTACTTTTTGAAACAAGAATTTTAGGTGGTGTTACAGATACACCTCGACCAAACATTTACTGTAAACAAAATATATCAGATTTTTCAGTGTGTGACACAGATCAGAAAGAAATTGCAATTGATGAAACTTACTGTTTATCAGTTGATCATTTAGGAAGACCTGTTGATATTTACAGTAAGTAAAAGCATTGTTAAATCAACTTACTTATAATTTTTTGCATACTATTGAAAATAAAATTACATAATAAGCTGATATTTATAAATATTTTACCTATTTATTAACTTTATGAATTTAATAATTTTTAATTTATTAAAGGTTGGCCAGATTACAAAATGAAGTGCATTGGATATTTTAAAGAAAATCTCAAATCTTATTTAATCACTTATGATGAACTTGATCCATACAGCAAATATCATTGTTGGGTGTATCAAAGAGCCGACTTAAATAGAGTTCTTATGTCTCAAGCAATTGGAGCCTTCTGTGATGTTAAACAAGATGTAACAAGTTGGAACTATACAGAAGGTGCTGCAGTGGCACTAGATTTAGTGGTAAGTTATAAGACTGACAATTTTAGAAAAGTTGTTATGAATTAATTAATAATTATTCATTTTGAAATATTACATTAAAGGAATATGAACGAGAACGTGATCAGTGTCCAATGCACTTTGATGATGGAAGTAATCCATGGGTTAAAAGTGAAAACTATATTCAAGTCTTCCACTTTGGCAATCATAATTAAGCTGTTAAACTTCAAGTTTCAGCTTATCTAATCTGCTTTGTTATTTCATGTTTCAGTGAAATTTATAAGCGTTAAAATATTTTTGATCCGTCCATGCTTTTTGTAAACTTTTAAAAATTTTCATTAGAGAAGATTGACAAATGATCTGATTGTAACTAAACAGCTTTTATACTTGTAAGATACTACAGGATATATATCCATTTAATCCGTCCAAACAACTATTATGTATAGTTGCATGAACAATTGTGATAGTGTCATCACAAATGTCATTTTTTATGTATTTTAGATAAGAAAAAAAAAATGCTCATTTGTACAAATAAAATTGTTTAAGCATTAATTTGGAACTGATTCGTTTATTATTTTTTTGATCCTTGCAATAATATAATACTAATATTAAAAGTACAAATTCTGGTAAAAACGCCTATTTATTAGAAAAAGATAATTTATTTACAATCTTGTACTGTACATAGAAATTTCCACTTCTTATACATTTTAAATTTTTCTAGTAAATTTACAATAGAAAATTCATGTGAACTCTACTAATCATTTAGTAATAAAAATAAAACAATTTTTTAATTGTCATACATAAATGGATAATACTATAATGAATATCCATCTGAGTTTAGTTTCTTCTTCTTCTTACTCTGGATATACGCCAAGCATTTGGCTCTTCATATTTATTATGTAGTGGTTCTAGTCGTTGATTCTTTTTGAATTTACTCAATTTAGTAGGATCGCTGAATTTAAAGAATGCAGGTGCAAACTCTACAAGCCATTTTGGATCAATAGATGTTACTTCCCTCATGTATTCTTTTGTTGTTTGAACTAATTCATGATAAATAACCCACTCTGGCTGTCGATTAAATAACGCACTACTAGGATGAATATATACTACTTGACTATCCACTAGAGTTCTGTATCCCTCTTGTGGATCTTTTTTCGCTGCATTTCGGAAAAATCCCGAACATACAGTCTTTTGAACGCATACAGTATTTTTACCAGCCGACACAACATCCAATTTATGTCTATCCATAATACCTAAAAGTTGTTTTCGTACATCTTGGGCTCTTTTGAGAGTACGTATTTGAACAAAATTTTCATAGCACCAAGCATTACTAAATTTGTTGTTTTTCCATGAATTATAAACAGCTAATAGAGTCAAATGATCACCCTCTAATTGATTAAATTTAGCTTTTTTTTGATCAGCAATTGCTTGTTTGTCTTTTGGACGATAAAACACATTTTGCACTGACAACATACTGACTATTGTAAGAATTTCATCAGAACATTTCAAATGTACACTCATTATCAACATTTTTGATAAATTAGGTTCCAGAGGGAACTCGGCCATTCTTCTTCCTAATCTAGTGAGTAATCCTTCATCATCCAAAGCACTAAGACTATGCAAAGATTCAAGAGCCATTATAAGAGATTCTACTGGTGGAGCATCCATAAAATCAAAATGAAGTAAGTCATTTATGCCCATAGTCTTTAGTTGTAAAACTGTAGTTGCTAGATTGGTTCTTTGAATTTCTGGTACAGGTGTTGGCAACATTTCATCTCTGTAAGCTCTTTCTGTATATAATCTATAACATTTACCTGGTCCTGTGCGTCCAGCACGTCCACTACGTTGGTTCGCAGCAGCTTGACTAATAGGTGTTACAATCAAACTATCCATTCCAGTTTTAGAGTTATAAACTTTTTGTTTTACAAACCCTGGATCCACGACATAGTAAATACCATCAATTGTTAAACTAGTTTCTGCAATATTTGTGGCTATAACAACTTTACGTGAGCCCGGAGGTGCTGGCTCAAAAATTCTAGTTTGCATCTCGGATGGAAGAGCAGAATAAACTGGCAAAATAATTAATTCAGGAACATCTGGCCCAAGAGATTTCATTCTCTCATAAAGAATTTCACAAGCGGTGTCAATTTCTTCTTGACCAGTTAAGAACAGTAAAATATCTCCTGGGGGTTCTCTTAAATGTATTTGCATAACAGTGATCAATGATGCATCCAAGTAATCTGTTTCAGGCTCTTTTGTATACATTATCTCTACTTCAAATGTACGACCTGGAATAGTGAAAATTGGTGCTTCAAAAAAGTATGACGAAAACTTGACAGCATCTAAAGTGGCACTGGTAACAATTAGTTTTAGATCAGGCCTACGACCAACTGCTCCTTTGAGAAGACCAAACAACACATCTGTATGTATTGTGCGCTCATGCGCTTCGTCAATCATAATAACAGAATATGATTTGAGATCTAAATCCATGAGGCATTCTCGTAACAACATACCATCTGTCATGTACTTGATTACAGTTTCAGGACCAGTACAATCTTCAAAACGAATAGTGTAACCAACTTCTTGGCCCAATCTACAACCAAATTCTTCAGCTACTCTGTTAGCAACTGATGTGGCTGAAATTCTTCTGGGCTGAGTACATCCTATTTTTCCCCTAGCAGTAAAACCAATTTCTGCAAGGTATTGGGTGATTTGAGTTGTTTTACCAGAACCAGTCTCACCGATAACAATGAGAATTTGATTCTCTGTAACCGCTTTGATAAGATCATCCTTGAGCTTGTAAATGGGTAAGCTTTGACGTTGCTCAATGAGACTGAGATTAGTTTTTTTACCGAATGAGCTTTTCTTACCACCAATCACATGTTTTTTCCATTCTGGAACATCTTGCAACTGAATACCCATCCCTCCTCGCATACTACTAGTGGTAGTTTGATTTTCTGTAGATGGAAGAGGATCAATCCAATTCTTATTCATTCCAGCTGGAGTTGCTTCAGCCTCTTGCTCTTTTTGCAACATCTTTTGCTCCCTACGTTCTTTAGCTAAAGCACTTTGCATCATAGCAGCTTGTGCCAATGATCCATCTGGATTTTTGACAATACGGACAGGGCTCAAATCACCAAGCGCGCGCCCATGGCCATGTAAAAATGGTGGTTCATCTTCTACTAATTCAATTTCAACATCTTCATCATCATTATCTTCTCTTGGTAAAATTCCAGTTTCCATGTCAAAATCAGGTAACTCACTTTTATCTATGCATGAAGCGGCTAACATTTGTTTTATTTCCCACTTTTCTGGCGAGGAAAGTCTCTGTACTCTTTTCTTTGTGTAAGTTTCATCTTCGTCGTTGTTAGTTTCGAACTCAATGACTGATATTGGCCTATCCGGATTTCGCAATCTCTTTTCATCGTCGTTAATTCTAGTTAACGCAGCCGTTGGATTCGCATCTCGACCAGTTTCTCGACGATTACTGCTGTTTCTATCATCAGGGCGATGCTTTTTATCGTGATATTTACGATCGTGGGAGCGACTGCGACTTCGATGTTTTCTGTCGTCGAATCTTCTGCTGTTATTACCGTAAGTCCGATCGTTTGATCGGCTACGATCACGGTGTTTTCGATCTTTGGATCGGCTACGATCACGATGTTTTCGGTCTCTGGATCGGCTACGATCACGATGTTTGCGATCGCGCGAACGACTTCTTCCATGATGTTTACGATAGCGCGAACGACTGCTTCCACGATTTTGGCGATCATTCGAACGGCTTCTACCTCGTCTTTGATCTCGATCTCTGTCCCTTCTACTTTTATGTCCGTCGTGGTCTCGACTTCTATCCTCATCATTATCCTTCTCACGCTTTATTTTTTCCGTAGCATTTTTGTGATCAGGATCAAGCATTAACATCATCTCATCGACGACATCATCGACATTTTGTTCTTCTGCTTTGACAACTTCATTAGGTAGAGCAAGACCAGGAAATTTACGGGACAAAACATCTTTTTTACTATTACCTTCGCTGCTAGTTGAGGTTGATTTCTTTGGCTTCATATGCTGTATAATACGCAATAAATTTGCAACAAAAGAGTCGGAAAATTCGGCGCCATTTTCTAACAGTGCCTTTCTGAAGCTTTCAAAAGTGTTATTTTTCTCGGCCAGATGTATAATAAACTCGGCTAAATCTTTCTCATTCAAACCTAAATGGTTTTCCAACTCGGTGCAAATTTTAGAAACGAGCGACAAATGCTCTAGTTGCTCGATCTCATCCATTCTTGAATTGTTCAATCCAAACAATTGTCAGTCAGTAATTGATGATCGATTGTCGAACGAATTAGCCAAAAATTGCTGTTTTTAGATACACGTACACTCACTAATAGGCGTTCAATTGATTATTTTTAGGTCTACTTTAATATATTCATTGATGCACATACACAAATTATTAAAAATTGACAATACTGAATTACTTTTAACCTAATTTTAACGTGAGAAGCGTTGCTGAGTCTACAGTGTATACATACACTAAAATATTTTAGCGACTGCTGGGGCTGTCGCCTATCGCATCGTGTCGTGACCGCGCTCGTGCTCCCAAGCCACACGTTCACATGATTTCCAAACATACACTTTTCATGCTGCTAAAACATCTGCAGTGCGCGCGCACAAGCCAGCTGACCGGCGCGTCATTTAAATTTTAACTACTCGTCGTATCAACACACAGTTTCATTATTTTTGGAAGTCGTTACTTCACAACATTACTACGAAATAAAATCAGAAAAAATGTTAATACTTTTTATATAAAAATCGGTCATATCTTTGTATTCAATTTTAACGTCCGATGCTGAAAAAAGAGATAACTTTAGGTCGGAATATGTTCAAACTAACTTTTTTATGTAGCCGATATCAGGGAAATAATCGCAGCAAAATGTTGTCATTTTGAACGTTAATGCTTTACTTTTATTTGGTTCATCATTTTTTTTATAAGTTAATTGTTGGAAAAAGTGCAATCCATTTTTTAATTAAGAGAATGATTAAATTTGGTTATGGTGGTAACGCGCACAACGCGCTTTAAAAAATTTTTATAGAATACATTTTAAAAAATTAGCATCAATATATCCCTATAAATATTTCTAAAAAAATGTTTGTTTAAATTGTAGGAAATGCGAGTGGAGATGTTTATTTTTACGTTCGCTCCAGCAACCTTTTGATGCAACCACACGATAAGAGAACTTGGTGCGATTAGCATACCAGCCAACGGTAGGATTGTATTCTTCTTAAACTAGAGTCATCTATTTGAAATTAAATGTAAAACTGAAAAATACAGTATTACGTACGTAACTAATACTTTTTTAAATATTCTGCTTTATTGAACTGTCTAAAATTATCATGACAGCTGTCAAAACATTTTTACCTAGAAAATTATAAAACTGAAGCACCAGATTCCAAATTATATACATATGTGCATAATTCCAAAATCTGGGCTTAGTACAGAATAGTTCATTTTAATTTATTATTCGTGGTCAATTAAATAAAATGATTAATAATTATTTTCAAACGTAAAATTGAGATCCAAGTTTTGTAAAGCTCATTTGGAATTTTTGAAAAAAACTATAACAGTATTGGAATTTATAAAAAGTTAATAGTTTTATGTTAAGATTTGGTGACCGGTAGGTATGTGATTATTTAATATCTGGTGGTGAAAAGATTGCAATAGATTAACAATTATTAGAATTGAATTATAAATATAATTTCTTCAATTTTTTGATCGCATGATACTATAGTACAAAATCGCCACGTTTTAGTTTTCCCTCGTTGAATGAATCTGCCTTTGTTGGCGCTTTATCTGCGGTCGTCTTTTTGTTTTGACTGTTACCGCGCGGCATTCTTTGTTTTTGGATATTACATGGTTACCAGACACTTGCAAAATTTATTCCACTTAATGAGTATTCCTAGAAATATCTTTATTATATGTATGAGTCAATTCAAAAAAATATACCGAAAAAAATAATCTATATCCACAAAAACGCACTGTTAATCTGGATTATCAGATGACTTTTAATTTTTTGCACAACTCTTTTCTTTTAGTATTGTTCGGAAAACTATTATTTACAGAATTATATCATTTTATGTTAACGGTAACTTTCAATCAGTGAGCACCCAAGCTGTTATACAGTACAAACTTATAATCGCTATTCATTGTTTAACTTTTAATAAAATTAACGTGCTCTATACCAGTACTTATCATGAATATCTCTGATTGCGTGAAACTGGAGCACTCGCGTCATAGTAAAAAATAAATCAAAAACATATGAACAGAATGATGGCACTGTGGTGACATGTGCACTAGGCGATATACACGAGCTAAATGTTTACAAGTATAAAGCATTATTATATTCTATTATCTCAGCCACAGTATATACGCATACCTGGCCACATCCGATTTGCGGCAATATATGTGATTACACGTGCCGCGTTATCTCCATTGTTGTACGCGTCATCGCACCGAGAGCTCATTTACTTCTCGCGATAAGCGTGGCCGGCTCGACTCATGGTGTATTTTTAGTGTACGTTAAGCCTTAGCGCGGGTAAGGTATATACCGGTGTCATGAAACTATTCAGTTGACAGCAGTTGTAATACGGTACTTTGAAGAAGTGCTGTATTGATTTTAAATCAATGTGAGTACAAGTGTTCATTTATGCATTTATCATAAATCCATTGCAATTTTTCAATTGCATTAAATAGTCTATTAGAAGAAAAATGGAGTGATCGATAACGATTGAAACAAGTTCTAATTTGAGTCGATCGATGAGAAATGCTTATTAGTGTTTTTCAATTATTATTTCTAATATCTACTCAAGTTGACGTTATTTTTTATTTTACAGCATGAAAACAAACTATAAAATCAAGTGTTTCTACGGCATAACCCTGTTAATAGTTCTATCATTTTCTCACACCTGTTCTTCCTTAATTACGAACTTAAATTTGTACCCAACTATCATCTCGGCGACCTTTGATCTTCCTTATGAGCGCAAAGTGGATAATCAACGCGAGTATATTTTTATTTACGCCGAAGAGGATGTAAGTGCAACAGTTTTAATAGTCATTCTTGTTACAAACATTTGAATTGTAATTATACCGTGTTCTACTTTGTGTCGATGCAGATAAAAAACACCGAAGGTTCGAAACTCACTGTAGAGAGTGAGGACGCGACTTTGGAAAACCCATTGATCGTCGTGGTAAGACAGAAAAGTGGAGTTCTGTCGTGGCAAGTGCCTTTGCTGCCGGATATCGGCGAGAACGTTGACCCAGCCGATTTCAGCAACAAAACGAGCCGAACGCTCTGCCCATCCCAGCATTACAAAGCCATTAAAAACAGCACGGACGTCGACAAGTACGCCACTGTCACAATATCGACCGATAGTCCGAAAACTATCAGTTTCAAGCTCAGGCTCAGTCGAATGACGGACTTTTACTTGAGGTAATTCTTTCGCGCACTTTTTCTTGAAGTCAATAACACAGGCACACAAAAAAATTAAAAACTTCAGTTCCAGAGATTAAACTGAATAAAAATGAGGTATTAAAGTTCGCTGAATCCGAATTTGGCATCAGTTTTTCTGCGTTGGCTCATTTTCAAGGTCATTTCGAAGGTTTTTTTTACGAAAAAAGAGGAAGAGCAGTTGTGCCTAGGTAAGCGGCAGCTGCTATTCATAGATAGGGAGATTTTGGTACATCTGTTGCTCCTTATCTAAGCACAGCTGCTGCCCCCATTTAGACATAGCTACTGACTGTATAGAAGTCATCTGACCTCGGATTTGGACTCAACATTCTCAAAAACTTTGGTTTTTTCAGCATATTTCCCTACTTTTTCTTCATTTGACCTCCAAATGACCTTGAAAATGACCCAACTTACATAGACTGATTCAACGCACCCAAAAACATAACGTGTACTAGATTCAGTCTTTGGAACAGAACTTTTCAATTGTTTTGTGTGTCTTTGTAATCTATGCATTGAGAAAAAAATTGTTATTACACAAGAACCCGAGTAATTTTCTCTTAATCGATCATTATATTGTAGAATCGGTGAAAAGAAGACATTCGCTATTACTCCATCTGAGCCGATTTTCTATGCATACGACTATGGAGACAATACGGAAAATTCGACTCTACTGGTCAAAGTTAGCTCTACCAAGGGAACTGCCAAAAAATGCATGACTTTCTCCATTCAAAATGCTACAGTAAGAATTTTTATTTGTTCCTAATTTCAACATTTTAATGACAACAGTTATACAAATATACTTTTGTCATACATCAGTGTCCAGTATTCGACTTGGAAAAGGACATCTCGTTCGACGGATACAGACAAACTGTCAGCCAGCAGGGAGGAATGACCATTCAGGTAAAGAAGTTAATAACTCGACATTGTATTAACTGCGTACGAAAAACACTTGACTGTGATAAAAGTTATCGGAGCGAATTTATAATGCTATTTAACTACGTCGGTATTTTAAATTGATTTTATCAAAAGTCCGATGATCAGAAACAAAACAATATGATGAAATCAGAAAAGCAAATAATTTTTTTGCGATCTTTGCTAGTCTTTGTAATTTCATTATAATCAGATGCATTCAGAGTTAAATGATGATTTTTATAGAGACGAAATTACCCCGCTGGATTTTTCATTGTATTAATCGTAAATGCGGACGATAAACTTTGCCACGAGGACGACGAAGATGCTCCACAGGGGCGACAAAAAATTGTTAGTCTGGTAATCGAAAAAGGCATCACCAATAAGGAGTATTACATCGCAACATTCACAACGGTGATTATTATCATAGCGTTTTGTGCCATGTTCTTCGGCATTACGATTTATTTTGAATTCCACGACGTCAGGAGGTTCAAACACGCAGTGGACAGCAATTCAGTCACCGATCCGGATGCTATTGAGGTACTTTTAATTGTTTGAATAATATCGAATGAATCGATGAGAAATGTTTATGTTCATTTTCGTTGTTGCAGTTCGGACCGATAAGGCCTCGCCCGAACTCGGAACAAGATCAAAATAACGAGCCGCAACCAGAAGAACAACATCAGCGGCAGCAATCACAACAAGAGCAACAAGAGGAACAAGAGCAAAAACAAGCAGTAGAAAGTCCACAGGTTGAATCGGCGAGCGACGCGGTCGATCGATCAGCAATCGGGACGGTGGTGAATCGCGGACGCAGCATCCACAAGCTCGTGCTGTTCGAGCTGTCGAAGAAGGAGCCCCGCAAACTGCGCGAAGAATCGCAGCTTTACATGTATTACCTCGTGACCATCGCGATTTTCTACGCGGCGCCCGTCGTCCAGCTCGTCATTACCGATCAGATAATGCTGCACATGACCGGCAACCACGATCTCTGCTACTACAACTTCCTCTGCTCGCACCCGCTCATGGTTTTCTCGGATTTCAATCACATCTTCTCGAATCTCGGCTACGTTATGCTCGGCGCGCTCTTCATGACCATAGTCTATACTCGCGAGCGCAAATGCGCCGACTGGGACGCGTGCAACGTTGATCGCGGCATCCCGCCCCACTACGGACTCTACTACTCCATGGGTTTCGCCTTGATCATGGAAGGAGTGATGTCAGGCAGCTATCACGTCTGTCCCAGTCACAGTGCTTTTCAGTTTGGTGCGTATATTTTGCAATCTTTCTCAAGGTCAAAATCCTCATATCTAAAACTCGCTTTCGAAACTTGTTCGTGCAGATACGAGCTTCATGTACATAATAGCGGTACTCTGCATAGTGAAGATTTATCAGAACCGTCATCCGGACATCAACGCCAAAGCCCCGACGATCTTCGGCGTTCTGTCGATGACGATACTCTTAGTCATATACGGCGTCGTGAAGGGCTCGGGCCTCACCTTCCGCATTATATTCTCGCTCATTCACCTGGGCCTCTGCATCTTCCTGAGCGCTCAGATCTATCACGTCGGCAAATGGCGATTGGACAAAGGTGTCTTCCAGCGCATGGCGGTGGTAAGTCTAGGCGATATCCCTTTTTCAAATTGATTATCTCGCGGCATGTATCCAAGTCGTTATATATTTACTTTTTTTATTGCAGACCTTGAAGCCAGATTATGGATCTGCTTGCTTGTTTAAGCCACTTCACAGGAAGCGCTTTTGTCTTTTGGCAATTGGCAACTTCTTCAATATAGGCGCAGCCATTTACGGGGTCATTTTTCAGGTGGACTTTGCCAAATATCTCTTGGCCATTCTCTTGTCAAACCTCTCGCTCTACATGGTATTCTACATTTACATGAAGGTACGAAGCAATCGATATTTTATTAAAATTCCAATCGTAAAAATGTACCTATATTCATAAATGCGTCGTTTCAGATTCATTACGGCGAGAAGCTGCTGCCGCACACCATCGTCTACATGACGTTATCGTTAATTTTATGGTTCGTCGCACTGTACTTCTTCTACAGCAAGACGACGAGCTGGTCCAAGACGCCGGCCAGTTCCAAGGAATTCAATCGGCCCTGCACCCTAGTCTTCTACGACTTCCACGATATTTGGCACTTCCTGTCGGCTGCGGCCATGTTCTTCTCGTTCATGGTGCTGTTGACGCTCGACGATCCGCTGGCGGGTACTCACTGCACTCAGATCCCTGTTTTCTGAGTACATATTTATCATGTGTTCCTGTAAATCGAATAATTTGCGCGAAGAACTGAATGAATAAACGGCGCCAAATGTGTAAATATGACATTAGTATAATGGTAAAAATAATGTAACTAGAGTATACAAGTATTATAATCGGTGACTGATATCTTAACATGTTTTTATAAGGTAATCGAATTTTCTGTAAGTCGTACGGCATATACGATGTGATAAGCGTTTTGTAAATGCAAATATATTATGTTCACGAGTCAAAAGTCTATCGTACGTTTCATTGCTGCTTGGCACACTTTCATGGCCAAATCACAATTTTTGTTACGTAATTCTTTCCAAAATTTTTTTGAAATTCAGCCCAGCCCGCGCACAAAATTGTAAAGTGCGCGTGTACTCGGCCTTGAAAATACGAATGAGCAATTTCCCCCTCTTGGCAAAAAAAATTGTCGCTCTCTGTGTACTTTTGCACGCTCGAAACGACCGAGCTGGAACGAAAAATTCTCTACAACATTACAGGCCATCTTTTAAAGGTTCGCGAAGCAGTAGAAAGCAACGAAATCGATAAAAATGTTTTCTCATATCTGTACTCAAGTTGGCCGTCCGGAAGAAGTATTTTTTTCGGGGGTAAAGGTTCTCGAGAGTTCGCCGGCGCACAAAGATCGGGTCGTAAAGCCCCACTTTTCCCTCTGTATACGTTTCTCTCTTTCTCTCTCGTCGATGGATTCGCGAGAGAAATATAATAATCATTATACATAGCGCGATGACGTCTTTAGGCCTAGTAGGCCTACTGCCTTACTATCGTACTTTTCGCATGCGAAGTGGCGGTGTACGTTGTCTCGCAGAAGAATGACCGAAATCCCCCTCGTGCGATGCGTGCCGGCGGCGGCAGCGGCAGTGGCTCGTGTTCTATGTACGCCGTTGTGGCTTGTGTCAGTATTCCGCGTGTGCGCCAATCCGCCGCACAATTCGGCTTATTCATCCAGCGTGTCGTGAATCGTGAGCTCGATGATCGAAATGAAGCGAAAAATCCACGAATCCGTGGCGCGCCGTTAAAAGAGTGCCGGACTCGGGACGAGGGTCCGCGATAATTCTCGAGTGCCAACTTGCCGCGTGCAGTGTGCAGCTTTTGTCTGCTGCCGCGCGCTCCTTAAAAACAAGACACGCGCGTGTGTATATACTTACCTATATTATATCGCAAAAGAGCTAAATTTATAAGCGTTCGTTGCAGCAGGCAGTGCCGACGTTTTCTCTATATAGCGCATATACAATAGGCACATCAGTAAGACAGTGGTCCAACTGATCCGCCTGCAGAGGGACGGCAACATTTCGCCGGTATATATAACTCACCTACACGTCTGTGTTCATGCTTTAAGGAGAGCTTCAAATTATTGTGTATACACATCAACACGCCGACGCACAATATGAGCCAGAACAAGCATTTGTATGTATCGTCTGTACTAGACCATTCCAATAATAGAACATTTAGCTATGCGTGCGTCTATTTTCAATCTCTGCGCATTGTTTTTCAAAAGCTGCACATGAACAAGTTGTTTGCTTTTCATCGCTCCTTTACACTTTGACAATGCTCATCAATTTTTGTGCCTGTCAGTTCAACAATTTTTTGGTACTCGAGCTTTAAATAAGAAATTTTTGAATTAACATTTTCGATTTTTTTCTCGAATAAAATTGAGGAAATACCGAAACTACTCACTTAGAATATAAAGAATGTACGAGTTTGTGTTTGAACCTTTATAATTCGTATTTCTCGTGAAAAAATAGACTATAAATCTGCAATATATATTTTTGAAAATCATCTGACACGTTATTTTTGGTTTTTCAATCTATCAATCGCTAACGAAGGTATTCAATTTAAAACAATGTGCGTGGTGTCAACTCACATTAAAGAAGTGCGTAAGAAACTTCCCTCTGCGATTGTAATGTCACGCTCTTTTTTAAATTTTGTAAATCCGTTAATAATTTATTAATTAAAACCCTCAAGAAATACTTATTTAAAATGATTGTCAAAAATCTGTACTGGAGACCTAATCTATTTTTTATGAGAATATACATATTTAAAAAAAATACTTGAATTTCTAGAGAACGACAAAACCGACCAAATCTACTATAACTAAAACAAAAATATTTAGTAATAATATCAAAAACTGTTTAAAATTTGTTTAATTCTTAGCCTTATTTTAATATCTTCTTAATGGGATTATAACATTAATCAATCTGTCAAACATGCAAAACTCATAAGGAATTCTAAAACTAAAAAAACTCGCGAGGTCATTTATCACGATGTTCCACTCATTTTTTCTGAAATTTACCATTGTAATCGGCGTACTTGAATTACATTACCTGAATATAATATCTACTTATTCATTTTTAAATTTTTTGTAATAAAAAAATAGATGTTACTGAATGTTCTGCTGTCCGTGAATGATCTGTTATACTTGAAAAAATTAATAATAAAACAGGAAATCAATATAATGGCTTTTTTGTTCTACATTTTACAGACGAGTGTTGGGACTCGATCGCTGTGGATCAATGAAACTCATTGTCGCGATCATCAGTTGTTTGCTGATCCAATCATGCGAACCAAAATTATTAAGAATGTTTCAAGATTTAAGAACCAACGTAATAAGGGCTGAATATAATCAGACGTACGAGTACAAAGTAGACTCGAAAAATCAGTTCCTGTTTATCATAGAAGAAAATATTGACTTGGTAAGGGTGTCCAAACTTTTAAAAACCGATACTTTTTTGTATTCATTTTGACATTGACATAAGGGTACATTTTCAGAAACACCTTCAGTCGAGCACACTTTTTACGGCGTCCCGGGTAGTCGTCGAGAGCGAGAACGCGACGCTGCAGAAACCTTTGACGGTAGTCATACGTCAAAAGAGCGGCGTGATATCTTGGCAAATCCCTGCTAGAGTGGACGAGAATCCTAACTTTTACAGGGATGCTCATTACTACAAGAAAACGAGCAAGTTACTGTGCCCGAGCGCCTACGGGGACTTGAAGCTGGAGGAAAAGTACGCTACTTTAACTATTAGTACGGAAAGTGCGGATGCAACCGATTTCAAGCTGAATCTTGTGAAAATGAAAGATTTCGATATTGGGTAAGTGTCGAATACGAATAATTGAGTGGAAAAAAATGGAATCTTTTATTCCCATACTTTCAGCATCGGCGAGAATCGAACTTTTAACATTACGCCGGCGGAGTCGAATTTTTATTCCTACCGGCCGGATGAGGATCACTCGACGGTGCTCATCGAAGTCAACTCGGACAGCCTCACTTGCATGACCATATCAATTCAGAAGCCATTGGTGAGTTGAAAGTTTTTAGTTCAGAAACTTGATCAATCAGCAAGAATAGCTGCAAGCAACTAATCGCACGAAAAATTTATCAGTGTCCTGTGTTTGATTCAGAGGAAGATATTCATTACGATGGATATCGACAGACCGTCAGCACTAGAGGTGGATTAACGGTTTCGGTAAGCGATCGGCAGGATAAAATAAAATACGAGGGTGAAAGCTGATTATCGCTAACGAATTTGTTACTTTTCAGAGCGACAATTACCCCGATGGATTTTTCATAGTTTTCGTTTTGAACGCGGACGACAGCAGCTGTATACGCAATTCGTCCAACAAAGACATAAACAATCGCAGCAAGCTAGTGTCGTTCAACATCCAAAAAGGAATCTCGAAGAAAGACTACGCGATCGCCTCGCTCATCACGGTGGTCTCGCTCATGCTATTCTGCGCCGCCTTCTTCGCCATGACGATACTGTGCAAGTTCCACGACTTCCGCGCCTTTCAACGGCGCACTTCGACATCCTCGAGACGCGAGTCCGATCCGGCTGGCCCGGAAGAGATGGGCATAGCCGGCTCGAACGAAGTCGCGACGTCGAACGGCGCTGGCGGTGGCGAGGACAATAACGCACAGGACGACGAGATCGACACAGCCGTGACGGTGCGCACCTCGCTGTCGTCGAAGCGGCCGAAGCTGGCCGTGACCGAGCTGTCGAAAAAGGGAAGCCGCAAGATACACCAGGATTCGTGGCTGTTCATGTACTACCTGCTGACCGTGGCCATATTTTATGCCGCACCCGTCATCCAGTTGGTCGTTACAGATCAAATAATGCTCCACGTGACCGGCAATCAGGATCTCTGTTATTACAACTTCCTCTGCTCGCACCCGCTCATGTCCCTCTCGGATTTCAATCACGTCTTGTCCAATCTTGGCTACGTCATGTTGGGCTTACTATTCATGACTATTGTTTACACGAGGCAGCGCAAAAATGCCAATTTGCTCTTGATGCATCGGGAGTACGGAATACCACCTCACTATGGCCTTTACTATGCCATGGGATTTGCCTTGGTCATGGAGGGTATAATGTCCGGCAGTTATCACGTATGCCCCAGTCACAGCACTTTCCAGTTCGGTAAATTCATAATAAAACTTATAATGATATAACGTTAAAATCGAGGCCATTTTAGCACGAGCTCTCAACCGAATGACTAATTTTTTTCAGACACCAGCTTCATGTATATAATGGCGGTATTGTCAATAGTTAAAATTTACCAGAATCGTCATCCGGACGTCAACGCCGAAGCCCCGACGATTTTTGGTATTCTGTCTATAACGATATTGTTCGTCATCATTGGAGTACTGAAGGGTGATGTGATATACTTCTGGATCATTTTCAGCATCATTCATTTGGGTCTTTGCATTTTTTTGAGCGTTCAAATTTATTATGTGGGACGTTGTAAATTTGATAAAACTATATTTCGTCGAATGGCAGCGGTATGTTTATGAAGTAACTTTATGAAATGTTCTTCAAATAAAATTGTGACTAATTTTAAATCGTTTTTCGTTAATTTTTTGTTTAGAGCGTTAAAAATGACGTCAGCCGGAGGCGATTGTTCCGACCTCTACATTGGAAAAGGTTTTTCTTACTGATTGTTGGCAACCTTTGTAATTTTGGTCTAGCCATTTACGGTAACGTCAATATCAAACAAGATTTCGCAAAGTACTTGTTGACGATTCTGCTGTTGAACCTTTTGCTTTACATGTTGTTCTACACCACACTCAAGGTTCGAAAAAAAATGTCAACTATCAAATTACAGTTCTCCAATGTAACACCGGATAATCTTACTTTTATTTTTCAGATTCACTATAAGGAAAAGATTTTATTGCAGACAAAAGTGTACATTGTTATCGCGATGTTAACTTGGGCAGCAGCCATGTATTTTTTCCTCAACAAAACAACGTCTTGGTCCAAGACGCCGGCACAATCGCGCACTTACAATCAGGCCTGCGTTTTGAAATTCTACGATTTCCATGATATTTGGCACATTCTTTCGGCAATATCCATGTTCTTTTCGTTTATGATGTTATTGACACTCGACGATGATCTTATTAATACGCATCGGAGTCTCATACCAGTTTTTTAAAACTTCATCTCATGTGATATGTTGCAATTTTGATAAATCGAACGATCTTTGTTAAAGCTATGCCTTTTCAAGACCTATTCGATTTATCACAGTATTAATTGTTTTTTACAGACTATTTTATTGTTTGCAGTAAAAATTGCATTGAACATTTATTGATCAACTCATTATAGTTAATGGACTAGAACCAATTTTTATAAACACGAACAAGTACAAGTTAATAATAATAGTAATAATAATAATTTAATTGATTGTTTAAGATGAAATCATTTTTCACCAATTTAAAAATTTGTATTTATTGTGTAATAAAAAAAATTGTATAATAAATTGTGAATGAACATTTTTTAATCACATATTTTCTTGTATTTTATTTGAATTTACATCAGAGATGAAGAGTTGCTATTCAACAAAAATATCAGCAATTTTAATCTCATCCTTTCATTTTATATTTATTTTCGGAGTCCCGATTCCTTATATTTGATTCCAAAATCCAAATCTTCAATTAGTCAAGTTGAGATAAACTGACAAACGGTTGATAGCGGAAATATTCGCGCAAGCGCCTTGAATTATGCACGAGATGTGCAATAGTGCAACGGTTAATTGTGATTCATAATAACAATGTATGTATGATGTGTGTTAAAGGCATTTAGGTAGTCTGATCTGAAGTGTAGAAGTGATCTTATAGTGGCTGGTGAGCTTGTGAGTGTGATAGCAGACTATAAAACAGCAAAGTGCTAAATCAACGTCATTCAGGACGCAAATTTTCATGTTTTTCGTTTATTTTTATAGCAAAAAAATTATTTTTGTATAATTATTATAATAAAATTCACGTGTTACTATTATAAACAGCAACATTGAAAAGTTTATGATAACATTAAGTGCCATGAATGAAGCTTCTTCAGCATTCAAAGTAAACAAAATATATCATTATATAGGCTATTGACATGAATAATTTTTCAATAACTTTTTTAGCTTAATAATGTAAATATTTATGTTACAGTATCAGGAAAAGTGAGACTAATATGAAAAATATAATTTTTTATTTAACTCAATGAATCTAAATTGAGTAAAATGCAAAACAGAAAACCATCAAGATTGTTATTTCTGTCTCTAGTAATATTTTTCCTGTTTCTTTTTACTTCAACAAATTCTTTATCCTTAACACCAGTTGTCATCACTGCAAACTATAGTCATCAATATGAATTTTCATTAAATTCAACGGTCGAATATGTATTTCTTTATAGCAATACTGGGGTAAGTACTTTTTTTGTACTTTTCAACCAAAAGCATTAACTGTCTTTTAATCTAAGATAAATTTAATAGATTAACAAAAGTGATGGAGCTAGAATTATAGTAGAAAGTGATAATGCAATATCAACTTATCCATTGATTGTTGTGGTTCGTCAAAAGAAAGGAATTTTATCATGGCAAATACCATTACAAGTAGAGGGTAGAAACACCAATAATCCAATTTCTTACCATATAACCAGCAGAACATTATGTCCAAATGAATTTTATAAGTCAATCAAATTTGACAAAGAACCTGATCAATATGTCACAATTAGTATATCTACAGCGAGTATAAAAAATATTTCTTTCAATCTTCAACTTTTTCCCCTTGCAGAATTTTATTTGAAGTATGTAAAGTGTTATGTTATTTAAAATTATGTTGACAATTTTATAATTGTATTTTTTTTATAGATCTGGAGATGAAAAAAGTGTTAATATTACTCCTTCTCAGCCAGTATATTATGGTTATAATTATGATGGCCTAGCTGAAAGTTCTTCCGTATTAGTCAGTGTTGAATCTGATTCTGAAACCTGCATGACTTTTTCAATTCAAAATACTTCCGTAAGAAAATGATGAAAAAATAAATTTTCTAATAACTATTTTTAAATTTCTAACTGTTTTTTTAGTGCCCAGTTTTTGACTTAGAAAGAAATATTCAATTTGCTGGATATTGGGAAACTGTTAGCTACAGAGGAGGAATTACAGTGCCAGTAAGTAACACGCAATTTGTACCTGTATCTTTGGTAGTCAAGTTAATCTTTCATTTAAAATTTCAGAAAGAACGCTACCCAAATGGTTTTTTTATAGTATTTGTGGTTAATGCTGATGATACAGAGTGTTCTCCTAAGTCTTCAATAAATGAACCTAATCGTACTAAATATGTCAAAGTGAAAATTGTTAATAGTATTACAAGGCATAATTTTATTATTGCAACCTTTTCAACTGTCGCAGTTTTTGTTTCATTCTGTGTAATTTATATCATTGGTGCTGTAAGCTGCAGGGTTCATCATAATAGAGCTTTAAGACGTCAAAATTATTTAGAAGAAGCAGATAGAATACAAGAGAGTGCTCGTAGCCCTGAAGCACATACTTCCGGTTTTCAAGAAGTAAGTTATTTCCCTTATCATAATAAAGAGTTATTTGATTTGAATTTTTTAAAATTTTTATAACATTTATGCAGATTGGTGAAGGTGCAAGCATTGCATTTGAAGAAGACTCTTCACTTGATGAAGATGATATTGATCTCATGGAGGATGCACTTAGTGATAAAGAAATTATACGCACAAAAATGGTTCTGTCAGTTTGTGACTTGGCCAGAAAGGAACCAAGAATATTACGTAAAAAGTCTCGCCTCTACATCCATTACCTGATAACAATAGCTATTTTTTATACAGCTCCTGTTTTACAACTGGTTGTTACCTATCAAAATGTTTTGCATGTAACTGGAAATCAAGATCTTTGTTACTACAATTTTCTGTGTGCTCATCCTCTATATTTTTTATCTGATTTCAATCATGTGTTTTCCAATTTGGGATATATTTTGTTGGGGTTGTTGTTCATTTTCATTGTTTCTATGAGGGAAAGATATGATGAATCATGTATAATTGACAGAGGAAATGGAATTCCACAACATTATGGACTTTATTATGCTATGGGCTTTGCCCTAATGATGGAAGGTGTATTATCTGGAAGTTACCATTTATGTCCAAATCATAGTAATTTTCAGTTTGGTAAGAATAGTGTGCAAAAAAATGTTATTAATTTTCACATATCTATAAAAAACTAAATTTATAATTTTTTATATTTTTTCAGACACCAGCTTCATGTATATAATAGCAGTTTTATGTATGGTAAAGATATATCAAAATCGTCATCCTGATATAAATGCTAAAGCACCTGTTACATTTGGAGTTTTAGCTATAACTATTGTGTTAGCTCTTATTGGTGTTCTGGATGATGGAGTTATGTATTATTGGATATTTTTTACTGTTATACACCTGTGTATATGCTTATCATTAAGTGCTCAAATTTATTACATGGGAAGATGGAAATTCAATATGGGCGTTTTTCGCCGCATGATAATGGTTATTATTTACTCATATTTATTACATAATATGTAACTATAAATTGTTAAAACGTATTTTATTTTAGACAATGAAACATGATGCACGAGCTGGGGTGAGATACCTTGTTCGTCCATTATACTGGAGAAGACTGTTATTGTTGGTCCTGGGAAATCTTTGTAATCTAGCTATTGCAATTTATGGAAATAAACATTATGACCAAGATTTTGCAACTTATCTACTTATGATACTCATGTCAAATCTTTTGCTTTATACATTTTTCTACATTGTTATGAAGGTATAAGTGATAACTATAAACATTCTGAAAGTTATGATTCTTGCTATATTTAAAATTAATTTTGATTCTTTAATATTTCAGCTTATTAATGGTGAACGAATTCTTCTACAGCCAGGAATGTATATACTTCTTGCATCAGTTACATGGGGTGGAGCTTTATATTTCTTTATAAATAAATCGATTACTTGGGCTAAATCGCCGGCAAAATCGAGAGTATTTAATAGACCATGTCTCTTGTACAACTTTTATGATTATCATGATATTTGGCATTTTTTATCAGCTTTAGCAATGTTTTTTTCATTTATGGTATTATTGACTCTAGATGACGATCTTGCTGATTCCCATCGAAGTCTAATTCCAGTTTTTTAAGAGATTTGGTTATTACTATAATTTCTTTGTACTTTAAGTACAATGTTTGCAGATAATTTTGCTTATGTTTGAAATACATAATGAATTTAAGAAAATTTATTCAGATTTTCATAAATTAATATTAGTTAACAGAAGATTTCAATATTGTTAATTCAAATTAATGTTAAATATTGAAATAATTATATTTGTAAACATAGAAAAATGAATAATATTGTTTTTTCTAACATTGTTAGAATATAAAATTAATCTTTAGATATGAAAAATGTTTGACCTATTACTAAGATGATACTTGTGATAACTTTTGAATATAGATAAATGTATATATTTATATGCATATTTATGCATTTTTGAGTGATGTAAATAGGTACTTTTTTTCATGATGGATATGAAAAATGATAACTCTAAATTTGTGAAGTTTATGTGAAATTCAATAACAACCTGATGTATTTTCCATTAGTGTTTTGTATGCTCATTTTTTTGTATAAAAAAAGAATTAAAAATTACGAAAAAAATATACTTGAATAAAGAAACAAAATGAAATTTTCCATTTTTTTGAATATTTTACTTCAAATGTAACTAAGACTTCATACTTTGCCGTATTATATCTGCATATGATTTAGGAAAGATTCAAATTTGCAGCTTATTTAATGTTTTCGATTCGGAAAAGATAGTTCATAATCCGATGTAAACATTATCATAGTTTCAAAAATCCCGGAAAAATAGTTATAAATTCTCAATGAGAGTATGAAAAATGTCCTCTTTGCTTGTTTTGTGTAGAACTAATTACACGGAGTGTACGGAAGAAGCAGCAGAATTTAGTTTTACATGTTTGTATTTAGCGCCTTATTTCCCCTCTTCCTCTTGCCTCCTACAAGTCTTTCGGAAGGGGATTTTCATGAATTTTGCAAGCATTGTGCAGACTGCATTCTGCAATTCCCAATGCATATGTATATCATACTTGTGTGTATGTTATATTCATATGTCTAGCGAGCAGCAGAGCACGGCCAGCTTCGAGTTACAGTCATATCTAATGTAGATTAGCAAATATCATTTTACTCGTATTAGTTACAATTAAATCACCTGCGAGATGATATTCGCCGCCTTTTTAATGATCCAGCCGATACAGATTTAGCAAACTCAAAGTTGCGGAGTCGTTGGTGGGAATCGCGATATTCGCGCGCGTATCCGCGACCGAGTGGTGTGTCAAGTCAGTTGTTTTCAAGATGCCAAGAAAACGCAAACTTAGCGATTGGAGTCGAAGGTGCCGGTTTTGTTTGAGCCTTGAGCCCAGCTCGAGTGAATTGTTCGTTGACAATCTCGGTGATGCTGTCAAAGATGTTGCCAAATGCACTGACATCGAGGTATTGTCCTGGTCACAGTCATTAAATTTTAAGGTTATGCCAAAAGGATTTCCTTGAATAACATGCCAAAATCGACTGTTTTGCCAGTATTCTTGGAATACTTCGACACCTGCATGAAAACAATTGAAAAAAACCCTGTTTTTCGCTATTCATATTTATGTAATGTTATAGTTTTGATGAAATAACTGTGGCTACGTTGCAAAAGCACATGAAAATGAAATAATTTTTCAGAATCGTTATGGTTTTATTACATACAAAATATTAAAAAAAAAAAAAAAGTTGCATTTCATGAAGTTTCTTATTGCTATAGCCTTTTTTGTTACAGATTATATTATTAACTTATTTTTATAGAGACATGCAGTAGTAGTAATAATAAATCATTAAATTATTACAACTTGACATTAGAGCACTAAAATAAAAATTATTTATTAAAAATTATCACTTTACAGATCATTCAAGAGCCTTCTTATCCAAACAAAATATGTTATGCCTGCCACTACAAGTTAAATATGTGGACTGAATTCAAAACTAAGTTTATTAATAGTCACAAAAGCATAATATCATACTTGAATGTTATGAATCAAAATGTAAGTTACTTACTTGAAAATAACTATTATTGATTTATATCAAAATTTATTGTATTATTCTTCCTTTTTATATTATGTAGGTAGATATATATTATAATGTTATAATCTTATTTCTGATTTTGTAGGAAGAATCTAAGATTGATGAAGGTGTCATCAACTTATCAGAAAATGCCGCCGAAACCTCACCTGCAAAAAGTCAATCACATCCATATGATAGTTCTACATCTGTACGTAAATTAACACGATCACGTAAACAAAAACAGCATGAGAGATTTGCTAAACGCTGGGTTCAACGTAAAAATGCCCTTAAAAATGCTAGGGGTGAAAAATCGTCAGAAAGTGATTCAGAAGATAATTCGAATTTGTCACCGATTCAAAAAGTTCAACGTGACTTAGGAAAAAAGAAGCGCGTAGAAAAAGCTTTAAAACACCTTCATACTGATTTGACTGATAAATACAAGCTAACTTATATTGATGATGGTAATGGAAAGCCTATTAGAAGAACAAGAAAAGTAAGAGTTGGTGAATCTATTTATCGTTGGCAAACAGTAAGTTTTTTTAATACTATTTTTGTCAATAAAATAATTTAATTTAATCTCTCTGTTACTACTTACAATTTCAGGTTGAATGGTTATCAAAATGGATGAACAAAAAACCTGATGATGAAAAACAAGCATTATTGGAACAAGATGAAAGAACAAAAATAGAAATGATTGAAAAAGTCATGGGTAAAAGCATTCATGAGATTGATACAGAATATATCAGAGAATTTGAAAAAGCAAATAACGTCCAACTATTAGAACCATCAGTACCAATAGCTTCAATGAAATATGTAGATTATGAGGAGTCTTCTATACCAGATAATACAAAAAAGTATACTTCAGATGATCCAGAACCATATGTCCCAATGAGTTTAAAAAAATTAAAATTGTCAATGTCTAAAGACAATACAATACCACATAATTCAGATATAAATGATAAACCAAAAGAAATAGAAAATAACCCCAATAATGACTTGAACATTATTAGTGAACAAGTGATCGTACCAAAAAAACCACCCTTTAAACCTCAAACTGTTACTGTAGAATTAACAATTGGTAATGCTACGTATATAGTTAAAACAAAACTAGATTTGCCAAGTTCAATAGAAGAAAATTCAGTTAATAATAATTTGAAATCTAATGGGTTAAGTGCAGCCTCTTCAGGAAAAGTTAATGATAAAAATGATGTCATGAATGCTGTACAATTGCAAAGAATAAAACCAAACGAAGAAAATTCAAAAGAAGTAAAGCCACCTTCTGAAAAAATGTGAGTAATATTCTTTAAAAATTTATAATAATTTAAGTATGTTGTAGGTTTTTAATTAATGATATAAATGAATTTTGTAGGGAATCCCAAAGATGTTTAAAAGTTGAAGTTGAAGGTTTAGAAGCACAAGCTTTACAGCGAGTTCAACTAAGTTTGGCTAATTTTGTAACAAACGAAATACCTGATCTTCTCACAAACCAATCGTCATCATTAAATAAGAAGCTAAAAAAACCTAAATTTAGAGATTCTTATGAGAGTCTAGAATATCAGTTACGAAACATTGTAGAAAGAGTGTTGCGGAGCAATTATCAAATAGAACAAGATTTAGCAGTTAAAAATGAACTAACAAAAGAATCGATACCATCAAATACTACTAATCCAAAATTAAATGTATTAGAATATGAGTCAAGTTTAATGCAGCCAACAGTTTTAATAAAAAAATTAAACATTGATCAGATACAGAAAAAATATTCAATAAATAATTTGAAAGTTCTTCAAAACAATAAAAAAGACAAAGATAATAGCAGCCCTTTAATAAATAGAAAACCAGGTAAAATAGCAGTAAATATTGAATTTTTATGTCTTATACAATTTTCTCTATATCAAATATTACGTATTTCAGGTAAAAGAAAATTAGTAATGCCCAGAAAATTTGACGATTTCTCTGTCAACTTGCCACCTGGTTCTGATGATGATATTCGTAGACCAAAAAAATCAATACCCGATGATGGATTTCGGAAACGTAGGAAGTCAATGGCTGAAGATATTAAGAAAATAAAAAAAGAATCTCAATCAAATTTGATATTAGGAAGTCTTATTCTAGATCCAGATTCAAATATCGAGAGTTCTAATGATGGTCATGTAGAAGTTGATACTATTCGCAATGTAATATTATCCAACAAGGATACTCTATACTCAAAATCAACAGACAAATACTCTTCAAAAAGCTTAGAATATACTCAAATTATTGAAGCTATGAGTCCAATGGAAATGTCTTCTACAGAAATTGAAGTTTTAGAACCACTTCAAAAACCTTTACCAAGTTTCGGTCGTATAACAAAAAGAGTAGATGTAAGTATTTCAAAACAAATTTTACAAGATTTTGTGAAAATAAATTTTTTATTTTTTACAGAAGACAGCAAATTCAACAACAAAAAAGCCAAAGCTGTCTAAAGATTCATCGCGACATTTATGTGGCATTTGCAGTAAAGAATTCTTGACAAATGAAGCAGCACAGGTTCATATGATTCAACATGCAAATGATTCAAATGTATCAAAAACTCTTTCGCTGCCAAAGACAATTGGAAAACCTAAATCTGTAAATTCATCTACTTTAAAACCAAATTTAACAAAAGGATCTACTGGTAAAACGATCATGTCACCTATGAGAACTATGAACAAACAGTCACCTGTAAATAGAAAAATTAATTCACCAAAATCATTAACAAATGGAGATAACAAGTCATGTACTCTTTCAAAAATGCAAACAAAAGCTAAGCTTATGAGATGTAAAAGATGCCAAGCCATTGTTGAAGCTAGACATGTTAAATCACACGTTTGCAATTCAGTTAAATACAATTGTAATCGTTGTGAATGCAGTTTTGGTGCTGAACATTTATTAGTTGCTCATCTTGATACTCACAAAGAAAGAGCTGCTGAAGAAAGAGCTGCAGAAGAATTAAAAAGAGTAAGTTCACTTTATTTTGTTCTTTAAATTTTTTATGTAATATAAATTAAGATGCGACAATTTTATTCTAGAAAAAATCACAGTTAACTGAAAAGACCTCTACACATGTTTCCTCAGAAACCGAAATGTTTTCGTGCTTTGTTTGTGAAAAAATATTTGTTGACGAAGAACAAATGAAAGACCATTTACAAATGCATTGTGATGAAACTAGTGAGGAAGGGAATGAAAAAGGTTTTCAATGTGCATTTTGTTGTGAAAAGTTCCAAACCGAAGAATCCCTGGAAACTCATGTCGGAAATCATTTGTTAGAAGATGGGGATGAAAAAATTAGCATGCTGATTAATCCTGAAATGAAACGAAGTGAGGAAAAAAAAGACAGTTCGAACAGTTACAAATGTGAATTGTGTGACGCAGAGTTTACAACGTCACATTTCCTTTCTATGCATGTAGCTGAGCACGAAGAACAAGAGGAACATATTGCACTTGAACAAGAATTTGTGTGCTCGGTATGTGACGAAGTTTTTGATTCACCTGATGAATTGAATGAACACCAAGAAGTACATACTGGTAATTCTCATGTCTGCATGCTCTGCGAAAAAATGTTTGCTACTATTGAAGAATTACAAGTTCACGTATCAACTCATCAGTAATAAATTGGAATTATTTTTCCAAACAGATGCAGTCTTCAATTTATTTGAATCAGCATGCATCTTAGGTTTGATTACTCAAAAGATATTAATAAAATTAATAAGTTACTTTTATTCAAAATAAAATATTTTATTGGTCATATAAACTGCGAAACGGGCCAAAATACGAAGTGACCTATAAAATTTATTGATAAAACATGTATATTTGAATAAAAAGTTAAAGTTTTAACTATAGATGTGTATAGTATATCTGAAATAAGTCAAAAACAAAGTGTAACATTTGAATTGAATATTTAGTAAGTGAAACAGTTGTCCAAAGTCAAGATATTTTATGTAAAATATTGCTGATAAATGTATATTTTTATTTTCTTACTATAGTGGTCGATTCTTTGTACAAAAACTTACATTATTATAGTAAATCTAATAAACTAGTAATATATTAGTTCACGATTGTAACTAATATAAAAATAAAGTTGTTTCTCTATTTATTTCAACAGCTCATTTGAAGATATTTGATAAGTAGTTTTCTGAACATTTAATTCATTGAATGTTAGTCATGGAAAGGATTTTTTATTGAAGCCATATCATTGAGTTTCTCATAATCACATAATAAAATGTTGATACACTTCATATGGATGACGAAAAATGACGATTGAACCAATGAAAAATTTGTTTAGTTGAAATAAAATATGCTTTTGTAGTAGATTTCTAATTTCCCTTAACAGCTTGCAGATAGGAGATGAATTGTAACTAAATTTTTAAGATAGAGGGGCCGTATTGTAAAGTGTAAGCGAGACATTTGTATATTTAGTACATAGTTGTTATAAATATCACGCTCTGAATCAAAGAATATTAAGAACCTTTTAATATTGGGTTTTCACAAATTTTACGAGGTTTAGATAGTAAAAATATTAATTAACTTAGAAAATTCAAAGTTAATGCAATGAATTGAAGTGTATATTTCTTTGAGTTTGTGTTCTAGGGTAAAGTTCTAGATTTACCAATACGTAATTGTCTGTAAAATTGAAAATTAATTTTGTGGATACTTTTTATTCTCGTGAATAGATTTCACAAAATTAACGTTATAAATACTTACCAGACGACGAGAATAGCACTTTTGATTATTTTGCAGCCAATGTCAATTAAAATATTTTTTGATACAAAACAATTTCTCTACATGTCTCCTTCATTTCTTGAAAAACCTTTACCTTGATCAATCATACAAATTAAAAAATAAAACAATTAAAGTCAACTCTTTTTAGTAAGTTTGAAAAACTCAACTCAAACTATCTAAAATCATGTTGATATCAACAATGATTTAAAAAAAAACTAGTAATTTTAATCATGAGTTTTTTATAATGCACAAGAATTATATTGCGAAAAAATATTCCAGATAATTATTTTTTTTGTCAAGTTTATTTTACTACTTCAATGTTTGTCCAAATTAATTTTTATTTAAAAGGTATAAATAACATGTAAATTAATACGTTTTTCAAGGGTGATTTATTTTGTGTATTTATGTTCATATTATCTAATAATTTACATAGCAACTAGATAATACCCATGTAACAATTTTTTCTATTTTAGATCTCTCTTCTTCAATGTTCACGTCCAAAAAATGTACTGAATTATAGCAAAAATCAGTCCAAAGTTGTCGCTTTTTTAAAATGTTCTTATTGTAAGTATTTTCTAGCGTGAGAATCAAAATTTTTCGAACACTATGTTTTTTATTGTTATTGTTTTATTTACATGAATTTTTGCCCATACGTTATGTTATTTTCAATAACTCATGACGTTTTTTTATTTAACTGTGAAGTATTTGAAATCCCAAGTTCTTAATTTTTGCAAATATTACCGTTACCTTTTCTATCACTAAAATGAAAAAAGAACTAGAAACGGTTATATTTTATGTTTACGATCGAATAAATTGTAAACATTTATATCGAACATTTTTCTTAATCATTATCAAAGTTTATTTGAAAACTAGCTTTATGAATGTTTCATGAACGTCTATATGTATAGACTATTCTATTCAATTTAATGATTGAAGAGGGAGTACCTTTTTTATACCGTTATAAATAAGTAAACATCAATGTTTAATAACATTTAGATCCTTCAGTATTTTTTTAAAACGACCTGTAATGAAACTTTTTGGAAAATTCGTAAAATAATTATAAGTAAGTTCAATACTAAATTAAAAGTTACTCTTTTTGGAAAATTCAGTGTTTGTGGGAAATCACTGAACAATAAAAAGAGAAAGAATTATATCAGGCATCTTTAAACTTTAACAACTTTGTTAGCAAACGATCTCATCTTTGTCAAGTTTTTACTTTGGCTAATTATAGGGTACGATAATAGAAGTAAAAGCAAATTATTCGTACTATCATAAAGAAAACTATTTACAAACGGTAAAATTCATATCTTCACTTTTGTGTATAAATATCTATTGGTCGTGTACAAATGTTTGCTCAAGCCATTTAAATATTTTATCAAAATTTCCAATTATGCCAGAAAAAACTTCAAGACACATTTTGCGATGTAAATTATACGATATGCAGTATAAATGTTTTTTTCCTTCCATATAATTTTTCTTTGTAAAGTACTCCCATTATCCAGAAACTTGAGTGTATTCCAATTTTTATCACGGTCAAATAATCATGTTATTGAGATATTATTTTATTTCTCTCATTACATGAGGTCCTGATTTCTCTCTAACTAGTCTTGCAGTATTTTTGAATTATATTTTTTTTTATATATATGTATGTAAGAATGTATTTATAAGAGTTGTGTTTTCAGTTTTTATTCTTTTTCATGAATACTGCATGCTTCTCTCGTTTTTAGATCGAAAAAAACTTGCAGTTACAATAATAGTACATTATTTTTGAATTGGCATCCCGTTGAATGATTCAATTTTTGATATTCATCGTCTATTTTGACGAACGTCAGTGATAAGATGTTTCAACCAACTTTTAAAATGTCTTGATAATTAAATCTCAAGTTACATATAATATGTATTTATATATTTATAATATATTCTATGTAATTTAATACTATTATTTACAATGCCACCATACAGAAATGATTTTCACGCGTGTATATATATGTATAGTATATTATCGTCTATTGTAAATAATGTATGTATGTATGCTATGCGACGCTTGAACTCGGATCGCGTTGGCTGTCGATATCTTCTATCGTGATCAATAATTATAATCTTTTATCGAATCGTAACAATAAATTAAATTACATAAAAACCTTTTGTCCGATTCTCCTTGCAGAAGAATACGCATATATAATAATAGTAATATTAACACGCAATAATGCTTACCAGCTGCTTGAGCTCTTTACCTCTACTAACATGCGCGCATGATGAAGTAAAGAGAGAACAATATCGGTAAACGATCGTAATTTACGAACATTTATGTCCAATAATGTACGTACCTCAACAAATTGCAAAAATAAAGAAAAAAGTTAAACAATTATATAATATAAAAAATGCGAATATTCGCTCTCATGATCTTTCAATAATATTTTCTATACAAACTTCATCTTTGTTTTTCTGTTGAGTCATATCATGCAGATATTTTACGAGATAAAGTATTCTAGATCATAATAAACGCACTGCCGATGGATGTGTTAGTGTGTGTATCAGTGTGTACGTGTATTTCTATCTTGAATCATTTTCGATGTAGACTTTATATGCATTTTTGTATAAGACTCATATTCACCATAACAAGAATTATTTCAAAGAAGAGAACTTTGCATGTATTGCGTGAATGCTCTGTTATTCTCATAGTTGACGTTTTCAAAGATAATATTAATAACAGTTTTATGATTTTTGCCATAACAATGGAGTTCGAGGATTTCGTTGAAAATTTGAACGCCTTTAAAAGATGGTAATTTACGGTGACACGAGGTCTACGTAATTAGCTGGATAGAGGCCAACTCGACCATCTTTCCTTCCTTTGCACCAACCTTGTTCGTCCTCGTCTTCAAGTTTTTCAAAAATGTCACCTGATGGAAAAAAGAACAATTCAAGTTTGAAACCCATTGACAAGAAGAAGCAAATGAATTTTTTGTTAAGATTTTTACCTTGTTTGAAACTTAGTTCGTCAGCTTCAGCCCCCTCGTAATCGTAAAGTGCTCGAACTGGCACACCGGGTTCACCGTTGTCAACTAATGGTTCAGCCGCGTCCTCGTCCCATTCCTCTTCCTCGAAGGGATTCGTTTCGTCTTTAGCTTTGTTGCTACCATTTCTGAAGTTAATTATTTTTTGTATTATTTTTATTTTATCGTTATTATTTTTGTTCGTTTAAATGAAAAAAATAATGAGCTTACGAGATTGAGTTTCTATTGACTGAATTACTGTCGTGGTTGTTTTTCTCCGCTGGTGGTTTGGACGAGCTGTTTGTGTCGTTTTTACTGTCGCTGTTATTGGCATCTGTTGATATCACTCGACTAGCTGGCTTGGCTTTCGCTTTGTGATTAACTGGTGGATAGTCCTATATCGTAAACAATTGAGAGTGAGTTCAGTAACCTAGCTTTCCACACTTATATGTTCAATTATTTTACGTATTTTTTATAAGCTATTATATTATAAAAAATATACGTGTATCAATCGATGAAGCGTGTACAAAGAGGCAAGTTTTCATCTGAAAATTTCATTTTACAACAGCCCCTATGGTATATGTTTACTCAATAAAAATTCAATCATGTCTTTTTATGAAATCATGCTCATGAAAAATATTCAGTTTGCATTTTTGCAGCAGAACATTATCTTACATAATGTGAAAAAGCACGAATAAATGAATTTAATTCTGCTCGGTACAACGCCGATCCACTTGACTTACCTTACCAAAACGTCGTTATTCCTGTGTACTCTAAGAACCATTTTGGATAAAATAGTAAGAAGCTAAATTCACTATTTTTTGGAAATTTTACTCAATTATAAAAGTATTATCGACGTGGAGTTTCAAAAAAAGAGCCGAGAAAAAAATATGTCTAATTCTAAACAAATTTCATTACGAAACAGAAATAAAAATCTACCGAAAAATATTTTAAAAGTTGAAGAAAATAAGAATCGACTAACTATTTTTATATTGTATAATAAGTATCGTTTTCAGTGCAAAACTAAAAAATGAAATTATAATAGATGGAATAAAAAATGTTTACATGCAAGTCCTCGCCGACAGGGCGTTGATTGATAAGTGTAATGGATCCAGCAGGCAGTGCCTCCTTTGATTTTGATCCTTTGGTGATGTCACGGAACTCTTCCGTGTAGTCCTGTGAGGATTAGACATATCGGGAAGAGGACCCGAACATTCACTATTTATTTTTCATGCATAACTACTTGATATAGTAAAACAACTTAAATAATTAATTAAAATAGCCAAGGAAGTAAATTATTGAAAATTTTCAGAATTTAAAAAAAAAATCTAAATTAAACAAAAATTCATTCAAATGAAGATATTGTTTCAATAACATTAAAAACTTTTTTGCAATTATTTTGAATTTTTTAGCTAGTTATATCGTAATGAATTGAAATAGAAATATCATAGATAAAACTAAATTTTTTTAATTTCATCACAAAGTCAAATTAAAGTGGATTAATATTATGTATAATAAATGAATAAAAATGGGTGTGAGCTTCTTGCACATCAAACATGTATTGCTATAAAAATTATTTTCAAAATATCTAGTAAATGGACATTAACAAGACAACGACTGGAAAATATGATTTATTAATATTTAATACTCATTTACTCATGCTATGTTCGTCAAATTTAAGGAAAGATCGAAAATATCAAGACAATGGGGCGAAAAGATGTTTAGCAATAAAAAGTAAATGTTTCTGTGTAATTTTGTATACCTCAAATTGTGGCCAAGCCATGGCCATGGAAACACCATGATTGTTGGACCACCATTTAAGATCTTTTTCATGATCGGCGTTGTTGACAGTGTGGAAAAACTCGTCATAAATTTGAGGGAGTCTATAAAATAAATAAATTATTTTCAAGACAACCGCAATAAGATTGAGTTTGATTAAAAGAGTTTAACTTACGATGTATCTTGCGAAATATTTAGGCATTTGTGAATACCAAAAAGTACATCTTTGAAAAACTGTAATCGTTGCGCTTCCATTTCTTGGCATTTTTCAAACACTTGAGTCATATCCTCCATGTACTTGGGATTGTATTGATTTATCTCCTGCAATGCACTTTCATACTTTTCCTTGGCTTTCTGCACTTCTTCTTTTGTTTTTTGTACTCGGTCTTGCATTTTTTTTACCTGTAAATTCAATGAAATTACATTACGATCGCGCTAAGTGTTTCATTATCAATACTTGGTGCTAATTAATTCACGAGAGGCCAAGATTTATCTTAAAAGTATAAAGAATTCAATAGTTTCATTTGTTTTGCCAACACTTTTTTCTAAATGAATCTTGACTGTGGCTCTATAGTGATAAAAGATAACATTTTTGTAAATTGACAAAAATCATGAAAAACACTCCAACGAATAAAAAAAATCTTTTTTATTGTCATAATGATAATGGAGCGTTGTATTATATACATTTTTAATGGAAAATTGAACGTAAAAGCCTATTTAGAAAAAAATAAACTATAACATACTATTATTCAATGAATAAATATTCAGTCAACTAACTAAAAATGACTTTCCCAAAGTTTTAAAAGCAAACACATTTTTATGTCATTAAAGTTCTTTCTGTTGCATGTGAGTTGGCAAATAAAAAGATAATTTGAAAAATAAAAGGATTTCTAGCTTAAAAAGAATAAAGTGACTAAAACTAAAAATCTATTCAAATCAACCATCGCCTTGTCTCTATATGGTAAGTTTATTCGAAAATTACAAGTCTAATCAAATTTTTTGTAATATCATCTTTGTAAATTGGAAAAGTCGCTTACCGTAAGAGCTTTCTGCGAGGCAAAGCGACATGCGATGACATAGAATGGGAAACAGAAAAAGGTAAATTATATTACATATATACAAAGACATGCGTACAGAGAAAAAAATAAAGAATCGTGCACATATAAAACTTTTAAATTCAATGTTCTCTAAAGGAGTTTTTGTTATTACATACAAGCTCAACGTCGCTTATCTTATGTTTCCTAAAAAGAGGTTTTCGAAATTTCAGGGTCCATGCATTGCATCCACAATTTGTAATCTAAAAATGTCGTTTACGTTTCATAATATTGTATTGTGTATTCGAGTTAGGTATGTATTGAGTAAAAAATCTACTTTTCATCCTCAGTTTGATTTAAAAAAGAAATTGACTCTTCCAATAATGATAATTAATAATTGTTTGGATGTTTTTGTATTGTGTACGCGGTGTACAGAAATAAAATACAAAAATTCTAACAGGTACTTTAACACTAATAGCTGAATTAGATTGAACTTTTTATAAAAAAAAACAATCTAAATTTAATAAAATTAATTCATAACATGTTATAATTATGTAAATAGTCAAAAATTTTTGAAGAAGAATTTAAAAAATATATCATTTATGCAATAGACTGTTACTTATATTTTAAATAGGTCATGCAGACAATATGTTTATTTTAAAAAATAAAAAATATTTTATAAAACAAGTATGAGCATGCACAACAGAATTATTGACATACGTCTGAGCCTCGGGCAGTCTGAAAATAACGTATGTTTAAGTCGTCTGTTCTGTACTTTTCTCGTTTCTATGCATGGTAATTATTTATGAATAAAGTTCTTTCACTCTGCGTATTAATAGTATACAAGTAGTAGTTATATCATAACTTTTTTCATGTATACAACGCAAGCTTTGTTTTTCCATTACATAATAATGCTTTTCAGAAGTTTTTATAGCATTTTCTCATATTCAATGTCATACACGATCGAATTCTAGCTTCAATTACAAATGAGAAGTTTTTACGTTCAGCAAGTCATTGATGTATGGTTTTTTTCACCGAAGGCGTCGTGCAGATAAATCGAAGGACGAATATCACATGATTTAGCTTATGCATGGAGAAAATTATGTTTCCTTGATAATTATTGTTTTGCATATAGCATTGTTTCTTTGAACGAACGGAGGAATCAATACATTTTAAAAACAATAAAATTCTCATTCAAATGAACATTTTGAAAGAAAACCCGTACACCACCTTTGCATTACGTCTTGAGCTTTGTTAATTCAAAAAATACGTGAAGAAAGAAAGAGGATTGTATAAAAAATGTGCCACTGAGCATCGTACCTGATCAGGCGAGAGTGAACTATCAGCCGAGGCGTTTCTCTCTTGATTGGCGGCCGAACGTTCGGTTTTGCAACTGTTGTGGTAATCAGATTTGGCCTTCTCGACTTTTTGCAATATTTTGGACCAGGGCTTCTGAGCTTTCTTAAAGGCGTCTTCCATCTCTTTGCGCTCTTTTAACGTCATCATGGACTGCAACGACATTCAAGTCGGATTAAAATGACCGTTAAAAAAAAAAAAATAATGATCTTAGTTCAGGTGCATTTGTTATATGGGCGTACCTTGTGATAGGTGTCCTTCTGCCACGTCTTGATCTGCTGCACGACGTCGTTGCAGAGGTTTTCCTTGATCCTCAGGTGGAGCTCGCAGAGGCTGTCGGCCTCGCCGAGCACGCCCTTCCAAGCGGCCTCCGTAGTGCCGTACTCCGGGCCTTTCTCGATTTTGTCGTTCCAATTTTTGGACCAGGCTTTGAGCGCCTTGGCGTAGCTCTTCTCGATCTCGGCGCGCTCCTGCACGAGTGCCACGAGCGAGTCGCAGAGCTTGTGCCCGTCCTCGATGCGCTTGGTCGTGCGCTTGTAATTGCCCGGCTCCCAGAACGAGTCCGACGTGGCTATGAGCATGTTGTCGTCGCTGTGGTGTGACATGTCGATGCTGTTGCTTTATCTGCGACAAAAACAATGATAAATTAATTTTTTTTTGAATAGAGGTGCATATTCGAGTTTTACGTGCATGTTTGACAATCGCGTTTTGCGTGCTCTTATTTAATTCGGGATTCGCGTTAGTAGAGTCGGGAATAAAAAATAGGACACATACTATGCGATCGATTATCAAGCGAGAGAGACAAAAGGCCTTTCGAGGATCGATTCGCCGGAAAATGAGTCGAAGCATAAACGCTTCGTCCCGTCGACACTAAGCTACACACGCTGGGCTGCCACAAGTGCGGCAAATCTACCGCGTTATGCATCTGAATATGAGTCGCTGTAGTCTGCGCTAACGGTAAATAGATCGTCGCAATTATTCTCGAGAGCTGCTTCTTTTCGACGCTCGAGCTTCGTCGTCGCGTTAATTGTCTGCTCACGTTTATATTTGTAACCTCGCAGTCTTTCTATCTGTTTTTTTTTCATTCGTGCTCCGAGATAGTTTTGAACTTTATATACAGCAAAACGGGATGGCACGAGCTGTTATCAAGTGGGCCACAGGGGAAATTGATCGAGTTGTGCAGTACGAAATATTACTTGAAGACGTTCAAACCGTCGAGTGAGATATTTTTTTAATTGAACACGTCTTACACCGTGACATTTACAACAGACCTCGAGATCGGTGATATTCAACAATATTTATGCCCGTAGGTTAGAACTCACTTTAATTTACAATCTTGGATTCATTGAATGGAACATGACAAATGCAATCGAACATTTACATCAAGTTTGGTAAGGATGCAAAAAGGTGCTAAATTTTAAAATTGAGTTTTGGTTAAAATACCAATCTTCACATCGGTATCTTGTTGTATTATTAATTGAATTAATTAAATGCACTTAAAATCAATGATATTAGTCGAAGCAATATTAATTTATACGTGTGAAAATTCGCCCTTTTTTGGTTTTTACTTGACCCACTTTCGATACGCTTAATTAAACTTGAAACGCATGTGTATTAAAAAAAATACTTAAAATTGTGAAAGTTGATAACTAAAGCATGTTTTTGTTAAATTTAACGTCGTCGTAAAATTCTTAAAAATGGGGAATACGCAACGAATAATTTAATTTATAATCGAAAAATTATTATGACCATTTCTTCCTGAAATCTGGCATTTACATTGACGAAATTGAGAAAAAGTGTAACAATTCTAATTCTTTAAGTCTAGTTCAATTTTAGCGTAGTTAAAGCAACTGTAAAAAACTTATGAGCGAAAATTGGCTAATTTTGTCGCACGCTGAAGTGCTCATTTTTATGATAATTTTCAATATTTTTCTTAGTATATTTTTACTTCGTGGTTCTGAGACGCCGGAAAACTTGTTTCAATTAAACGATCGCCATTTCAAAACTTTTCTTTTTTGTGAATACTTAACCTCGTAAATCAATCCTTAGAGTAAAACATCAGAAGAAAATTTTCATCTGGAAAAAATAGGTGAAGAATTAACAACACTTTGTTGCGCAGCGTCTTGGTGCATACAAAGAGCAAAAAACGAATAATTTTTCTTTTTGGAGCGATATAGCATTGCTTTTACGTACAATGTCCTTTCTCAGCGGACAAAAAATGTTGCACTATCAAGCGAAAATACCCCGAAAAATGTAGGAAAAGTAGCTGCTGTTTGCTGTGTGCGATAGGGCGCGCGTCCCGCCGACGCCGCCGCGGGGGGAGAAGTTTCCGCGCGCTCGGTGGCGGTGGCAACGAGCGTTGCTGTGAAAATCGGGTCACACCAACGTAAGAGTCAGTGCACCCTTTTCTTGTTGTCAGCACGAGGTAAATAGGCGAGAGCTACGTATTGGTCGCTCGCTGTACATTGCACCTATACACACACACACATATTGCGTGCGCACAGTGAAACAGACAATAACGGAAGCTCATTCGTCTCGTTTTCCTCTTACTCTTCTCTTCTTTCTTTTTTTCATTCTGACTGTTTATACTGACACCGTAAGGGTTTCTTTTCCTCATTTTTTTTCTAGCGATGAGAATCGATTTTACGTGCTAATTACGATTTATGTGATTTCACTGGTGATTAATGAAATCGATTAGTAGCCGCACACGCTCCACGCGAGTTAGCGAGTATCCACATTATACTTAACATATTAGCTAAAAGCCACGATGTACTTTATACTCGATGAACAAGTGGGGGTCCATTTAAAAAAAATGCCACTGGGTTGGAAGATAGTCGGTCAGTTGTACATTCTTATGCGACCCGTGAAAGTAACAAGTCGTCGGATTAGCCATAAAAGATTAACGGCTCGTTAGGCTTGACTCAAAGATAATCCAACTTCATTTTCATTACGAGGGGGAAAAACGAGGTTTCTGGGCTAAATTCGAAGGATTCAAGAAATAATGTCTTTGGGTAAAAATATTGATTATCACCGCTTTAAATTTTGACGTATCTGTTTATTTTTATTCGCAAATTATTTAAATGCATCACGGGTCGAGCCGTAACTTATCGCAAATATTGACTCGATGAAATTGGCGAAAGTTGCGATGTCTGCGCGCCGCTTATTACGGTTTATGGACGAAAAGCTTATCGACCGATCGTGCAAAAGTTTGCAATAATTCCAACGCTCCCATGTATACGCGCGAGCCACGCGCAAAATAATTATCGAGAAGCGGAGAAAAAAAAATCGTTAAATTTTCCCCGGCTGAGATGATTGATACACGAAGGCGGCACAAAGTCACGTATTGCCTACGAAGTGGGTGAAAGTCTAGTAGTCTTAGTGTACGTCGGCTTGCATTGCAGTTTTTTTTTTTTTCATTCGGTGTAAGAGTCGATGCATGCCCGATGTATACGAGGGACTGAACGACAGAGTCCGTGCCGTATAGAGATAGCAAGAAGCTTACTCGCGTCGACTAAACACACGCGCGATCCATACGTGGGGCGAATAATCCGGCTTTTCTTGCGAGCTTGCGAAGATTCGCTGTGTTTTCGCTCGAATCGACGAGTTGCAGTTGCTTATATATGGTGCATGTATACAGCGCCGCTTGGTCCATCCATATTTGTGTGTTTATGTAGAGGCCGATGGAGCGCAGCGGAGCGCGCTGGATGCAACTTTCTAAGCGTTTCGCGATCGAGTCGGTTTCTTTCGCACGCGAGGCGGCCACTGCCGTAATATACGTGTGTGTGTGTGTAACGAGAGGAACTTTCCAACGACTTATGTATATGTAGCAGAGGCGAGTAAAATGATTTTCAATCCGGTCGAGGATATACTCGCGTCGCGGCATTCCGATGGAGATAATCGAAAAGCGAAAACACTGCTCGAGGTATATGGCTAGCTGCTCTAATTTATAGAAGGCGGCGGCGAGGCAGGCGCGATCTGGCCCCGAATAAAGCAGCTCGAGCGAAGATACGTCGAGTAGGCATATAATGCACGCAGGGCATGTGGCGTGGTCGCGGCCTCTGCCTATGCATATATACCTATATGGGCCTGCGGATCGTGTGGCTCCGCGTGTATACAGTTGGCGCGTTGCTCGCTGCACACGAGCAGGAGGCTGTGCAACGTCTCTCGCGCTGCTACCCATAGCCGCGGGCGCCGCGCCGGTATGACTGCATTCCACAGGAACTACCAGCAGAGCCGACGAGCTCGACGAGGTCCCGTATATACATATACACATTGTATTATGGTCCGCTGCGGCAAAATGTATATATGTGCCGGCTTGCGCGCTGCACCATCGCAGACACGCATAGCGTGGCTCGTGCGCGGCGTAGCTCCAACGATGCCAACTGTATACGTGAAAGAGAGAGAGAGAGAGAGAGAAAGAGATTCCTCCAAGAAAAAGAGAGAGAGAAGGGAGCTGCGCACTCGGCTGCTGCTGTTGCACCGACTCTCGTTGTTGACACGAAAGATTCTTCATAGTTCGGAGCTAGAGAAGCAACTGAGCGATATTTTTGCGCGCTTTTTTGCCGCTCGCGCCTCCGAGCATTGTAGGCGATGGCCGCTGCGATGCTCCGATGCTCGATAAACTGTCCGCGTTATTTCGTATTAATTGACCGTTTCTTTGATTGAACGTCGAATTATCCCCCGAAGGCCGGTGTGATGCGCTCCCGATTGCCCGGGGATCGATCCAAACAGGCAAAATGTATGTAATCAGTCGCGCGAGCACGAGTAGCGCCTCGCAATTTCCAACTTCATCGTCGAGTTAGTCGGGGAATTTTCACTTAATACGCTGCCAGGATCGTTAATTTGATTCAACGATATTCAACGATATTTTACGCGAATTTGCCGTCACTCGAGGCTTCATTTCCGTTAAAAGCACAACATATACATGATATATTTGCTTCCCCACGCGTATACATATCGCATTTCATTAGCAGCTGGATGTAATTGCTTAATTTGCGCTAGCATCGCTCTCGCACGCCAATGGAAATTTTTCTTTAAACCGTTTTCAGTCGCAATGACTCGATCATCCGAGTCGCAGCTCGTTACTTTTCAATTTGCCAACTTTTATAATCCCCCGATAATTATGAAAAATGTCGTTCCGAAGCGAGCATAAACCCTTAAATCGAGTTATTCAACTGGGAGTTATAAAAGGAGTTATAAATATATATCAAGTACATCAAATCAGACATTCTATATTTTCTTTCGCGTAAGAAAAAGTTGACAATATGATTTATTACAAGTAACTAGTTAAGATGACGTGGAGATATTTTGAAAAACAATCGAGTACGCGACGACAGCGAACGAAAGTAAAAATACAAGTCATTTGGAGTAAGTCGAATTAAGAAGGATTAATTAATCGTCGAGTTAGCGATCGTGACACTCGTTAATCGATTGGCTAGAATCGCACAAGTATATCAAAGCACGCGATATCGCCGACAAGACTTGATCCCTATCAGCAATCTCAAGATAAATATAGCCAAAAATCGTCCAAGCTTATATGCATGCGAGCGTTTGGAATAATGCAAAATACCTCGAGTACCTTGATGTGACCTTCCGCAAAGTCCGCGAGGCATCGAGTCGCGCGA